GCTGGTGGATTATTCGGTTCAAAACCCACTGAATCTAAACCTGCTACTGGTGGATTCTCATTTGGTGCTAAACCAGAAGAAAAGAAGGATGATAAACCTGCTGCTGGCGGATTTTCATTCGGTGCCAAACCAGAAGAAAAGAAAGATGATAAACCTGTTTCCTTCGGTGCCAAACCAGAAGAAAAAAAAGATGACAAACCAGCACCTAATAAACAAGAACCAAATCTTAAACCTACTCAAATTCAACCGAAACCAGTCTCGATTGATAATATGAATATGGATGACTTGATATTGAAATGGTCAAGACAACTCACCACTGGTTCTAATATCTTCCAAGAGTATACCGAAAGAGTTAAGGAATGGGATCAAGAATTGGTGAATAGTGGTGAAGAAATAACACACTTGAATCAAGAAACTTTAGAAGCTGAATTATTACAAAAGAAAATTGACCAACACTTGTTATTTGTTGAAAATCAACAAGATGAATTGGATCAAGTTTTAGATAATTATGAACAACAGGCAGATATTTTACTCAATAACATCGAATTGAATTCTGATGTTACTAACTCTTCTAAGGATATGAGCTCAGCTAACGGATTAAGCGTTACAGATAAGTTACGTGAAAAGGCATATCATAACGCAGAGTTATTAGATGAAAGATTAGATACTTTGGGTGACAACTTGACCACCTTAATCAACGAAATCAACTCGGTCAGTGATGTTTTTAATAAAAACTTATTGAATGGATTTTCCAATTCTGAAGCTAAAGCCAAGGGTGAAAACCCAGTTGAAGAAATTGTCAAATTATTGAATTTACACTTAGACAACTTAAAATACGTTGAAAAACAAGAACAAATTCTACAAGAAAAAGTAGCCAAAGCTTCTCGTACTAAGAAGCTCCAATATTAGTATTTACCTCTTTGTATAGTATAGTTGAAAAGATTTTGATATAAAATCAACATTGTAAAATCACCGTGGCTAAAAGATAACGCGCACATGCATTCAATGGGGAATCAAAAAAAAAATGGAGAAACCAACCCAAAAAAAAAAATATATACATATATAAAAGACCCTTAGAAGTTTAGTTACGTTCTTACAACACGTTCAGAGTTTCATATTTAGGACATTTGTATACTAGAAAACTTATAGATAACGATGGTACCCCCAGTTATTCAATTAATCAAACTTCTCTTCAATCCAGATGTTTCGAAAAAGATAATTTTGCAGATGGCATTCCAACAGATCAAGGTCATTGGGATAGCTAGAGTATTGGCTGCTGCTTTGGGTGGTGTTGTTGTTGGTGCGTCGAGTGTGGTTAAAGTACCCCAAATTCTCAAGGTTGTAAATCCTCCTACATTAGAAGGTAGGATCAAGGTTGCAAATGGAATTACTTTAGAAGGTTTAAGTTTAGAAACTTTAAGTCAATTGATTCACATTGTTTATAACTTCCAAAACAAAAACTCTTTTGTTAACTATGGGGAAACTGCCTTAGTGGGTATTCAGAATGTTATTATAATTCTCTTGATCGAATATTACCGTTTGAGACAACATTTTGAAAGTATTAGCAACTCTCCAGAAAAATTGCAAATTGAATATTCTTTAAAGGAATTGCAAAAACCAATTCTCACTATGTTCGGTATATTTATCTTTTTAACAAAGATAGCTCCATCCTCTTTAATTGATGGGTTGCAAATTTTAGGCATTCCTATTTCAATCGTTGGTAAAATTCCTCAACTTAGAAAAAATTATCTTTTGAAGTCCACAAGTCATTTATCTAATATCACCATTGGTGCTAATGTACTTGGAACTGCTATAAGGGTGTTTACAACAATTAAAGGTACCCGTAAGGCCTTGAAACCAAGTGATTATGTCTTGTTAACCGGCTATTCTAGTGGGTTAATTCTCAACTTGATACTTGCCGGTCAAGCAGTCTACTACGGAAAATTCTATACAGCTTCCACCGATGAAGATGAAGCTAAGAAGGATATCTAGATCTATTTTATCTATTCTTTCATGTATAATTAAATAAACATCCGTACATCTCCCTTTCTTTAAGCACCGCTAATATAATTCCGTCGTTTAGTTTTTAGTTTTTAGTTTTTCTCTTATTAATTGCTGAAAATTTTGAGATAAAAGATTGGATTCCGTTTTGTTTTACTGATTCTTTTCCACTCTTCCTTATACTTTCAAACAAAGAACTAAGAGTAAAGATGGTTCATCAAGCTGAATTTTTACCACCTACTGGAACGTCCATTTCCTCTATCTTACAAGGTGGTTATAACCATCCTTTAGCAAGAGAATGGCAACATGAACGTCAATTAACTAAGAATATGTTTATTTTCCCATTATTTGTATCAGACCAACCAGATGATGAAACTGATATTCCAGCATTACCAAATATTAAAAGATTTGGTATTAATACTTTGATACCTTACGTTAAAACTTTAGTTGATAAGGGACTTAGAGCAGTTATTTTATTTGGAGTACCATTAAAGGAAGGAGTAAAAGATGCAGTAGGTACCGCAGCAGATGATCCAGAAGGTCCAGTGATCTCGGCAATCAAGGCATTAAGGAAACATTTCCCTGATTTATTTATTATGTGTGATGTTTGTATATGTGAATATACTAGTCATGGACATTGTGGATTATTATACGAAGACGGCACTTTGAAAAGAGAAGAAAGTGCTTTGAGAATCGGGGCTGTTGCAGTTAATTATGCAAAAGCAGGTGCAAACTCAGTGGCACCATCTGATATGATTGATGGTAGAGTGAAAGATATAAAAATTGGATTAATTAATGCTGGTTTAGCTCATAAATGTCTTGTGATGTCATATTCTGCCAAATTTTCTGGTAATTTATATGGACCATTCAGAGATGCAGCAGGATCCGCTCCAAGTCATGGAGATCGTAAAGCCTATCAATTACCTCCCGGTGGTTCTGGTTTAGCTAGACGTGCTTTGATTAGAGATATGGAAGAAGGTTGCGACGGGGTTATTATAAAACCTTCTACCTTCTATCTTGATATTCTTAGCGATGCCGCTAAGCTTTGTAAAGATTATCCAATTTGTGCATATCATGTAAGTGGTGAATATGCCATGTTACATGCTGCTGCTGAAAAGGGAGTTGTTGACTTGAAAACTATTGCTTTTGAAAGTCATTATGGTTTATTAAGAGCCGGTGCAAGATTAATCATCAGTTACTTCACTCCAGAATTTTTGGATTGGTTAAACGAATAAATCGATTGTAAATAAAAAATAAAAAAGATTTTGTAAATATTAAATTTATGTATATATTGTTATGCAAAGAAAAGTGATTTGTTAATGTACAAGGGATGTAGAATTAAAAGGATTATCTATAGCTCAAGCAGCTAATGGTTCATGAGTTTGACGATCGGTTTCCCGGTCTTGTTCACGTTCTTGTTCACGGGCTTGTTCACGGGCTTGTTCACGGGCTTGTTCACGGGCTTGTTCAATTGGTGGACTTTCGATTCTTTCTTTAGGTACTTCAGGTAAATTGATATTCTCGTGTTTAGGTACGTCAGGTAACTTAATATCAAATTTATCTTCTGCTTCTTTCTGTAATCTTTCAAATTCCTCATCAACTTCATGTTCTTCACTATTACTAAGCCCTGCACCCATTCCTAACATGTTCAGAACGTCATCTACTTTCAAGCGTTCATCTTCAACGTCATCCAAAAGCTTATCAATTTTATCGGCACTCATTTCTGAGTTCAATTTAGATAATACTTTATTACCTTCTTGTAATCCGTAAAGAACATCCTTTTCGATTAATTTAAATTCAATGGTACCAATTAAGCTTTCCAAATTATCTAGCTGGTCATAAGTCTTAAGAATAGTCGACTCCTGTTGTTTCTTGGATCGTAAATAGAATTTAGCCTTCTCCGGTTGCTTATTATTTACTGCTTCTTTGGCTAAACTCTTTTGACGTTCAACTATGCTATTTAGCTTCCGCTGGTATTGTTTGAGTTTGTCTCGCTGTTGCTTAAGCTGAAATATCGCTCTATCCTGAGCTGTGATCTTTGGCTGCGAGGGTCCCTGTCCCATAACGATGCTCGATACTTAAAGATCAATCAAATAGCTTCTTCCTTTGACTGATAAAATCCCATAGACTGACATTTCGCCTGTTGAATAAATATGAAATTGCGAAATTGGTATAAACCCCCGTACATCTGTTTTTCAAAAAAAAAATACGAGTCACATGACTCGGACTGCCGGGAACAGTAAGTACGTCGCGAATGCCGGTCTCTGTCGAACTCTTACATAAGCGAAGCATCAAGTGACTTGAACGAAAGCAGCGCTGGTGCGAACGGTTATTTTGTGAATCAACTTCCTATTTGGGGCCAAGTAACAATATTTACAAACTTCCCGAAAAGGGTTTAATTGAATACTTCGAATCTGGACATCATCATCGTTTTATTTCCTTTAAGGATCAATTAATTGGCTTTACCAGAACGGAATATATTGGCAAGAGAAGCCGTTCAGCACTATTATTGTTTCAGACGTTGAATCGCCAATACTCTCAGCTAGGTTATTTGTTGTTGAATAGATTGCAAAGGGAGTTACTTTTTTTGTTTTGGTTGATAATCAATAGCTTTTGAATCTTCAAGGCAAAACAGAACAAAAAAAAAGAGACAAAACCGATCAAGAGGAAGAGAAAAATTTTCAGTACCTTCTTGTGAACTGATGAAGCTTAATTGAATTAACAAGGTCTACTAATTACTGAATAGAAATCAGCTAGGAATCACTTCCCCTTTGGTTTCATTGATTAGCTTTGTTACATTGCCCTGTGGGTACTCTTTGTTCAGATTGGAACATTTGTCTCGTTTCATTATTACTACGGATCTTTTGTTTATACTACCTCATTCTCTCCTTAGAAAGAATTGAATAGACAACCCCAATTGAAAAGCATTGCCTATTCCCAATAATCAATTGCCTACCTATCTCTGCCCTGGAAAAGTGTCATCTTCTAACACTCGAAAGACTTTTCAATTAGATATATATTGTACCAGCTCTCAGGCTTACTTTTTCAATTATATTACTCTTTTCGAACAAGTCAATTGTTTGATAAACATATTGTTTTTGTTTTCCTTCTTCAAGTTCTGAATCTGAATTTTTTCTTATTATATTAGGTCCTTCACATAGCGTGCTTTTTGTTATTTCATTTCTACTTGTGGTCTTTACAATACCATCTGTGCCTTGACCTCCCATTAATTACTTGCTTTATTGTTTCATTCATTGATCAGACTCGAGTAAGGAAAAACCAAAAAGAAAAAAAAAAAAAATTAGTGACTTTCAACTCTTCACTTCCAATAATCCTTCTTTTTCTTTGGTAAGTTACTATAAGTTATCCTTGGTCGTTATAAAGTCATTCATATTCATCAATCTTAACTAGTTGGTTAATGAATTGAGCTTAAAGCTATAAGAAAAAAAAAATATTAAAAAAAAAAGCAAGAAAACTTCATAGATACTATAGAATTGCATTTCATTAGCATCAATGTCCTCATCCATAGTTTTGGAGTCTCCCAAGAAGAACTCGGTGACTTCGCCGATTAAATTGCAACCCCCAGCATCTGCTAGCGGGAGTGTAGGTGGAAGTGTGAATTACGATACTTTAAAACCATCTAATCAAAGAAAAAGACTGTTTCTTAACTCACCAACTAGATCAACCAGTGATATCGGTTTGAAAAATGATAATTTATTATCTTCACCCAATAAACAACTTACTTCACCCAATAAACAACTTACATCACCAAATAAAAGAAAGTATTTACAAAACATGAGTCCTAACGTTAGTAACAGAACCATTTATCTTAACAATTCAAGACCCAGTGGGAGTGGTAATGTATCGCTCAGTGATTCGTTTGCAAGATCAGATACAAAGGAAAAGAATTATATTAGGCCAGTTTCATCATCAGCCGCTTCGACATCTTCTAATTCAAGATCAGCATATCCTAGACCACTATTAAGAACACCAATTTCTAATTTAAGATCCAAATCATCGATATCAGCATTTTCCAGGCCTAAAAGTTCCTCAAGCTTACTTGGAAATTCATCAGAACCTAAAATTAAATTACGTAGAACAAATTCATTGATTAGTCAAGGAGGATCAACAAATACTTCAGATACTCAATTACAAAGTTCTACCACTTCTTCAGATCGATTTATCCCATTCCATCGCAATCCAATAACTGGGAAATTACAAACCAATAATACTAACCCTCATCCAAATTCTTCACCCCAAACTCATATTAAAGCACAAACTTCTAAAATTTATCAACATCACGTTGCGGAGGCATGTGGATTAGAAGTAAATTCACGTATTCTTAGTTATAAACCATTACCACCAGAACGTAATAAACCAATTAGTTTATTTAATAATAAACGATCAAATAGTGGTAATGGGAAAGATTTAATTGGAAGTTTAAGGCCCGCCGCCGCCTCTGCCAGGGCGAAAAAGATTCCTACTGCACCAGAAAGAGTACTTGATGCACCTGGGTTGGTTGATGATTTTTATTTAAATTTATTAGCCTGGTCATCAACAAACTTACTTGCAATTGGATTAGAAGATGCAATTTATGTATGGAATGCTCTGACGGGATCAGTTGGATTATTATGTGAATTACCGGAGAAAACATTAGTAACCTCATTAAAATGGTCAGAAGATGGATCATATATATCAATTGGGAAAGATGATGGATTAATTGAAATATGGGACATCGAAACAAATACTAGATTAAGAACATTAAATTGTGAAAATCATCAAACTAGAATTGCAGCCCAAAGTTGGAGTCAACATATTTTAACTAGTGGATCAAAATTAGGAAATATATATCATAGTGATGTAAGAATTGCACAACATGTTATTAATAAAATTGAAGATGTGCACCAAGCAGAAGTATGTGGGATTGAATATAAATCCGATGGTAATCAATTTGCCACTGGAGGCAATGATAATTTAGTTTGTATTTGGGATGCAAGAAATAGTCATGGACTTCAAGAAACCAATACTAAAGCACAACCACTCTTCACTAAAACTGCTCATAAAGCAGCAGTTAAAGCATTATCATGGTGTCCCTATCAATCATCAATCTTGGCAACTGGAGGAGGTACTTCCGATAAAACAATTAATTTTTGGAATACCAGTACTGGTGCACGAGTTAATACCATTGAAACAGGATCACAGATATCATCATTAAATTGGGGGTACGCTCTGGGAATTGGTATGGAAATAGTGGCAACTCATGGTTATCCAACAAATAGTATATCCTTATTCAATTATCCAACTTTACAGAAAACTGGAGAAATCAATGGAGCACATGATTCCCGAATCTTGAGTGGATGTTTGAGTCCTGATTCATTAACTTTAGCAACCGTTGCCGGAGATGAAAATTTAAAATTTTGGTCATTATTTGATTTATATAAGCAAAATCGCCACGGAGAGTCTGGCGACAGATTAGATGATGATACTAATGAATTACTTAATAACGATGAATCGAAAAAATTGAAAAGTTTAATGAATATTAGATAATGACTAAATGACTATAATAAAAGTTGTACATTAGAATATTGTAAAAACCTGTAGAAACTTCCAAAAACATGCTACCAGACCTACAAAGTATGAGTAGATACATGGATATAAATACCAAACATATAAACAGAGCCATATAAGATAAACAGAAGCCAGATAGACAGAAGGCACATAGACAGAAGGCACATAGACACAAGACAAACAAGATAGACAAACAAGAGAGACAGAAAGCAGGAGAAGACAGAATTTGCAGCATAACCAAACTGTACGGAGGCAATCCACGTGACTTCTCCCCGAGCAAACGAGCGTGTGCTGGCCAACAACTCAAAACCAGCGGATTACATCAGCGCAATCGCTGCTGTCGAGGGTTCTCGATTAGACTCACAATAAAGCTGCTGTCTAACAAATACCCAAGCTGCATAGTATTGCGGTTTGAAGGTAAGACAAATGGTTAATTGTCCGTGGTGTAGCGCTGATCATTTGCTAATGATTGTCTTCGTGATGAAGGTTAATCTGAAAGTGAGTGACTGACAATCGCTAACAAACCGAAAAAAAAAAATACAAAGCTCACTTTAAGGGTAAACACTGAGCAATAGACAAAAAGAGACAAAACAGGAAAGGCAAAGTACACTCTGTGGAAAGAAAGAGGAAAAAAAGTATATGAGAATTGGACCGATTATAACTTTTTCTTTGAAGTATTAGAATTGTTTAGATATACTAAGAACGATACACGATGTCAACTGATGGAGAATTTACTAGAACCCAAATATTTGGGACTGTGTTTGAGATTACCAATCGATATACTGAGTTAAATCCCGTTGGAATGGGGGCATTTGGACTTGTTTGTTCAGCCATTGATAAGTTAACTGGACAAAATGTAGCAGTTAAAAAAATCATGAAGCCATTTTCCACTAGTGTTTTAGCTAAGAGAACATATCGTGAATTAAAGTTGTTAAAACATTTAAGACATGAAAATTTAATTACTTTAGACGATATTTTTTTATCTCCATTAGAGGATATTTATTTTGTTACTGAATTACAAGGGACTGATTTACATCGTTTATTAACATCAAGACCATTAGAAAAACAATTCATTCAGTATTTTACTTATCAAATATTAAGAGGATTGAAATACGTCCATTCAGCAGGAGTTATTCATCGTGATTTAAAACCATCAAATATTTTGATTAATGAAAACTGTGATTTAAAAATTTGTGATTTTGGGTTGGCCCGTATTCAGGATCCTCAAATGACCGGTTATGTTTCAACCCGTTATTATCGTGCTCCAGAAATCATGTTAACTTGGCAAAAATACGATACTGAAGTGGATCTATGGTCTGTTGGTTGTATTCTTTCTGAAATGATTGAAGGTAAACCTTTATTCCCCGGTAAAGATCATGTTCATCAATTCTCCATAATCACTGAATTATTAGGTTCTCCTCCTCCGGATGTTATTGATACTATTTGTTCTGAAAATACTTTACGTTTTGTTCAATCTTTACCTCATAGAGATCCAATTCCTTTCAGTGAACGTTTTGCTCAATGTACCCATGTTGAACCAGAAGCTATCGACTTATTAGCTAAAATGTTGATTTTTGATCCTAAAAAGAGAATTAGTGCTGCTGATGCTTTACAACATCCTTATATGGAACCTTATCATGATCCAACTGATGAACCTGTTTGTGAACAAAAATTCGATTGGAGTTTCAATGACGTCGATTTGCCAGTAGATACTTGGAGAGTCATGATGTATAGTGAGATCTTAGATTTCCATCATTTGGTTGGTGGTAATGACCTCACTTCAAATGCTGATGGTTCAACTAACCCTCAACAACAAGAACAATTGGCCCAAATCCAACAGGAAGGTATTCAAGCTCCAATAAATAAACACGAACAACAAATATAATCCTTTATTCACCCGCTTCCTGTCTCTCCTTCTATTTCTTCTTTGTAAATTAAATATTATACATTTTTGTATCTGAAGTATCAAATAAACCTGATAAACGAGAAGCTCGATTCTGATCTTGTACTTTTTTTTTTGACTTATGTTTTTTTTTTCTTCTCTCGCTATTTTTTATGCCTTCAACCTATTAACAGCTTGTCTTATCACCTTCTCTTATTACAGCTAAGTCATGCCCACGGTAAGTCATAATGCTTCGACGCTACAGAAGCCAATTGCTCCTTCATACTTGAAAAAAATTAATAACCACTTATCGATATCCTTGACTTATCTTCATCAGGACTCAACCGCGTCCACCACTCAACCTCGAAGAAGAAAATCATCAACTTCACCCAATGACGAGGCTATTGATCAAGTAGAGTGCTTGATAAGCTTTCATAATACCTCGACGGAAAACGTCACCGTAAACCCTTCCGATGATGAACCCCAGAATCAAAATAATAACGGTTGGTTTGGAAGTATCTGGAATACCGAAACTATACCTCCAGTTAAGGATTCTAATAACAATTCCCCGGCTGATGTTTCAATTATGTTGGGCTACTTACAACTATTTGGTTACGTAAGCTTGAATTACAGATACGACTTGCACTCTTCTCCTTTGGATAGTGGGGTCTCTAATGATCATGGCTGGTGGAGCAACAAAAGTTATTATGATCAATACCAACCAGATGGGCAAACCGCCGGTGATGATGAAAATGAAACCAAAGACGAAAAATTGAACAAAACCCCGTTCTTGCGTGATTTTTACTTGAAAGATCCAATGGTTATCGGTGGTAAGCTTGCTGGGGTTAATGATTTGATCTATCATAAAGAAAAAGTTAAAGAAGAGAATTTTATCGATAATACAAATAAATTCTTAATTCAAGATCTTCTCTTCACTTTCAACTCTTTGGAATACTCAAAAAAAATTACCAATTCTGATGAAGATGATAATGAAGATAACGGCCCTCATTTACCATTACTGGATATTACAAACTCAATTGTTCCATTTTACGCAACCCTGCAGCATCTTTTATTCACCGACGTTTCCCTCAAACCAAAAGCATCTAAAACTTTCAGAGTTAGGTTTAACAATATCGATATCTCAATGCCTCCCCTGTATAATACCAACCTGACGGGCCTTGTTGGTGATCAAGGCTGGACTAGTATAAGATATTCTTTAGTTGTTGGTGTACTGGAAAATCGTAAAGGTAAAATCATTCCAAGATCAGTTTATTTCCCATTCGATGTTAGAGGGAAACGTATAGGCCATGAAGATCGCTGGCTCCAGCCTGATTATCTAAGTCTGACGAAGATTGATAAAAATTGGGACATTAAAGTTATTGATCATAACATAACCAATCCTCAGGATGCATCACTAGAAAACTCATCAGGAAAGGATCAAATGCTACAAGATTTAAATAAATTAATTGATTCGGATTTGCATAATGTCTCCAAAAATGAAAGACGGAAAAGCTCATCTGCGCTCTTCAAGCTTCATACTACTTTGCCTGAAATCCCTATGAATCCTCAACTTCCAGAGAAACTTAAAACTCACTACCAAATCCGAGTAAATGATCAAGACTTGTGTGAAGTTATGATTTCTAAACCAGCTTATCACTTGGGTGATGACTTTCATTTCTCGATTGATATCAGCTCCTCCTACAAGAATACCACCAAGATCGTTGGTTTGATTGCTCATATAGAGGCTCATGAAGTTTATCATATTCAAAATAAAAATGGTGATTTCCATGACTTCACCAACACCTATCGTGTTAGCCCCCCAGTGAAAGTCAACTCTTTTGCAGCTTCCTTGGTTAATTCATATTCTCATGAGAATTCCAAGAATAGCAAAATAAATGGCATGATACATATACCACCGTATTTGTGTCAACAATTTCAAAGTTCAACGTTTATGGATTTGAAATATTACGTTATATTCAAATTCAACTTGAATGAGTTTGACAGACACGAATTGAATGAAGAAGTAACTAAAGAAAATCGACAAGCAAGCAACGAATTACCTAGAGAAAGTACCAATGATGACCCAAAGCGAATCAACTTGAGTCCTAATGATCCTTCAGATACTTCTACAACAGCAAGACCATCACTTGATGATAGATCCTTACAACCAAGTGCGATCAATGGCAGCAAGTCAGGAGAAACCATTTTCACATCCCAATATCGTTTCGATAATACTGGTAGCGAATTCAAGTTTGAGTTACCTCTTGTAGTACTACCTTGATATAGATTATAGACTACTGTTTCTTTTCTTTTTTTTTATTTTATTTTTTTTTTTTTTTTTAAATATCAATGCTACTTGCAGTCAGCAAATCAAGCTGCCATGTGTGTAAATTTCCACAACAGCCTATAGTCGTGCTTAACTAAGGGTTACTTGGCTTCGTTGTAAAGAGTAGGAGTGAATAGTAGAACCTGTCAAAGGGCTGGGAGGGGGACCCCGTGAAAAATTTGGCCAGTGCGAAAATCGATGCCAAAGAATAAAAGTGCATCGATGAACTTCTGCTTCTTTATCAGTGCTTCTTCAGAAACCATGGCGCCTTTTAGCTTAGAACTTCACGACAAAACCCATAATCCATCCTTGGATAATTCAGAGGATGAAATTCAATCTCCTGATGAAGACTCACACAGATTTATAGATGATAGCGATATAGAAGACGATGGGGATGTTCTTTCAAAATCATATAATTCCACTCATTTCTCTAATGCAGAAGATAGATTCATGAAAGATCACGATTTGAAAGTGAAGGCTTTCGAAGCTTTGCATTCACCTCATGCCGGAGCCCCATCTTCACCTAAACAGAGAAGACAATCAATTATTGACTTACCTCATCATTCTTTGCCAAAACATTACCATCCTACTCCGTCAATGGCATCCCATAATAATAACCATACTCAAAACCCTAAATCAAATGCCAATGCTTTACCAGAAGAATATCCTTCTGATGAATTAATTGATTTGTTTAAAAATGTTAAATTGTGCCTTGATCTCAGACATAAATACTTGAAAAGATCTCATCAATTTGATGAAATGGAAAACCCAAAGAATAAGGATGATTGGAATATCTATCCCCCACCACCAAAACCTACATACAAGTCGAGAAATAGATTCAATCAGCTTGCAGAAAATGAACCAGAAGAACAATTTGATTTTTCCAAATGTGAAATCCCTGGAGGTGATGACAACTACAGTTTCAAAGTTGGCCCCGAGGATAATTATGAAGTATGTTACAAAGGTAAGTCACTCGTTGATGTGCCTACTTTACGTGATTATTATCTTGATTTAAATAAGATTATTAAAATCTCATCTGATGGGCCCTCTAAATCATTTTCTTTTAAAAGATTGCAATACTTAGAGGCAAAATGGAATTTGTATTTCTTACTTAATGAGTACGAAGAAAATAAGCAATCCAAGCGTAATCCTCATCGTGATTTTTACAATGTCCGTAAAGTTGACACTCATATTCACCATTCTGCTTGTATGAATCAAAAGCATTTGTTAAGATTTATCAAATATAAGTTAAAATGCCAACCAAATGATCAAGTCATATTCAGAGATGGAAAATTATTAACCTTGGAAGAAGTATTCAAATCTTTGAAATTAAGTGCTTACGATCTCTCAATCGATACCTTAGATATGCATGCTCATACAGACACTTTCCACAGATTTGATAAATTCAATTTAAAATATAACCCTATTGGTGAATCTAGATTAAGAGAGATTTTTTTGAAAACTGATAATTTCATTAATGGTAGATATTTGGCAGAATTAACTGCTCAAGTCTTTGATGATCTTGAGGGTTCCAAATACCAAATGACTGAATTGAGAATATCAGTGTATGGTAGATCTATTCACGAATGGGACAAATTAGCCAGTTGGATTGTTGATAATAAATTATTCAGTCATAATGTTCGTTGGTTGATTCAAGTTCCTAGATTATATGACTTGTATAAAAAGAACAATAACGTTGGTACATTTCAAGACATCATTAGAAACTTGTTTGAACCACTTTTTGAAGTTTCAATCAATCCAAAATCTCATCCAAAGTTACACGTTTTCTTACAACGTGTTGTAGGGTTTGATTCAGTCGATGATGAATCTAAATCTGAAAAATTATTACAATCCAAGAAATTCCCTCCTGCTAGTAAATGGGATGGTGCAACTAATCCTCCTTATTCTTACTATTTGTATTATATTTATGCCAATTTGACTCCATTGAATCGATTAAGATTATCTAAAGGATTTAATACATTTGTCTTGAGACCTCATTGTGGTGAAGCAGGTGACCCTGAACATCTTATCAGTGCATTCTTAACCTCTCATTCTATTTCCCATGGTATATTATTAAGAAAGATTCCTTTCATTCAATATTTATACTATTTAGATCAAATTGGTTTAGCCATGTCTCCATTATCTAATAATGCCTTGTTCTTAACTTACGATAAGAATCCATTTTATAATTTCTTCAAAAAGGGTATGAATGTCTCTCTTTCAACTGATGATCCATTACAATTTTCTTATACAAAGGAACCTTTGATAGAGGAATACTCGGTTGCAGCTCAAATTTATAAATTTTCAGGTGTCGATATGTGTGAATTGGCTTACAATTCGGTCAAACAGTCAGGCTGGGAAGCTTCTATCAAAAAGCATTGGTTAGGTAAGAAATTTATGCTTGGTGGAATCGCAGGTAATGATATCGAAAAGACCAATGTACCTGATATCAGAATTGGATATAGAGAAGAAACCTTGAAAAGTGAGTTGGAATTGGTCGATTACTATTCTAATTTGCAACCTCCTCCTCCATCCCAACATCGATAGATTGTTCCTTTATTTTACTATATAGATTAATGCAAAAATCGAATTTTCAGCAACTTATGTATGACACAGTAAATCTATTGTACTTATGACACCTGTCTACGGTGTGCTCTTAGTCACACAGCATCATGCTCAAGATAGCTTGAGATTAGCCAGTATAAAGGCTTCGAAAGGCCCCGTTAAGATTGATAATGAGATAATATCGACGTGGAACCGTAAGTGCATAATTAGATTTTCTCACTTTATTAATACTGCATGAACTATCTCTTTAACACCTTACAGGGCCATAAAGCTCAGATTGCGAAAATAAGCTGATTTATAAAGATCAGCTTCTGCAAATGAAATCGATTGTTTCTTTCATTTCTAGAATGGCAGTAGGGTCAATTATATTTCAATGGTGGAACAGAAAATTGTCAAACTAACAAAACCTTCCCGTCTTCACAAGGTATCGATCCCAGCTGTGCTTACAATTGCTGGATCTGATAGTTCTGGAGGTGCCGGAATTGAAGCAGATTTGAAGACAATAACTGCTCATCAAGTTTACGGCTTGACATGTATTACAGCTTTAACTGCTCAAAACACTCAGTCTGTTCAATCAATAGTCAAGACATCCAAGGAACAATTGCAAAAGACTTTAGAGAGTAATTTTGATGATTTTATTTATGGATACGATTCAAGTCCTTTGAAAGCCATTAAGACAGGAATGCTAACCAAGGATTCAATTCTTGTTTTGGAGGAGTACTTGCCCTTGATAAAGAGGCATGATATTAAGTTGATAGTAGATCCAGTCATGATAAGTACGTCAGGGACTGAATTGTTTGATAAAGAAGCAATGTCGATTTGCGTCAATACGTTGATTAAAGAGTCATATTTGGTAACTCCTAATTTTATTGAAGCAATTGCATTGTATAGAAATAAAAAGTCTGATTATAAAGAACCCAAAATTGAGTCATTGGAAGACTTTACCAATTTTGTAATTGACTTACAAAAAGCCTTAGAATGTGAGAATGTTTTAGTAAAAGGGGGCCACATACCTTGGAATAAGAAAACGAATAAGCCATTCAAGGGAAATATCAATGAAGAGCAAGAGGATCTCACGGTAATTGATATATTATATCAACATACTACCGATTCAATTACAATATATGAGTCGGAATTCTTGTTCACTAAAGATACTCATGGTACTGGTTGCACCTTATCTTCTTCAATTGCGTCCAATGTTGCAAAAGGCTTAACTTTAGACCAAGCTTTGCCATTATCAATTAATTATATCCACAGAGGTATTCTCAGCTTGGAGAAGAAACTTGGCCATGGTAACGGTCCTTTAAATCATACCGTCACCCCTGAAGTCGGAGTTCTGGCAATAATCAAGCCAACAGTCCCGGCAGTCACTGGCCACAAAACATTTTTTGAATTTTTCAAAGAACACCCTAAAGTTAAGGAGAATTGGAGAAAGTATACTGAACACGAGTTTTTACACCAATTGGCCGAGAATAAGTTACCTTTCAACAGATTTCTCTATTTTCTAAAACAGGATTTCTACTATCTTGTTAATTATGCACAAGTTCATGCATTGGCTGCCTCAGTGGCCCCAAATTACCAACAAACTCATTCAGAAGCTTTAATCATCGGAGAAGTAGTGAATGAAATTGAAAAACATAAAAGTAAATTACAAAAAAAATATAACATTGATTACGATAAAGTTGATTTGGACATTGAATTACAACCCGGTAAAGCCTGCTTAGATTACTGTGATTTCTTACTTGAAATGGGCAGGAAAGAAGACTTCTTGGGGATTAAAGTTGCTTTAGCTCCATGTCTCCATGGTTACGCAGAATCTGGTATTAATACTTTAAAATACCGTGAACACCATAAAAATTCGGGTAATGACTTTTTAAATGCTGTCTCCGTAGAAGAATCAAACATTTATGATTCCTGGATTGCTGATTATACTTCCGAATGGTACCGTGAAGCTCACGGAAACGGAATTGACGCTCTAGAAACTTTATTGAGTGGCGTCCTAATCACTACAGAAAGGTTGGACGAGCTTGTCGAGATCTTTAATAAAGTCACCATGTTGGAATGCAACTTTTGGAGTGAAGTTGTTGCCCCAAATTAATCAGAGTATATATATATATAAAACACCCGTACCCTGGCGATAAAATAGCAAAAATCACTGCGTTGATACGTAACCTGTAAAGAAGAAACGGGAAAAGCGACTTTCTCGCCCACGAATTTCGAAATGAACAATCAATCATTACTTCTTTTTTTAAATTATATAGATATCAAGATCTTAAGTACTTTGTTTATTAATATCTAGTCAATTGTATAAATTTGGGTTAATTGTGCATTTCAGTATCAATGTATAATCCATATCAGCAACAACAGACTGGATTTAATAACCAACAGCAGCAAACAGGCTTCGCTGGCGGTTATCCTAATCAACAACAATTTGGTCAACCTCAACAACCAGGGTTCTATCCACAACCCCAATTGCAAAACCAAGCAACTGGATTCTATCCTCAACAGTTCCAACAGCAACAGTTCCAACAACCTCAATTCCAACAACCCCAGTTACAACAAACTGGGTTGTATAATCAAAGTGGTTTATCAGCACCAAATCTTGGCCAACAACCTTTACAATCCCAAGCAACCGGATTTGTTCAACCACAGGCTACTGGATTTATCCAGCCACAAGCTACCGGATTCATACAACCACAGAAGACTGGATTTTCTCAAGCAGTTTCAAATGTTTCAGAAAATAATGATTTGAAGATACCCAGTATAAGATTATCCTTTATCACCGTTGCTGATCAAACTAAATTCGAACACTTATTCAGAACTGCGGTACCGAAAGGTGAACAGGCAATTAACGGTGATACTGCTCGTGATATTTTGCTTAGATCAGGTTTGCAACCAGTTACTTTGGCCGAAATTTGGTCGTTGGCAGATACTAATAAATCCGGATCATTGTTATTTCCCGAATTTGCTTTAGCACTTCACTTGTGTAATTTATCTTTGAAAGGTGATAGTCTCCCTGCAGTATTACCAGAGAAATGGCGTAATGAAGTCCAAAGTTTTGTTGATGCCATAAGCTTTTCTGTTCCTGAGGACCCTTCCAAGGTTTTGGCAAATACTCCTTTTTCATCTTTTAGTCAGTCGTTGGCTCCTCAGACAACTGGATTTAACCCTCCAGCTCCGCCAACAACTTCTTTCACTGCTCAACCAACTGGTGGGGCATTCCAACCAGTGCAAACCGGATTTAATAATTTTGCTAACCAACAACCACCAGCTCCTTTAAATTCTCAAAGAACAGGTGGTGGCTCGCTTATTCCTTTGCAACCACAGCAGACTGCTGGCTTGATCCCAACTCAGAAAACTGGTCCTCTTCAAGCCCAAACTACGGGGTTTCAAAACCAATTACCTGCCCAAAAGACAGGTCCCCTTCAACAACAAACCACTGGTTTTCAACCTCAGGCTACAGGATTTCAATCACAGAGTAATGGATTCCAGCCACAAGCTACAGGGCTTCAACCGCAAGCTACAGGATTCCAGCCACAAGCTACAGGGCTTCAACCGCAAACTACTGGATTCCAACCACAAGCTACAGGATTCCAACCCCAAGCTACAGGGGTTCAACCCCAAGCTACTGGGTTTCAACCCCAAGCTACTGGGTTCCAACCACAAGCTACTGGGTTCCAACCTCAGCAAACAGGTGGATACCTTCAATCCCAACCCACGGGAAAACCCGGCCAGTGGGGTTTCGTATCTACTCCGACTGGTGGAATTCCTGGATTAAATGCTATGCAAGAACACTTTTTACCTTCTTCTCAATTACCAAGTAACAACTTACAGAATGTCATGGGTGGTAGTTTGAAAACTAACGTTACTTGGGCAATCACCAAACAAGAAAAACAAATTTACGATGGTATTTTTAGTGCTTGGGATAAATCCAGAAAAGGATTTATAGACGGTGATGTTGCAATTAGCATTTTCGGAAAATCTGGATTAGGAAGACCAGACTTAGAATCTATATGGAATCTTGTCGATTCTAACAATAGAGGTAAATTGAATAAAGATGAATTTGCCGTTGTAATGCACCTTGTCTATAGAAGACTAAATGGCTTTGAGTTGCCTTTAAGATTACCTCCAGAATTGATCCCCCCATCAACAAAATATCTTCAAGATTCTATGGATTCTTTGAAGAATTCCTTAAAAGGAGGTGGAGCAGTTAAACCTGCAAAGCCTGCTCCATTAAAAGCTAAAACAGATGGGTCGAGATTTAAAAACAATGACGAAGATGTTGGATATGTCTCCAGTTCACGTCACAGAAGAAGAAGTAACGCTGCTGAGAATGACCAACAAAAGAGTAGTGTCAAATCTTCACGCGATAATGATTTAACTATTGATGATTTAAAAAAATTAATCCGTGAAAAACAAATTCTTTTGGATGCATTAGATGCTGAAGATCAAGATTCGTTGAATGCCAATAAGAGTCTAGACGAAAAGAACTACAGAGACATTGAATTCCTCAAATCGCAAATCAAAAATGTGCAAATGTCATTAAATGATTCATCAGCTACAAGGGGTTCTTTCGATGAAAAGAAGCAATTATTAGATAAATTAAATTATTTAACCCGCGACAGAGTCCCTGGCTTAATTTCAAAGATTCACGCTGTAAATAAGGATATTGCTAAACAAAAAGTCGAACTTTATAAGTTGAGATTGTCAAAAGAAAATCCAGATTGGTCTCCAGACAGTGGTGAGTCAGGAATTGTTGGTACTGGTCCAAATGGTGAAGTGACTGACTACGATAGAAAGAAATTCAAGTCTAAGCAACTATTGAAACAACGTATGGCTGCTTTAACCGGCAAATCAGCCAGTTCTGGCTCCAACAAAGATTTAGACTCTAAATTACAACAAGAGAGCGAACAAGCCCAGAAAGAGAGAGAAAATCAATCCAACATGATCAACGATATTGAAGGTAGTATCAGAGAACTTGAAGATGGCGCTGCAGCATTTTTGCATGTTAGTACCAAGGATGAAGTTGGATCCAACAAATGGGAAAATGGAACAGATGTTTCATCTCATGTTGCCGCCTTTATTAGAGATTTGAAGTCAATGGTACCCCCACAATCATCGTACAATGGACTGGATGTCTCGAGGCAAGGGCAACCTCAATCTTTAGATCAAAACTATCCTAGTGCAAGTGTCCAAAATAATAGATCCTTGGAATCGACTCCTCAATCGACTGGTCAAAATTCATCTTCTTCATCGCTCAACAACCATTCAAGCCCCGAGGACAGAGCTGCATATATCAAAGCTCAAGCTGAAAAAAGAATGCAAGATAGATTGGCAAAATTAGGTATTAGTAGACCACATAGAGGTAGTCCTTCCGGATCTTCTCATCGTGTCAACCAGTTTCCTTCCTCACCCAGCCAGGATGAGCCACCTAAACAAGAGCCACCTAAACAAGAGCCACCTAAACAAGAGCCACCTAAGCAAGAGCCACCTAAACTAGAAGAACCTAAGCCGATCTCTTCCGATGCTGCATCCGTTCCAGCTGCTGCACCACCATCAGCTACGCAAGAGTCATCCGATGATGAAGATGAGGAGTATGTTGCTTTAATGAAACAAAAACAAGAAATGGAAACTCGTGAAAATGAACGCAAATTGAAGAAGAAACAAGAAAAGGAAGCTCGTTTAGCAAAGTTGAAGAAAGAAATGGAGGAAATGAAAAAGAGAGAACAAAAACCTGATAGCGATGACGACTGGGACGATGCTACTGTTCCTCAGGCCCAGACTTACAAGCCAACTTCTCAAAAATCATCATCTGCTGCTCCTACACCTGTAACTGAAGACAAAGCGGCTGTTGCTGAAAGAACTCAGTTAGAGCCTACTCCACCCCAATCCATTGAAAAGTCCCAGTCGAGTGAATTATCTAACAATGCCGAGAAGGAGGACCACACTGAGCCTGTAAGTGCTGACCAAGCCCCAGTCCTGAATAACAACCTGGTTCAACAGCCTCATAGTAGTAACCCATTTGCTAAGATGCAACCCCCTAATGAACAGAATGGAGCTGATAGTGGTGCAAGCTCACGCTCTAATACTAACCCCTTTTTCAAATCTGCTCCAAAAGAAGCAAGTATTGACCCTAAAAAAGCAGAAGCACAAAGGGCTTCTCAAAGAGGTTTAGATGATAATGACTGGAGTGATGATGATGAAAATTCTTCTGACGATGAGGGCCCCAATAGAGCTGGTGCAGCAAAACTAGCTAGCTTGTTATTTGGTGGTATGTCTCAACCTCCTGCTAGAACTGATTCAAGTCCATCAGAAGCACCGGAACCACCAGCACCGGAACCACCAGCACCGGCACCACCAGCACCAGAACCAGAAGTAGCTCCTTCAGTTGAAAAAAATCAAACCCCTCCTCCTCCAACTGCTGCAAATGACGATTTTGATGAAGACTCCGATGACCAGTTCGCCACTCCACCAACTTTGTCAAGCCAAGTGCCACCTAATGATTTGATTGCACCACCGGTACCACCAGAGGCACCACCAATTCCTTCAGAGGCACCACCAATTCCTTCAGAGGCACCACCAATTCCTTCAGAGGCACCACCAATTCCTTCAGAAGCACCACCAATTCCTTCAGAAGCGCCACCGATTCCTTCAAGTATTCCGCCACCTCCTCCACCACCTCCTGCCAGCTTTGGTGCACCACCTCCGGCACCCCCAAGTGCACCATCCGGTGCACCACCAGCACCACCTCCACCTCCACCAGCACTCCCTTCTCAACCATCGAGTAGTGGACCACCTTTGGGAGGAGCACCTGATATTGGAGCTTTGTTGGGCCAAATTCAAGGTGGTAAATCCTTAAAGAAAGTGGATGAAAACCAAAAACATATAGCTGATGGTGCTACTGTTGGAAGAGTACTTTAAGTAGCTCAATTTAATTTATATATTGTTTTATAATTTTCATTCTATAAATCATTTTTTTACTTTCTTTCTAATGTGAACTATCATTGCAAGTACCTTCTAAATAAAAGTTTCGATATATTAATATTTACAATTCTTTATTCAAATACTATTTACATTAAATCGTTGATTATTGATTAGTTTCGCCATTAAGAACCTCATCATGGTTTGGTTCAACAACAATCTGTCCATCCTTGGCATCAATATGGACAGTCTCAGCTTCTTTAACTTGTCCCTTGATTAAAAGCATGGCCAAAGGATTCAATAATTTCTTTTGCAAGACTCTATTTAGAGGCCTAGCACCATAAACGGGATCATAACCTAAGCTAGTTAACAAATCTTTAGATTCAGAAGTCAAATCAAGAGAAATTCTTTTATCGGATAATCTTTCACTAATTTCTCTTAAACGGATTTCTAAAATGTTTCTTAAAGATTTCTTGGACAATCTGTTGAATATAAGAACCTCATCTAAACGGTTCAAGAATTCGGGAGGATAGTGGTGTCTTAAAGCTTCTGTAACTTGAGATTTCGTATTTTCGTTAATATGGCCATCATCAGAAGTGTCTTTATCTGCCAACAATATTTCTTGTCCAATATTGGAGGTAAGAACAATGATTGTATTACGGAAATCAACATGGGTTCCGTGAGAGTCAGTCAAAGAGCCTTCATCCAAGACTTGTAATAATAGTTTGGAAACATCTGGATGTGCTTTTTCAAATTCATCGAAAAGCAATACTGAATAAGGTTTCCTTCTAACTGCTTCAGTCAATTCACCGGACGCATCATGACCGACATAACCTGGAGGTGCACCGATTAATCTCGAAACAGTATGTCTTTCTTGAAATTCTGACATATCAAATCTGATAACTGAAGATTTATCATTAAATAAAAATTCTGCCAAAGACTTAGTAAGTTCCGTTTTACCGGTACCAGTAGGACCCAAGAAAATGAAAGAGGCAATTGGTCTCTTATCGCTTGTTAAACCAGCTCTTTGTAATCTAACTGCATCAGCAACAGCATTAATAGCTTCATCTTGACCAATGACTTTCTGTTTCAACAACACTTCCATGTCCAACAACTTATCTTTTTCACCCTTCATTAAGTTAGTTACAGGAATACCAGTCATTTTTGAAATAACTGCACCTATATCATCAGACGTGACCGAATCATGAAGCAAGTTCGAGCCAACAACTTCCTTTTCAGTCACTTCTTGAACTTGTTTTTCTAAACGAGGGATGGTTGAGTATTGTAATTCAGAAGCCTTACCATAATCACCTTGTCTTTGAGATTGTTCAAGGTCGAATCTGGCTTGTTCTAATTCAGATTTAGCCCTTTTAATTTCATCCAAAGAACCCTTTTCAGCTTCCCATTGTTTAGTTAATTCATTTAATTCTTCTTCTTTTACTTTCAACAGTTCTTCTAATTTCAATCTACGATCGGTAGATAGTTGGTCATCTTCTTTTCTCAAAGATTCCAATTCAATTTGAATGGTCATTATTTGACGATCCAACTGAGCAATTGCATCAGGTTTTGATTCATGTTGTAATCTTAAAGTGGAGCATGCTTCATCAACCAAATCAATTGCCTTATCGGGAAGAAATCTGTCAGTGATATAACGATTGGAATATAAGGCAGCAGTTACTAAAGCAGAATCGGTTATACGAACCCCGTGATGAACTTCGTAACGTTCTCTCAAACCACGTAAGATTGAAATAGTATCTTCCACAGTAGGCTCACTTACCATTACCGGAGAAAATCTTCTTGCTAAAGCGGCATCTTTTTCAACATACTTACGATATTCATCAATAGTGGTGGCACCACAAAGTGAAAGCTTACCTCTTGCCAATGCAGGCTTCAACAAGTTAGAAGCATCTATTGAACCTTCAGCTTTACCGAGGCCCATTAATAAGTGTAACTCATCAATGAATAAAATAACATTACCTTGTTTTTCTTCAACTTCTTTAAGAATCTGTTTTAATTTTGATTCAAAATCACCTCTGAATTTAGCCCCAGAAATGATACCTGCCAAATCCAAAGTGATGATTTGCTTATCCTTCATGCTTTCAGGAACTTCACCCTTGATAACTCTTTGAGCCAAACCTTCCAAGATTGCGGTTTTACCGGTACCGGCATTACCTATAAGTACCGGATTATTTTTGGTTCTTCTGGATAAAATTTGAACAGTACGACGTATTTCCTCATCACGTCCGATAACAGGGTCTAATTTCCCATCTTTAGCAAGTTGGGTCAAATCAGTTCCGAATTTTTCTAATGCTGGTCTATTGTCTTCTTTATTCATTGACATTTGCAATCTCGAAGCTGCAGACGAGTGGAACAATCTTCTTGGGTTAAAAGGTTGACGAGTGGCAAACGCTTCGTAAGGACTAGCAGGATAGCCACTCATGTCGACCAATGGCCGTATTGCTGTAAGAGATCTGATGCTGTTTGAAGAACTCTTCAAAGAAACCAGAGCCCGAGCTCTGGACATAATTGATGGTATCTTAGATCTTGCAGATAACATTGTTACTTACAATACTTCTCTTTTCTTTGATATACTTGAGCTGAATCTTTATTAAACTATGCAAATCCAAAAGATAATTTATTAATACAAGAGAGAAGTAAAGCAATTAAGTTAAAGAAGTAGGTTATATATATATAGTACATTAAATGACTTTTTCAGCCGGGATTATTCGAGAAGTTTCTAGCACAAAGCAAAAAAAACAATCTCGGATGTACGGGTGGGATCGTCCCACATTATGACTTCTCATCAGGGTAGTAGTCATCATGGCTGAAACCAGGATGGGGGACAAAAGGTGGAGGAAGGGGATCATGATCAGTGAAATGATGAGGTTGGGGCTGGACTTGGGATGAAGGGCCCTCCTGAGGCGGTTGTTCGGAGTCATCCCAGATATCGTAGTTATCAACGTATTCGATTTCGTAACTTTGGGTTGTATCTTCGGAATGGATAGACGGGTCATCGTTTTGGTTGGATGGAGGGACGTTACCAGTGTTATAATTTGTGTTTGCATTTGTAGCTGTATTGAACAAAGTAGTATCGGTGATTTGTTTTGAGTTACTAGAATTGGTAGACCCTGAAAGGATGATTTGCAGTTCAGTATCTTTATCAAGGTAGGATCTGATTGTTGGAGCAGCAAGGGAGTTACGTTTACCCAAGGCAACGTTTAAGACGTATTTGAAGAAAGATTTCAAGGATTGATTTTTCTTCTGTTGTGATTGGTCGTTGTCGTCTCGGAAACTAACGACATCATCTATACTAATTCTTCTACCCAAGACCCCCATTAACTCGTATCTTTTTTCTATAAATTTGACACTAGAGATCCACTCCCAAACAAGAGTTAATAGATAAATTTCAAGTAGGTTAGGAATTAGGTTTAGCCAAGTATTAACTAGCCAGTTATTTTTGAATAAGGAGATTGATAAGATACTCAACACAAGATGAAGGCCAAATATGAACCAGATGAAGAAAGCAAGGGGGATTAAACGTTTCGTATAGCAAATCCGGGGGTTTTTCAAGCTAGTTGTATAATAGAACAAGAAAAACGCAAACCAAATAATAAAGACAATTTTCAAAGCTATTCTCAGAATCATTAGTCCATTAAAGGTAATTTCGTACCTTATTTCATTATCTTCAATCATTTTGATATTATTGAAGCCTGCTTCATAAGCAATTAAAATCGACGTATAAGCACAAATGATCAAAGTACCGATAACACCAGAATGCCATTTAACCCTTGATGAGGTTAATTTAGTAACCACAATTTGGAAAACTGCCAACATGGTTAGAAGCTGTGATATCACAATTGTAACATGATAATCGGTAGTTCCATATATGCCTTCATAAAGTTTGGTTATATTAAGAGTATCATGATAATACTGACTAGTCGATATATCAGTAATATGAGTTAATAAGATAGTAGTCACTATAGTATAAAAAATTGTAGCTAATTGTGTTAAAATCGGTTTCCTTTTAATCTTTGGCGATAGAAAGAATATTAGCGATAACATCCAACCCGATATACACGATCCACTAATGGTGAAAAGTAATGCAACAAAAGTATCTCCGTTATCACTACTATTATAAATTGAGCATTTATACGATTTTTCCCAATCGCTTTTGGATCCACTGACCAGTAAATCATTAATCCTTTCAATAACATTACTTATAGAGCAATTAGTTACATAGTAGGCGGGTAATAACGTATCAGTAATATTTCTTGACCACGATCCATTACTCAAGTCTTGGATTTTAATCGATCCTGAACTCAACGAATACACCGAACAATTAGTATCTAGTCCGTCCTTCTGTAAGAAGAATATCGAATTATTACTCATCGCCATCTTCTAAACATTTTGCTTTTAAACTATCGAGCGGCAGGTTGGTTATTTATAATGAAAGAACTGACAAGATGAAGCTCTTGTTGCTTGTCCTTTATTTTTCTTAGCGTCTTCGCTGGTAGTGTGGGATTGCAGTAATTACTTCTACCAGACGGTGATATAACTGATATCAGACAGGGGTATAACTGTAGCAGAAGGGTATATGTGAAGGTGATCTTAGCCCTAGGACCGGTATTCGCAACTGTAGGACCTGGTAGTACCACTGCTGGTAATAGCTTGTATACTCTTTGGTTTAAGTTGGCTCATTGTATGTACAGGTGTAAAAAATGATTGAAAAACCTTTTACTACAAGACTCTTCAATGATTCGAGTACCTAGCTATGTCCCCCTAGGTCTCCGGGCCTTGGGGTTGGGGCCGGTGAGTCCAGCAGTCTATATTAAGCGAGCATACCTGAGCTCCAATGAACTAAGTCAGGACCAGATCGACAAAGCACGTACTTGGTTGGAGTCTTTCCAACCCGACAAGATTCCAAGGCACATCTTTGAAATAACCTACAGCAGGGCATCGGGACCCGGTGGGCAGAAGGTCAATAAGACCTCGTCGAAGGCCACGATCTCCATGACGGAAAACGAGTGGTTGGACCCTAAGGCGTGTTTCTGGATTCCATTTGCAGTAAGAACAAAACTATCACAACAGCCTCTAAGATACCAGACCAAGTCTGGGGGGATTGTGGTTCAATGTGACACTTTCCGTACCCGGGAGGTCAACACCGATGAGTGTTTCAAGAGATTGCTACAGGAAATCAGGGAGAATGTTCATTTTGCTGCTGAACCTACAGAAGAAGATAAGAAACGATGGGAAGAGATCAAGGCAGACAGAAAGGAAAAGAGGCTTTTCAACAAAAAGAAACAGAGTGACAAGAAGAAAAGTAGATCAAAGAGCTTTGACTATTGAAGTGTATATAGTAATAGAATTTGTAATTAGCTGAATATATTTATTGAAAGTTTAGTATACTAGTAGTTGACTGGGAGTGCATATTCAATTTTTTGTTGATAATTTTCAAATTTTTTTCCTTCTTTCAACCGTTTGTTCAGTGTTTCATTCGATAAGATACCAACACCAAATGGAACAAGGAAGAAAGTTTGCTGGTCCGGTGGACGAAGGAGCAAAGCAGCTCGTGCAGCAAGTTCGCAAGAGTGCTTCGTTGGAAAAGAATTACTTGGTTGAGATACCTCAATTTCCATGCAACCAATCTTGTATTGAAGCATTATTAACCAGCATCAAATCAGTAGGTGAAGGATTGGAAATCGCTTCAGAACTAGATAACGTTGGTGAAGAGGACAGGAAAACCATCGAGTCTGATTTAGATAAGTTCAACAATGGTATACAAGACAGAACCAGAGATTATACATTATTATTAATTTTTCAACACGGTGCTCAGGAGTTTCTTGATGAGTATTTGGCTAGTTTCAATGAAGAGCTTTCTGAAGATACTGAACTCAAGGGACAGAAAATCAATTCGAGCCGATTGAATATATTGAACCAGCTAGCCTTCTTGGTGGATATAAGTATAGAAATGTATTTGAACCATTTGGCCAGCACCAAATTTGTATTTTTCCAACTTATCCAATCCATCTCTGATACATTATCAAGAATATCCACCCAATCCATATCCACTTTCTGGTACTACTTAGAAACAAGAGAAGACTTGATCCAGTCCCGCATCTTCGATAAAAAAATGACCAGTGATAGAATATCCTTATTAGAAATATGCAATGGGTTAACTGATAAAATATATACTGGGACCAAGCACAAGGACTCTTATAGAAAAGATACTTTTAACGATAAATTTCAATTCAGGGTCCGAATTTTCTTGACAAACATTTTCCAGTTTGAAGATAACACTGGGTTGAATAAATATTTCACCTTGGCTAGTAGGGTTGTTAAAGAGTCCGGTCCACTTAAAACTAATTCTTGGAAAGATGAAGTATTGCAAGACATCGTCAAGCTTAATAAGATCTTACGCGATCCATACTCATGTTTGAAGAACCCAAGAGCTCTAGTCAATAATTGTGAAATGTTTAAAAGACTTAATGACTTTTTATTTGAAGAAGAAGAAGCGATAAAAGCACCTAAATCTGACCCGTTCCTTATTAAAAAGTCCGAACCAAAAGATTATTTGAAGCAAAAGTATGATGATAAAATGTTTTTCTCTGAAAACTACTGGTTGTCGCCTTTTGAAGAAACCCCAAGAGGTCCAAAGTATGAAACCATGAAAAAGGAAGATGAAACTTATTTTATGGAGCACACTCTTTCCAAATCTCGAAATCATCTTTTGATACAAATCTATTTCATAAGTTGTCTTTTTTATCAACTAGTAGGTAGCAACAAGAAACAATTATTAAAAGATATAAATGCTCCAGCTAATATTAAACATATAACTGATGATGCCACTCCAGAATCAGCAGTGAATATTTTTTTCAAAATCAGAAAAGATATGATTAACCGCTACAAAACCATTGACACTCAATTATCTTTCTTGTTACAACATATACAGAACTCAGAATTACATTGGTGGGCTTGGCTAATCTATAGTAAAGACCCTGTCACTGGGAAACCATTATTTTCCGATCGAGAACTCACCGACCAAGATCTTGAACTTGTTAATGAAAAGACTGCATCGGTGATACCTTTCAAAGAAAAACGATATTTCAACACTTATGGAACTCCTCAATTATCTAGAAAAATGAAGGTACCAACTGGACTAGAGCTACTCCAGAAAACCTCAGAAAAACCGGAAATCGATCAAAATGATATCGACCAGCTTACGGAAAAGATAAAGCATTCTACAGATAAAACGGAACAAGATGGGCTTGTGGAAGAAAGAACGGTTCTTCAATGGAAGAAATTAAAGCAGCAGAGAATTGGTAAATGGTTAGATTTGGGTGAATTGCTAAGCGAAGAGAAAATCTCTGCTCCGGCTCTTAAGAATGATACTGCTGACCCTGCCACTAATCACGAGAATACCAAGAATACTCAAGAGTCCGAACCATCCACTGAAGTCGATATGGAAGTCACCGAGACTTCTGGGTCAAGGAAAAGACCAATAGAAGAAGCCGATGACCCAGTTGCAAATGATGAACCATCATCCAAAAAGGCTAAAGTTGAGTCAACTACAGAACAATCGACCTAATTATAGCTTTGATCAACACAAACACAACCTACTTTCACTAAATATATATACATGTAGATATTAATTTAAAGTCAACCCAAACCATCCGCAGGCTCGCCCGGACGCAGATTGGGTCCGCCTATTCGCACGAAGCACTGCAAAACTCCTGAATCGCTCATTTGTATCTTTGACCCCTAAATCTTACAATGCCGTAATCGAGGAAATCACAAAAAAGTTGTTGAATCATTGAAGGAGATGCAAGCTTTGGTCGGAATCAGCAACAGCCTATTCCCCAAAAACCAAATTCGCTTGTCGGTGCCGTTCCCAAAAATTGGGTCCAGAGTTTTGTGAGAAGACGACTGCTCGGACGGGCTCATCGACCCATCACAAAACATTTTAGTCGGTGGGAACCACGGCGTAGTGCGTGTTTTGTACCAACCCAATCTGGAAATTTGTATGAGAGGCTCCCTACGCGTCTTCTGAAGCAGATTTTTTTTCAACTTTATTTCGTCTACTTAGGAGTTGATTAGAGCAGATGATTACACAGAAGCTAGTCATTAAGTGGAACCAGGCAATTTGATTCAAGCATTATTATCCAGGAAGTGCCACAAGAAGGATTCAGTAACCGTCCAGCTATCTCATTGAACGAATTCCACCAGGATCAAACCAGTTGTGATTTTTGTAAGATTTGAAATTTTTCATCATGTGGGCTGGGACCAATGTCAATCAACGGCCTGTTTCTGATTCGATCTTTTCAGACCAAGGATCTATTCCAAGACTAAGCCCAACGCCTAAAAGACCACTCTCACCACCGCAAGACCCTGGGAACCTCACAAGCTCAAATGCAGATATGATAAACTATTTCAACCTAAATAACTCTAGGAGAAATCTGCCTAGACCACGATCTAGAAGTCGAAATGGTTTGAGGAGTGCTAGCGGTCTGCCTAAAGTTGCCAATAATTGCATTACTTCCAAAAACATCATTGATTTAACGTTATCAAGTGAGGAAGAACAAAAAGTTAATCTTTCCGATGATGAATCTTCTGCTCAAGAATCACCATCTAGATCAAGTACAAAAAGTGCAAAGAAAATGTATAAAAGGGCAAAGACAGCCCGTTCGTCTAACCAAAAGACAAACGACAATAACGTCGTTGATATTGCATCATCTCCTATCAAAGAATTACGGCCTACGCATACTCCATCTCCTACAAAACTATCATCATCTCCGATTAGAAAGAAGAAATCAGTGGTTTTTTCAGACTTTCTTGTTTCAGATGCCCCAAGCTCTCCGGCACCAAATCAAACAATCCTAGTTAATGATACTTTGACCCCTAGGAAATCTATTTTGAAGCCTAATATTTTTGGCAAGAACAGTAGCTCATCGGACCCAAATAATACTGCATTATGGGTCAAATCATCATATACTTTGGAAAATGAACAGCATAACTCTCCTTCTAATCCAAAGTTTTGGTTACCTGGTACAATCATTCAACTTACTCCTGACTCCCCTGACTTACCTCAATTAGTCGATGGTTGTTTAAATGTTCTTAAAGACCCAGCTTTCAATAAAAAATTTGAGGTTTACGCTACTTTAAACCATATTTGCAAATTTAATAGTACTGATGTTTTAATGAAACTCTTCATTACAATGAAGAAAGCCCCAACTATTGACAATAATAATATAGGTAACAGTCCCCTAGCAGCCCCAACTAGAAGTAAATCACCAAGTTCCTTGGATGACAATTACATAAATGAGTTTTCCGGATATATAAAACGTGACATTCAATTAATAGAAGATAAATTGTTCAATAAAATACTGAATTTGGGGGATACAAAAGATAATTTACAATCAGATCACAATGTTTCGCCTAGAAAGAATGATCCCTTTTCAATAAGAATTATTAGTCAAGCGCTTAGATTTATGTTTCTTATCATTTCAAATTCAGAACTTAACAATTTTTTATCTGTTAATGATGTCAAATGGTTCTACATGCATTCCTGTCAGACTATAATAAAACCTGAAATCTCCAAAACCCTACTTCTTCCCTATTTAAGTATAATTAAAGACTGCAAATTCACTGGTAGAAAGAAAAAGCTCATTTTTGAACTACAAGGTAATTCGTCTGTACTGGAACATATGTTATTTGCATTATTGAATATGAAGAATTTTACCAGCTCATCTTTAGTGGTTGAAAAATTCATCACTTTAAGAAACTTGGTGCTGAATTTCCCTGTAGTGATGGCTCAAAACTTCCATCATTGGTTCAGCTTGCTTGTTATCAATTTATGTGACTCGTCGTCCCCTCTTTACTCTAAAGTAATAACCATGGGAGTTTCTGCATTGCTAGAAGTTGCTAGAACTTATTTGGAAAATCGAGATATTTTGGTTTCAGTTAGGAAATTCATGGAGTCCCCTTTACCTTCAGAAATAAAATCTTTTTCATCTGATGCAAAGATTAGTGTATCAAATTTCGACCTTAATCATCCAGCCCCATCGGGACTAGAATACATCAGCAATTGCTTACTGAGCTTGATTGATAATGGACAGTACAAACCAGCAATGGATATCTGGGTGTCGCTCACCCTCCTATGTAATGACTCTTCGGATGGATTTGAAAACTGGTCAAAGTTATCATCTTGGTTACAAATTCATAAATCCTGCTTTAATAAACCGGATAGTTCAGCAAGGATCATTGCCATTACTAGCTGGAAAGCAATTGTCTACAACTTGTGCTCTAATGACTTTAACAACTTGAGAAAATCAATCGAACCAATGGCTCCAAATAGTCCAAATTCTGGTGTGAATAGTCCAATGACACCGAGAAACAAATCAAACCAACAGCAAGTATTTAATTCCTTACGTCCAAAAGTAAAGCTACTTTTACATATCTTACTTAACATTTCCTCGCCTGAAAATGAGCGGGAAATCATAGATGTTCTTCATAATTTATTTCTTTCTATGGTTTATATGTTACTTAATCCGTTAAATATGAGAGATTCTTTAAAATACACCCATGTTTATTGGGATAAGGTGATTCAACCAACACTTATAGGTTTCCATTTCAAAAAAGACGCAAGTTCTCACATGAATCAATTGGGCCTTAAATTTTTGACCAGGTTACTTAGTGGTGGAACACCCATCACCGAGAGAAATTTTAATGAAATACGTTGTCTCTCGATTGAGCCACTTAGTCTATTAGAATTGAATGGGCTTAATCCGAAGTGGGTGCACAACAGATTTGATCGGATTTTACAAACGATTGCTTTGGTATTCAAGCTTGACAAAGTTAATGTTGAAGCAAAGGCTAACTACTTTATTGCCTTTTTAAATAACTTGAAACTTAGTACTAAGAAAGAAATTAAGACTTCTGAGGCTACTTTTGACATTATTGATGATTTAACATATGTCTTAGGAATATTTTTCAAGCATAACAAAATTTCTTATACCTTGGTTTTGAGGCTCTTGAGTGCTTTGAAGGATACATTCACTGGATATAACTTGATGCAGACAACTGATCCTCATCAAAATGTCTTCATTTTAATTTTACAAAATACTATTGATGATCTCAATTCAATGCAATTGACAGATATGATAACTAGCGTATGCTCTTCAATAGGTGATAAGATGCAGTTGCAATTTACTTATCAGCTCTTGAACTTAAATATCAACTTAAAAAAACCAGGATTACAAAAGTTTGCAACAGATATTTTGGTCAATGTTCGAGCAAATATCACAGATAACTCTGAATTAGAAGTTACTTCGAAAATATTAAACATTTTAGATCAAGATTTTCATATTTTTGCCAAAAGACTCATCCAGGACATGGTATTAGTAAGACAGGAAGAGTTTCAAAGATTAATCAGCATTTTGAAGGTCCATAACTGGTCACTTCCTATTTTTAAATTTTTCATTAACTTGATACATGATGCACCTTTGGCGCATTTGAAGCAAATGGGGCTCAACTTGATTATTTTAAAATGGGAACAAGAGTCCTGCTTCATTGAACTTTTAAAGTTTTTAACTGATAATGATTTTCATCTCGAAATTTTCAATTTGAAAAAAAACTTGCTAAAGAAAGCATCAACGTTAGACGAGTATGCAAAACTTGATTTTGAAAAAATTTGGTCCTCTTACTTGAACAAAACTGAGTCTGGAGGAAACTTTGTGTTGTATGATCAACTTCTTTTAACAACGTACGAGGGTGGATTCGAAGTAGAAAAGTTTGTTAACGGAAACTGGGATAGATTACCTTTATTAAAAGCTGCATACACAGAAAAGAAAAGAATTGAACATGAACCTTCTTGTGGAGCATTAGACCAATCCCCAGAAACAAGTATCAAGGAACCCGAAAGCGAAAGTTCTAAAGAACAACAAGGTGAAACAAAACCTACTAGTACTCTCGAGAAGGGAAGCTTCAGTTCCAGCTTGAACAAAAACAATATTCAAGACGAATTACCAAACCAAAATTCAGCACGTACTTCGAGATCCCCAACGCCTAAAACTAGCACGGAGAACAAAGTACCAACAGTTAAGGTTGAAGAAACTGGACAAAACTCCTTAGTCTTTGATCAAAACGACTCGCTCAATCCTGATGAGCTGAAAAATTCAGAAGGTGAAAATCAATCAGGATGTGGAGAGGCTTCGGTAACGACTTCCCTGCCTCAAGGTGAAGTAATTCCTGATCTGCTATCCGACTCCGTGAACAATGACGAAGCCAACTCTAGAGAGTCTTCGGTGCCATTAGAGAAGACGGGGACAAAAAGTAAGAAAAGCAGCAAATCACCTGGGGCGAAATCTAAAAAGAAGAGTAAAAAGCAAAAAGAAAATAAAATGGAACCTCTATCTTCACCTGACAATTCACAAGAGATGTTTGACATACATTCATTTACTGCTCTTTTGACGCAGAAATTGACTCCGGCACCAACTGAAGGAATGACTAAGGCAGCAAAACGGAAAGCCAGAAGAAGTCGACTTCATGCTCAAAAAAGAGCAGCAGAATTAGCTCGCTTAGAGTTGGAAAAGATCAAGGCTTCTGGTAAAAAAATTAAAGAAGTTGAGAATATGTCTGAAAAATTGCCCGATAAATCGTCTAATGAAGAGGACTTGATATCAGATATTGACAGTAATTCTTTAAATGAAATTAGCAGCTCCAATGAAATGGAAAGTATAGATGATTCTGCAAATCCTTTAGAAGATAAGACTATGACAGCGGAAAAGTGCAAAGAGGTTGGAAGACAAACTAGAAGTACTTTGAAGAGAAAATCTATTTCCCAAGAGCCTGTCGGCAGCAAGAGGCCAAAAGCACTGTCCAATAATATAGAAACCAATGCCCGTTCAAGTGACAAGCAAGTTCCAGAGTCCGAGGAAGAATCCTTAGAAAAGCAAACTCCTCAAGACCAACCACAAGACAAAGAATCCTTGATACACAGTTCAGATTCAAGGGACAAATGTATCAAGCTTGAGGAAAAGGCTGTTCGTTGCTCCTTGCAATCAGATAACACTCAACTGAATTCATTCAATTCTCAAAGTTTTCAAGCCCATTCAACAACTATCCAGAGCTTGGAAAAAGGCAATTCTGCCAAAACTTCAGAAGAAGACCAATATAAGATTGTGGTTAGACCTTCACTTCCGGTGGTTCAAGAAAATCCACAAAGCATTTCTACCAACCTGCTTCAAAGAGTAGATTCGTCCGAGTCTTTTTTATCCAATAGGGTTCAAGGAACTTTCCAATATCTATCTGGGGTTATTGGAGACATCTCGCAAGAAGCCATAAATTCCATGAATCCGGAGGAGAAACACAGGCTAGAAACTGAGATGATTAAACTAATGCTACGTTTAAGAACACCAACTGGCAGCCAAAGGCAATTAAGTCAATAAATTTGTAAATTAGTGTACCATTATAAACCTGAATATAATAGCATGTATAACTCTTATATATCAATATTGTAGGTCTAAATCGCGCATCAGGTATAGTAGGTCAGGGTTAATCTGAAATATAAAATAGGTTCAATTCATCACCCCACAGAAACTTGGTTAAGACTATTATGTTTCATTATATAAATCAATCTTTATAAGATCTTTGAATATATAGAGCAGTCAAGTTATAATTCATGTCAATCGTTCCGTATAATTATAATAGTGAAATCGTTTATCATGACCCTAACTATGGAATCTTAGTTCTACACAATAACCAACAAAATAGCATTCAATTACTATCCACGATTGATCAACCAGATAGAAGTCAATTCAGAAGACACTCTTCCGAGCCATTCAATACCAATAATTTTGAAATCCCTCGAGAACATGACTCAAATGAATGTCCCAACTGTGGATTCAGATGGTCTCATCAACGATACCAGAAACGAAGAAATAATGAGAGCCCAGCCATGACTTCATCTTCTTTGGATAGCCCTGGAGAAATGGTCCCAGTGAGTAAGAGCAGGTACCCCCTGGGATTCATGCATAACGATTATTTCAAAGTTCTTGCCAATTTGCCATTTGATGGGGATAAATATAAACTTGCTTCTCCAAACAGCTCAATTAAAAGATTACCGAAAGAGATCTTCAATCAGGGCTACTTCAAGAGGTTCTTCAAAAAGATTCCCCCGTATGTATTGGGTTCAGGTGCTCATGCCCAAGTATATAAAGTTATGCATGTTTTGAATGAAATACAATTGGGTACCTACGCGATTAAAAGAATCAGTATTGGAGATCACTCCACTTTCCTAGATCAAGTTCTTACAGAGGTTTTGATTTTGTATGAACTTTCCACCCAGGGCGCAAATGAGAACAATTTGATCCGTTATAATCATGTCTGGCTTGAAATGGGTGATATAAATGATCTGAATACATATTTTTTGCCTAATGATGACGGTGATCAAAGAGACTTAAATTCAAAAGTGCCATATGTTTTCATACTACAACAGTACGCAGGCGGTGGCCATTTAGAAGAATTGATTTCTAAAAATTTTCAAAAGGAAAAGATCATGTCTCTCAAAGATAAAGTTGGAATGGAAAGAATGAAGAGAAGAATGAAAAAGGGATCGATTCCACAAGAGAAAGATGGAGAAGATCATCATAAAAGATGGCTCTCTGATTTTGAAATTTGGAAATTTTTTAAAGACGTTGCCAATGGAGTCAATTATTTACATCTAAAGGGTATATTACATCGGGACTTGAAACCATCTAATTGCTTGTTAGATGTTGAATACGATTCTAACGGTTTGGATGACCTGGTCACCTTTAACTCTGTTTCGGATTTGGAGCAATTGGTGTCAATCATGCCAAAAGTTCTCGTATCTGATTTTGGTGAAGGTAAATTCATCGACAAGCAGTACTTGGCCAACAAGCATTTGAGCTCCTCCTCTGAGGAAAGGCAAGGTAACACGGGTACTTTAGAATTCACTGCTCCTGAGCTATGGCTATTTGCCAATTACGATCCATCAGCTGAACATGAAAGACAACGGTTTGTCTATGGGTTCACTTATAGTAGTGATATATATTCATTGGGATTGATTTTATGTTGGCTATGCGTTGGATCTCTACCCTTTTCCTCGTACATTATCGACCGTACCAATCCTGATCAAGTGAGAGAATCAATTGCACAATGGTACTTTGACTTGAATGCATCCAGATTCCGCGACTGGTTCACCAGCCAAATAGAAGGCACTCGAGGCAGTCGGGACTTTTACACTGAGCCGTTACAAGACTTCGAAAAATTAATATACTTGATGATTAAAGGAAACAATGGAGATTTCACCCGGGGAATAGCTGAAAGAATTAACTGTGCCGAAGTAATGAAGTTTCTAGATGCAATCAAATGGAAACGTTTCATCAAACCAAATAAAAGTAAGATCCATGAAATGGATCCAAATGAACCTCAATCCCCCATTAATTCATATACTTCCAGCGAAGCAAGCTCTCCGCGAGAGCCTAAAAGCGCCGGAAATAGCAAACCCCATCAGAAGACCAACCCTCAAAACGCCTCAGAGACAGATTATGGACCTGAAGATGATGACGATGACCTTGACTATGAAGACAACCTTGTTCAAGATTTAACTGACATTGAAGTTTCCGATCTGCCCATCATTGAGAAAGACCTGATAACGAGTCAAATTACTCAGGATGGGTCTGGTCCTTGGAGGGAATTCCTTTTCACCTACCAACAACATATTTCAGTTTTATTGTATGTTTCAGCCATCCTTATTCTTGATCGTCTCCACGAACCGCATATATACAAGCATTTGGTCCTTGTGTTCTTCGCGGGTGATGTGCTTCTAGTTAGCCGTTGGGGCTTCAGAGTGTTTTTGAGTGTATTGGTATTGGTAATGGTTGCAACTCTTTCAGTTTGGAAGACGTTGATGTGAAAAATCTGGATGTAAGACTGTATATAGTGCTCTTCTCATTTTTATTTTTATTTTTTTTTTTTTTTGTTCTTTCTGTAGTTCCGTTTTAATTTGCAAAAACATCTCAGTTCTTCTTTGGAGGTAACTGTTATCTTATTGGATCAATTCTGCTGAGAAACGTTTTGGAAAACTCGAGTGAAAAATGGGTAACAAGAGAAAGAGAGAAATATCTCCGGTAGCTGCTAAAGCTCCCAATAAGAAGCAAAGAAGGAAACAAGCTAAGAAACAAGCCAAACTTGAAAAAAGTCAAGTTTCAAAGTCAAACAATTTCCAGCCGTTATTTCTAGACGATCCTGAAGATCAAGAGGATGAGTCTCTGTCAGAAAACGATGATTTTGTTCTTGTTGACTCTGATTCCCATGACGAGAATGAATATGAGAATGAAAATGATGATGAGGTCGTCATAGTATCTGACTCTGAAGATAATAATGATGAGGAAAAGAGACCAGAAAGCGAGAAAGGTGAGAATGAATATAATGAATTGTCCAAAAACCAAGATTTCATAGAGTTTGGATTTAGCTCATCTGAAGGTGAGGACGAGCGAATACTCGTTGAAGACGGAGAATATTCAGATGACGGTATAATAAGTGACGATCAAGAGGGTATTTTACATACAAAAATGGATAATGCTTCCTTGTACCCATGGATTAAAGACCACGACCATTCGAAACAGAAGGAAATTGCTGATTGGTTGACACATGAAATGAAGGATTTTGTTAATTACATTTCCCCATCCAAAGAAGAAATTATAACGAGAAACCTGGTTGTTTCAACATTGAAAAAGGAAATAAGTAACTTTTGGCCAGGTACTGAAGCTCATGTGTTTGGTTCGTGTGCTACAGATTTATACTTACCGGGTTCTGATATCGATATGGTGATCATCTCAAAAACTGGGGATTATGAAAACAGATCTAGGCTATATCAACTTTCATCGTTTTTAAGGACTCACAATTTAGCGAAAAATATTGAAGTGATTGCCAAGGCTAAAGTCCCGATCATCAAGTTCGTTGATCCCTCATCTAACATTCATATTGATGTTTCATTCGAAAGAAGCAATGGTATTATGGCTGCTAAAAAAATTAGAAAATGGTTAGCAACCACTCCAGGTTTGAGAGAATTAGTGTTAATCGTCAAACAGTTTTTAAGATCAAGAAAGTTAAACAATGTTCACGTTGGTGGTTTAGGTGGTTATTCAACTATTATGTTATGTTATCATTTTCTCAAGTTACATCCAAGACTATCTACAAGCAGCATAAAAGTCTTAGACAATTTAGGTTCATTACTCATTGAATTTTTCGAACTATACGGTCGTAACTTTTCATACGATGATTTGATCATTGCAATTGACACTGAAACGGACTTGCCCAAGTACTTATTGAAACGTCACCATCCTGTATTAAACACTTCAAGAAACCCATTTTCAATAGTGATTCAAGACCCTTCAGATCCTGCTAATAACATTTCAAGATCATCATATAACTTAAGAGATTTAAAGAAAGCTTTTGGTGGTGCATACCAACTTTTGGTTGATAAATGCTATCAATTGAATGGTGCATCATATAAACAAAGAATTGGACAATCAATTTTAGGTGATATAATACGGTATAAGGGGAAAGAGCGTGATTTCAATGATGATCGTGATAAAGTTATCAATAATGCCTTAATAACGCATGATGATGAGAGTCAAGATGAAAGTGATGGAGCTAATGGTAATGATAAATATTACTTCTCTGACATAACTGTTGAAAGTGAAAATGAAGGAGTCAAAGAGGAGAAGCTCAAAAAACAAAGTCCCAACCCTGAAAAAAAAGCTCCATCTAAGAAGATTGGAAGTAAGCCCAATGGATTTTCAAATAAGGATCAATCTCAAAAAAGAGTTTCTGATTACATGAGCATAAGAGACTCTGATTCTGAAGCTTCGGATAATGATAACAAAAATGATATCAAAGACCAAGAATCAAAAAGCTCTAAAAAACCTAAACTTTCACTTGATAAGGACGTGAGAAGAGATTATTGGAAACAAAAAGGTTTAGATATCTAAAAATTATATATTAAAGATCTTGCATGAATTAATTTTTCATTAATTTACAAATATAATACAAATTAAATAGAATAGTTTAAAGTAATTGTAACAAAATTTTAAAGAATTGAATGGTGATGCAAAAAAAGGTTTTATGGTTGGTTAACAACATCTCAGCGTATTATTTTTACTTATCGATGCTGCCAAAAGATTCAATTGAGTAGGATTTGACTCATTATTCTTCTGATGTTCATAATAGTTTTCAAAAAACAGCATATCAAGATCATTCACTAATGAATCAAACAATTCAATAACGTTCGTACCTGACTTAGCACTAGTTATGAAAGTCTTAATATCCAAATCATTACCAAACACTTCAACGTCGTTTAGGGATGATTTCATCTCTTCGCTCTCGAGGTCTACCAAATCAGACTTATTGCCAACTAAGATTATTTTAATCAGGCTGTCACTTGAGCCAGTATTCAATTTTAGTTGATCGATCCAACTTTTAGCTTTTTCAAACGAATCATCAAAGTTATTCAAATCGTAAACTATTAATGCTACTTTAGCATTCCTGTAGTACATTGGAGTCAATGATCTATATCTTTCTTGCCCAGCAGTATCCCATATTTCGAACTTCAATCTTTTTTTGGAGTTTAATGATGATGAAAATTCTTTGGTTATAAATGCTGCTCCAATGGTGTTGGAAGTATGTTGATTAAAGCTATTTGTAACAAATCTGTGTACTATTGATGTTTTACCTACTGAAGAATCGCCAAGTAGTACCAATTTGTAAGGAGGCAGGGGTAGAGTATCACCTTGTGAAGCAAGCGACATTTCTTACGTTAATCGTGTTTTAGACTCGACTTATAAAGTTAATTATAATTGAAGAATGACCTTAGATCACAACTTTATAGCATCAACAAGAAAGAAAAATCAGGATCTAGATGTACGGGTCTACTCTAATAACGATTAAAATTTTATATTTGAAATGAATAAGAAAGTAAAACTATTAAATAATGACAATAAGTCCTAGTAAAAGATAAATGAATGTACCTTAGCTTTTTCGAGAATAAATACTCATGATTTGATATGAATTCCTAATGAAAAATAATGATAGAAAAATAAATCAGCCGGTAATAAAACAAACATAAAAGACAATTATTGGAATATACAACTACATTACAAAAAGCTGTTTGGTAAACTTTTTCAAAAAAGTTATTGAGCACCACCAAAAGCGTTTTGGAATTGGGAGGCACCACCGGATTGTTGCCATTCGAGCATGAATTCTTCTAAAACACCAAAAGCAGAAGAAACACCAACTATAGCACCAACACCTTTACCAAAACCACCAAAGATTTCAGAAGCGATAGCTAAAGCAGCCAAGACAAAAGCACCACTTACTGAGGCAACAGGAATGACACGGGATAATTCTTTAGCAACAGAAACGTCTCTTTTACCAGCAATTGAGATACCTTGATCTTTAAATTGTTTAGCGATATCTTTTGGAGCAGAACCAGAAATTTTAGACCAGAATTGAGCAAACCAACAAGATAATAAGATGATAGTGGCAGAGTAAGTGACGACTCTAATTGGAGATAAAGCAGCTTGAACCAAAGAAGAAGGAGGAGATAAGTAGAATAAAATACCATTACTTAAATTTAAGGTAGCTGATTTAGAATCACGTTGATAAGAACCCAAGATTGAAGCAGCAAATGGACTGTAAATGGATAATAATTTAACTAAGAAGAAACCAGCGATTTGAATATTAGCAATGACTGCGAAAGCAAAGAAAATTGGTAAAGCACCAGTGTATAACAATCTAATTGGGAAAACATTATTCATACCTCTAACTTTGGTTGATCTAATTGGTAATTCAGTTCTAAAGTTTTGTAAGCCAATAGTGACCAAAATAGTAGCCAAACTAATATAGAATTGAGTTAAATTAGGTAAGGATAAACGGTTAAAAGAATTTAAGAAATTAGCAGAAATGTTTGAAAAATTTAATGGGTATAAATTTTTAACAAAGTTAGTAACAGCACCGAAACTTTCGGTTTTATTTGAGTTTGGTAAAGCAACGATTTCCAAACCAACGATATCTCTAATTAAGTTGGTAGCAACTTGTAAAGTGACAAAACATAAGACCCCACTACCGAAACCATAGCCTTTATCAAAGATTTCAACCAATAAAGTGACCAACCAATTCCAGCCAACAATTTGGCCAAAGATTAAAGCGTAGGTCCAGAGTGGTTTAGCACTAGAAGAATCCAAAGGATTGTAACCATGAATAACGTCATCATAGTAACCAGACAAGATTAAACCAGTGCCGAAAGCGATGGCTAAGATAAAAGCAGTTAATTTTTGACCAGTTTGGTATAATTCACGATCGATACGGTAGCTCAAGTTAACTTTTAAAAATCTTGAGCCAGCAGCAATTTGCCAAATAAAGGCACTAGTTATAACGGGTAATAAACCCAATTCTAACAAAGTACCTTTTTCTAAAGCAAATATGGATCTAATTGGAATGAAAGGATCGTTAATTTTCAATTGGGCATCAGAAACCAATCCAAACAAAGGTAATTGGGAAATTAAAAAGATTAACCCACTTCCAATGGTGAAGATGATTTTTTCATCTAAACTGAGTTTATCAGTTGGGGTTTCAATTTCCGGTAAAATTGGTAAGAAGAAGTGAATTACTTCGAGAAGACGAACTAGACACCCGGTTAGTATTGCAAGTGGAAAGCTTATTTCGATAGAGTCACATACATCCAGCCATGATTGATGGTGTGTTGTTAAATAAAATTCTTCAAAGATTTCATTTTAAAGATACGAGCTAATTTTTCAGTGAACAAGTTTTTTTCAGTCGTTGAGCAGAAAATGAAATTATACCGGAGGTCACGTGAGCGTAATCAATTTACAATTTACAATTGGAGCTATTCTTGAAGATTTATATTATATTATATAGAATTATTGGGAGACGTTAAACTTGGTGGCCATTTCGACGGCAGCAGCACCCCAGTCTTCACCATGGTTGTGCATTTTACCTGGAACCAAGCCTGCTCTGGCTTCGGCTTGTTCGTCACTAAGACAGGTCAAGACCCCAAAGATGATTGGGATTTTCAATTCAAAGTTTAATTTCATTAAAGCATGAGTGGTGGCATCACAGATGTATTCGAAGTGCATGGTAGAGCCTTTGATCAAAGTACCAATTGGGATAACGGCATCTAAAGGTTTACCTAATTTTTCATGTTTTTCAACAAACAATTGAGAACCAAAGGGCAATTCAAAAGAGCCTGGAACGGATTCAACAAAGATGTTTTCTTCTTTAACTCCTAATTCGAGGAGTTTTTTAACGGCACCATTAACCAAAGAGTCGATGATTTTTTTGTTCCATCTGGCATGAACAATCCCAACTCTCAAGTTGGAACCGTCGTAAGTTTGATCCATTTCACCTAATCCTTTAACAGCCATTGTTCACGGTTTATCTTCTTATAACCAGGAATGCAATATAACCACAAGATCACCAGGAAAGCAAACGGTTTATAAGTGAAAATTTGACTTTGATGTCGTCTCGCAGAGAAAAATGTACGGAGGTTTGCTTCTGCAATCCCCGTTGTCGGGAGATGCTTAGACTGGTTAGATATCACCGACGTCAAAGCACTCCACAATGGATCAAGAGGCTGAAGGCAGCACATCGACTGTCAATGATTTGTGCTCTCCCGGTCGGATAGCTGAAGATCTAGCAGCCATGGCTGCAGCAGCAATGTTATATGTAATTACAAGATCACTAATTAAATATTACTATAATACTAGATCACAGTACCTGTACCAACAGTACCTGTACCAACAGTACCAGTACCAGTACCAGTACCAGTACCAACACTTGTACCAACACACTAATGCAGGTTTGTGCAATATCAACTCAGTGTATAAATTTGAGTGAAAATTTTTTCAGTCCTTCCACTTACTACTTCTTTTCTTCAGCACCAGTGCAACCCTACGTGTAAGAGTATACGTGCGGTGGCACGCCTGTGTATGGATATGATGATACCGTTAACACTGAATACTAAAGCATGTTAGAACAAACACATCAATATATTTATGTCTTTCACCCCTATCTGATCCGTATACCGTGCTTGCCTACTTGCTGGGGGTATGGGTGTTTTGCCGAGTGAGTGCGGGCGTGCGCCCACCGCCCAAAAAGGAATTAACTGTGGCTTACGTAATCGCCGATAAGATATACACAGTTTATATATTTTTTTGTGTAAAGTAGAAACCGGGTCTAATCGTTTAACCCTTTTATCAGGTTGCTCGTTTCAAATTAGTAGTTGTTCTTTCTTTTAATCTATTGAGTAGAGATGAATATTAATAATAATAACCAACATCAGCAGGGCAGTCGGTTAACTGCTCAGAATTTGAATAATCACGGTGGCCGGGCCACCACCACCACCGCCAGTTCGAATTCTATATTGTCTGATCTGCAAAGTCTGTGGGTGTTGTTTAATCCAGCTAACGAAATAACATCGATTAACACCAATAGAAGGAATTCGCTTGGTACCAATGAATCAGACTTGTTGTCATTTACTGATACAGCATCCAGAATCACTCAAACCGAGTCGGAATTAAGTGACGATGCGGAGGAAGCTCTGCACCAGCGCCAGCAGCAGCGCCAGCAGCAGCACCAGCAGCAGCACCAGCAGCAGCACCAGCAGCAGCACCAGCAGCAGCACGGCCACAAACAGCAGGAAGAAGATGATGATGACTCGCTTATTGACCATCTTCATGATTCCACCCCGTCCCAACTGCGCTTGGAGCAATTGTTTACAAAAGTAAGTGATAATTATACTACATCAAGACCCAGAAATTTAGACACAAGAATAAATAATTGGAGAAACGCCAATCGGGACGACTTGATTGATGATAACGTGGCGTCATGGGACTTGGATGAAGACTTGATCTCCCAAATCCTAGATAAGACAGTAATCAGGAATGAAGTTGGTGGATTATCCAAATCGCATATCCCGTCAAATTTTTACGGAGATGATTTCTTGAAGAACTTGAATAAAAAAGACTATATCAAATTCAAGAACATCACTAAGAACTTGAAAAAATCACTAAACACCAACCAAAAGGAAACTACTCTTGATCTAGTTAATAAGATTATTTCCAATTACCATCAGAATAATCAGAATACTCTCAATCGCGGTAACCTAGTGAATAAAATGCACCATCACCAGAAACGCTATTCTTCCGTATTGAATGAGTCCACCACCACCAACAACAACACCGACTATACGTTCAATCCCACCTATCACGACGACAGCTTCAGAATGTTGGAACAATCAGAAACGGCGACTTCTTCTTCCCTAGTTCTTTGTGGCGGGGTGGGTTTCGGTGGGAACTCCTCCTGGGGCGACATATGAATCACTACATAATTACATTCGGTTTTCTCTTTCTTTTCTCTGGTTCTCTGGTTCTTTTCTCTGGTTCTCTGGTTCTTTTCTCTGGTTCTCTGGTTCTTTTCTCTGGTTTATCTGTATATTTAATAGCTTATCATTTTCTAGATCTGTATCTGCTGCCCGTTGTGGTGGGCGCACGTCCCTCCGCTCTGAGTAGGACCCACACGTCTGATTGTCGCGTTGCCTTTGAAAACAAGCCATTGAAAACAAGCTTATGAAGTATTAATCTGTTATTCATTAGTCAATCCAGTAAGTATGTTGGTTCCAAGCTTCAAAAACTCAATTCGTTCATTCTCCTCTTCGAGTGCCCGCAGTGCATTTGCCAAAATGCAATTATTAGGGACTGTTGGTAATATAACCAATAGAGAAACTAAAGATGGAGTTCAATTTATTAATTATTCTTTGGCAGTTAATCGTTTCAACCCATCGGGTAATGAAGAAGATGGTACTCGTCAATTAACTGACTGGTTCAACATTAGTGTATTCAATGAAAAACACGTTAATGCTTTCAACCAATTTTTAAGACCTGGTACTCAATTGTTTGTTGAATGTGATGTTAGACAAAATGTTGTTGATAATGGAGAATCAAAACAAACATTCACTAGCTTAAGACAAAACGCTTATGATGTTGTTAGATTTGCCAGAAAACCAGAAACCGATGAAGAAAATGTCGATGCTTAAATCTATATAAAAATATCTCTTCTATTCTATCTTTGTTTTAATAGTAATATATATATATTGGTACTTACTTAATCGTGTACTTATTTAATCGTTTACTTACTTAATCGTGTAAATTAGTTGCCATAGACAATTCATAAGCATAAGCAATGGTCAATTTGATATGCTCTGCAATGTGATCGAAATCTAATCTATCAATTGTATCCATAACTGAATGGATAAATTTATTAGTATATTTGAATTCCGATTCAATTAAAAAACTGGCAGGATACCCATTCTCCAAAGCGGATGCATGGTCAGAGCATGCATACCCACATTCGGTTTCGTGATAGGGAATCTCGTTATATTCCTCAATGATTAATTTTAAAAAATTATTCAAATTGATCGAGGTATAATCTGAAATTAATCCAAAATGAGGTTCAATTCCTTCTGCTAATGACCCTGCAGTGTATCCGGTCATATCTTGCTGTAACATTCCAATGACAACTGCATCTTGATTGAAATACTGATTGAAAACGTCAATCGATCCTTTCAATCCTCCTTCTTCTCCAGAATAATAGTGAAACTCTAAAGTGTTGTGCGGTTTGAAACTACCTGCTGCATAGGCTTCAATTAACACCCTTAACGACTCCAAAGTGGTCATACTACCTGATCCGTCATCATCAGCTCCGGGGGCTTTTAACAAGTTTGGAAATAATAAATTAATCGAATCTTGATGTGCTCCTACAACAACTTTATCTTCGCTTTTGGTACCTGGAATACTAACAATAATTGAAAATTGATCCCATCCTTCGTGCTTCACTGGTTTCACACTGACTTTCTCCTTAACTGGTTCGATTATCTCTTCAATTGTTTTCCATAACCATTGGGCACTTTCAAATCCGCTTTCACTTTTATAGTATCTAGTGAAAAATGACGTAAACTTACCCAATCTGTCTTCCACTTGTTTCATATCAATCTGTCCAAATAATCGTCTCACTTGTGTAGAATAGCCAATCTTCTCGGGGTAATTATAAACCGGCACTTCAGTCTTGATCAGACTCAATTGTTTAGCCCCGATTAATCCCAACTTATCAACCATAGACAAATGGGGAGTGTCGGTATTAATCAAACCGGCCCTAACTGCTTCCTCCACACTTATTTGGTTCGTCACATCAATAAATCGCTTGTTTCCTCTACGATACTTCAATTTAGTGGCTTCATCAACTACTTCAAAACTGTTGGGCCCCGTCTTGATAAGATATTGCTCATTATCAAAACTCTGGGATTGTATCAACTTCCCAAAGTTAAACTCAAACCCAGGCCACGCCGGGAACGCCACCAGGATACTAACTAAACAAACTAATAAACCAAAAACCTTCATTATAGCAATGATTAAGGAAGAAGCTCAGGATAAAATTTGTGGAGATTAAGTGCTCGTTTTTTCTTTAAGACTTGAAATTACTGCAAGAAGCAACCAATTAAATCAACAAATGGCCATCGGCTTATTCGTAGAGGATGCAATAAGATTGGAGCCATTTGAATGGTTTGTTTAGAATTCCTGATCAAGCTGAGCTTAGGATTGGCTTTTGAATAGGTTTATTTTCTCTAAACCCGGTTTTCTCGACTGCAAGGGCACCCTGAAGCCTGAAAGGTTCTCTCATCCCTTATCTAACCTATGAGTAACCAGGTAACCTAATAAAATACTTTTTGAAATCCTTTGTAGTATTTTTAGGTTGTAAATGTCATATTTGATTGGAATTTTGGCCAATTTCTTTCAAAAATCTCTGAAAAAAAGCAAACTCACTACAAGAACCAAACCGAAAACCACTCACACTCGAATTGGATGGAGCAACACCATCAAAACAGCTTCCAGGACCTCTACTCAGCCCTTATCATCCAGTAATTGATGCAAAACTACCTTGCAAATTAGGTTGTGAAAAGTCCGGGACGTGCACCAGGTCCAAAAAGTGAAAAAGTGAAAAAAAAAAAACATCGAGGTTTTTCTCAATACATCGCTTGATTTCAGTTTTGAAAAGAATCAACAACAATCGACACCCAGCAACCAATTCAAGTACGTTGAGGGTATTGATCACATAGGTATATTGCTATATTCCAAGTATGAATATTGTGTCGGCGTTCAAACCAGGAACTGGAGGTGGTTTCAATGGTACCGCTGGGAATGCCAATGGAAACGCAAGCAATAATGAAAGTAAATTCATATCACCAACGTTGAAATTGGGAGATCCAAGCTTGGATGCGTTACAATTTCAACAGGATAAGAACTCTGCTTCCCACTCAACCCGAAACGGAGTCTCCCAAAGACTTATACACCCTCTTAGTTTGGATTCTGCCAATGAAGTCAACTATAAGGTTAGTATTCCAAATTTTTCTAATTTACCGCCGTTAAAATTGGGGGGTAAATACATTAGTGATTTGATTAAGATAGATTCAATGACACCGTCGGATTTGTACTCCGATGAAAACATCAAGAAAACTTCTGGTTTAGATAAATACTATTTTGATTATGAAAATGGTTTAGGTGATTTTTCAAGATACGAAGTCGTTGACCAACTTAACTTACCCGATAAGTTTTTTGATGAATATAATTCAACCGAGTGTATTACTAAAATGGGTATGTTCCCTGAAATTGAGAGAGCTTGGATTATCGTCGATAATAAATTAGTGTTGTGGAATTATAAAGTTCCTCAATCTTCTTTCAATAAATCATCTCAATTCCTTACAATAGATCAAATAAGGCATTCTATTCTCACGGTTAAATTGGTGAAACCAAAACCAGGTGTTTTCGTAAAAGATGTAAATCATTTATTATTGGTGGCAACCACCATGGATATTCATATTTACATTGTCAAATACGCCGATTCATTAAATAATTTGGAAATTTTCAACCCTGAATTATCCGTTTCTACTCAGGGTTTGTTAGTCAACAATTTTGCATTTAATTCATTAACAAATGATATCTACTTCACTGGTGAAAGTGATGGTACTAACGTTTGGAGACTTGATTATACAAATAAATCATCTTTTATCAAAAATAAATGTGACAAAGTTTGCTTAACCAAAAGTGGGTTTACTTCAGTATTACCTTTAGGAAAAATCCCTGGGTTTGACTTGTTTCATTCTGATAATAACTCCAATAATAATTCGCATAATCAATCATCAAATAATTCACCAAATACTATTCCAGAATCTATCGTGCAAATCGAAGTTGATCTGGAAAGAAGTATCCTTTACACTTTATCTAATAAATCCGTTATTAGAGTTTATAAACTTGAAAAAACTCAAGAACAGTTTACTCAACAGAGTAGACTTAGCCCTCAAGAAATCTTTAGATCAGTTTCTGCATTATTTGTTGATAGTTCTAATTTCAAATCTTTCCTGAAATTCAAAATTGTTAATATTCAATTGATATCTGCTAGAGAATCTTCAAATGTTCAATTAATAGCTATAACCAACTTTGGTTGCCGTATTTTATTGAAATTAGGCGGTGGCCCAACTTTTTCTTCAATGATTTCAAATGCCTCAAGATTAAAATTATCAGTCGCTACCATGAAATTTCCTCCTTCAAAAGAATTACCTAAGTTAAATCCGGAATTAGATGCTTTCACAAGAAATAAACAATACTTATCCCAATTAATATCTAGTCAACAAAATTCTCAATTATTGAAAAATACAAAACTTTCTAAGATCATAAGTCCAGGAATCTTTATTGCTGTTAAAAGAACTAAAGGTTCTGATAAATTATTTATTAGTACCACAAATTATGGATTTCTTAAAAAGAATAATCAATTAGTCGAAGATGCTGAATTTATCAAAATTGGATCCTCAAATGATGAGAGATCACCAACCTATATCCATGAAATTATTCAATTGACTCCCTCAATGAATGCAACGAACAATCCAAATGGTTATTCTAACATCTTAGCAAGTCAATATGCAAAACAACCATTACAATTTGCTGTACTTACTAATTTTGGTTTACTAATCTATCAATTCAGAACTTCCGACCAATTATTAAAGTCCCTCAAGGATGAAGTCATCGAAAACTATATTGATGAAAATGGTTATGAAGAGACCTGCTCATCATTATTATACTTAGGCTGCTCCTACAGCCATCATAATCCAAATGACTTGTCGAAAAGGCAAGCACAAGTCCTTTTTTCAGCAACCGGTAATAATGCTAGACTTCTCGATAATTTCCAACACCAACAACAACTTTCCTCTCAACAATTAACAGCACAACCTCCTGTAGGAACAGGTGAGCCACATGCTACTGTGGATCAAGTTGTCTTGAGTGATAGATTTTACGGTACTTGTTTGTTGATTTCAAGATTGTTCAGAGAATTTTGGAATCAAAAAGTTTTCACCCTCTTACCTCATATAAAAGTTTTACCTAATGGTTCAGTCGATGTTAGTTCCGTTAAAGATGATAACTTATTGATAAAAGGTCTTAACATCGATAAAAAACAAGTTGAATTTTTTATTGGTTCGGTCATTGTTTTAATTGATTTTTTTGTTGAAAATAGTAGCAGTATTCAAGGTTTAAATGCTCCAAATTATAGTTCCGACCCAAGCAGATTTGAAAACGAAGTTTGTTTAAGAGCAGAGCATATCGCTTTTACTTCCATTTTGAAATCTTTAGGTTCAATGAAAGAAGCTTTATCGTTCTTGATGGTTTTGATTGAAGAATCACAAGTCTACCAAACTAGTTTCAATGATATCTTGAAGTTTTTGTCACTTACAAATCAATTGAATTTATTAACTTTGTCATTCAAGGATTTGTTACTACCATCTCGTGAAGTTAAGAATTTGATTAAAGACTTATTATCTTCAATCATTAACAAAAATATTTTGAAAGGTGGTTCAATTGATTCGATTGCTACTTCGTTACAAGGTCGTTGTGGATCTTTCTGCTCCACCGATGATGTTTTCATTTTCAAAGCTATTGAAAATTTAACCAGAGCCAAAAATATTGGCTCAAGGGATAATGATCTTAAAATTAAATGCCTTAAAAATGCTGTTGGTTTGTTTGAAAAAGCCTATGAATCATTAACATTAGAAAACATCGAAAATTCTCTTAACATTATGTTACATTTGGACTTTTACACTGGTGCTGTTGAATTATTATTGAAGTTGGCTTTCCAATTGGGTAACGCATCAAATTCAACCACTGCAAATGCCGTCAATGATAATGGTCATACTAAATTGATTGAAAATAATAAGAAGAAGTTACAATTATATGATCTAGTCTTCAAAATCTTGACCAAGGTTGATTTGAGAGCAATAAACATAACCGAAACTAATGATCAATTGGCCATAAATGAATTCATCGAGGTTAGAGACGTTACTTATGAAACTTGTTTCGCATCTCAAGACAAAAGCTTTCATTATGAATTTTATCAATGGTTCATAAACCAAGGTGTAAGTGAGAGATTGTTAGACATTAATACTCCTTTCATATTATCATTTTTGGAAGAAAAATCTGAAAATGACTTAGCCTTAAGTGATTTATTGTGGTTATATCATGCTAAGAGAGAAAATTATTTTGCCGCAGCGAATATTTTGTATGCATTGTCGATCTCAGAATTCAAATTGACTTTGAATCAAAGACTTGAATACTTATCTAGAGCCAATGGTTTCTGTAACTGTGTCTGTCCTCCAAATTTGAGGCAAAAGATGATTGAATTATCTTCAATTATCCAAGAGTTATTCGACGTTGCGAATATACAACTTGACGTTTTATCAGCCATAAAATCTGATAAAAGAATTAGTGAAGAGAACAGGGAACTTGCAATTGAGTCATTAAATAATAAAATTATTAGCATAAGTGATTTGTTTAACAATTATACTGATCCATTAGGATATTATGACTTATGTTTGTTAGTTTTCAAAGTGTCTGACTACAAGAATACCGATGATATATTAAAGAGATGGGAATTATTCTTTGAAAAAATTTTCCATCAATATTTGATTGAAGATAAGAGCTCACTGGAACCAGTATATGTTATTATTATGAATGCATTTACCGCAATAGGTCCAAAATTATCTTCAAATGATTTGGTATTCCCAATTGACGAGTTGATTAAATTAATATGTAAAAACATTCAAGAGGCCATTGAAGAAGATGCTGTTAGTCAGACTCCACCTAAGGGATTTGTTGTTGATATTTTCATCAAGTCAGGGGTCAGTTTCGAAAGATTCTACTTTGTCATGAAGTCATTAATTGAACATAATACTTTTGAAATATACCCTGGGTTTACTAATGATTTAAAATCCAACGAAATGCTTTATTTAATCAAACATTGGTACAATTCGGATAAGAAGTTGAGAGATTTAATCTCCAGTGACCAAATCGTCAATTTAGTTGAATATTCTATTGAACTGGATCCTATAAACAAGTACGTTAAGGATCATGATATTCTTCCATAGAAAATTGGGAAGTTAAAAGTCATTAACTCATATCAATTTTAGAAATACCGAAAAAAAACACAACTCGAAACAAAACATGAAGAAATTCATGCAATTTTTCTACAACTGTATTTTAGATAAAAATAAATATAAATTTATTATTAGTATGTTTCACGTATACATAAGAAGTCGTTCAATTAAGTTCGTAAAATTTACCCTTCTCATTATCGAATTTTTCAGAGCGGAAGACATCATTACTATCAGATGGTCTTAGTAAATTGAAAGACAAACGATCAGGAATTTTAGCAGAAAACGCAAAGTACGGAATGATACCATCCACCATTAATCTGATTGCGTTCAATTCTGCTCCTCTGGGCATTATAACATCAGCGAATTCTTTAGTTGGGAATATGAAGTTACTCATTTCGTCTCTGGCACCATATAAATAGGATGTTATAACTTGTTCTAAGCTAATACCCTTTTTTGCGTCCAAAACATCACGTCTAATCCAACGAATGAGTCTGGTATCAGGATCGCTACTCATGAATACTTTCATTTGAGATAAGTCTCTCAATTCCTTATCGTACAATGCGTAAAGACCATGTATTATAATAAGTTTTTGAGGTACGTTTGGAGCAGTCTGTAGGTGTTCTTTCAAATCCTGTTTCAAATCCACGAAATTGAATCTAGATGGCTTCAATGAAGGATATTTCTTATCGTCGTCTTTTGGAACAGTAATGGCGGCTTCTTTAGAGTAAGAATCAAAACGCTGAAGAGATTCAGGATCAATGTATTTTATAAGATCAATCACCATTATTTCAAGATTACTATCAGGAAATGTATCTTTAACTTCATTTTTAAGAAGCTCGGCAGTGGTTTTCTTCCCAGCAGCATGCCCACCACCAATGAGAACCACTATCGACTTGACACTATCAGGCATCCTTGAACTAAGCTTAATCTCTGGTAGCATTACAGAGAACTCAAAGGAGAAAAAAAAAAAAAAAAACTGAAAAATCGATGCCATCGCGATACAAACATTTTTCACATTATCGTCTTTTTCCTTTGGATTAGGGTTTACCAGGTTTGAAGCATACCAAGATGGATGAATTTGATAGAGACATTGATAGGGACTTGAAGTTTTCAGTGAAGTCAACCAAAAACCTCAAGGTTCATGCAACTTTCGAGAGCATGAAACTTAAACCAGACCTTCTCAAAGGTATTTATGGATATGGATTTGAAGCACCATCAGCCATTCAGTCTCGAGCCATTATGCAAATAATCAGTGGTAAAGATACAATTGCACAGGCCCAGTCGGGGACCGGGAAGACAGCCACCTTCACCATTGGTATGCTTCAAGTGATTGATACCAAGGCGAAGGATTGTCAAGCACTTATATTATCACCAACCAGGGAGTTAGCGGTACAAATTCAAGGGGTAGTTAAAAACTTGGGTGATTATATGAATATCCATACTCATGCTTGTATTGGTGGGACTCATGTTGGAGAAGACCTCAAAAAACTACAGCAAGGACAACAAATCATTAGTGGGACCCCCGGTAGGGTTGTTGATATGATCAAAAGAAGGAAGCTCTCCATTAGAAACATCAAAATGCTTATTCTAGACGAAGCCGATGAGCTTTTCTTGAAAGGGTTCAAAGAGCAGATCTACGAAATCTATCGTCATTTGCCCCCATCGGTTCAAGTTGTTGTGGTAAGTGCTACATTATCAAGAGAAGTTTTGGAAATGACTGGGAAATTCACCACAGATCCAGTGAAAATCTTGGTTAAAAGAGATGATATCACATTGGAAGGAATAAAACAATATCACATACAATGCGAAAAAGAAGATTGGAAATTCGATACCCTCTGTGATCTATACGACTCCTTAACAATTACCCAAGCAGTTATTTTTTGCAACACCAAAGTCAAGGTCACTTGGTTAGCAGATCAAATGAAAAAATCAAACTTCACCGTGGTGGCCATGCACGGTGACATGAAGCAAGACGAAAGAGACTCCATCATGAGTGATTTCAGATCTGGTAATTCCAGAGTATTGATTTCAACCGATGTTTGGGCCAGAGGAATCGACGTCCAACAAGTTTCTCTTGTCATTAATTACGACTTACCAATCGACAAGGAAAACTACATCCACAGAATTGGTAGATCAGGCAGATTCGGAAGAAAAGGTGTCGCCATCAATCTCATAACAAGTGATGATTCCGAAGCTCTTCGTGATATTGAAAAGTTCTACTCTATCAAAATCAAAGAAATGCCTGTAAATATTAATGACTTAATGTAACGACTCGACACGATTCTATATAATTCCATACACCTCCATACAATGCACCACTATTTCTACCCATGTAAGCCTTTCAAGACCCACACTATGCCCTATAATCCATTGTCTTGGATACCTTTGAAACCAGATTATTCGGTTGAAATGCTGATGATGGACCTGTTCACGTGACTGTCGCAGCCATCTCGAAAATTTTTTTTTCCCTTCTCTTCCTTGTAAGATGCGCTTCAGATCATTGAAAATATTTTACCTTTTTTTCAAAAAGATATTGAAAGTTTTCTTCTTCGTTTTTACCCCTTTGTCTTACTGATCAGTATCGACTTGTTCATAGAGCTCTTGATAGAACACCACCGAGGATGGACGCTCAATACCTTTCAGCTTTAGAGGAAACTTTAAAGCAAATTCAAACCCCTGACTCTAATGTCATTAAACAAGCCACTAAGAGATTAAATAGTGAATTGTTAACCAATAGTTTGGCATTACCAGCTTTAATTCATATTTTACAAAACTCTAGTGATGAAACTTCTAGACAATTGGCAGCTGTTGAAGCCAGAAAGATTGCTATCAATAGTTGGGATAAAGTTGATGCTCAATTAAAACCAGAAATTAGAAATACTTTACTTAATAGTACTTTTAATGAACCAGTACAACGTATTAGACATTCATCAGCTAGAATCATTTCTGCTATTAGTGAAATCGATTTAGATAATGGTGAATGGTCTGATTTATTACCAAATTTAGTTAATGCTATCGAAGGTTCTGATTCTCAAGTTAAAGAAACTGCCGTTTTCACCTTGTACACTATTTTAGAAACTCAAGTTCCTGCTTTACTCGAACACGTTCCAGGTTTCTTGAAATTATTCTCTCAATTATTAGCTGATCCATCTTCAAGAGAAATTAGAGTTAATGCTGTTTTATCTTTAGACGTTCTTTCTCAATTTATCGAACAAGATGCTGAAATTGATGCTCAACAAGCTCAACAATTTAAAACCACCATCCCAGGTATGGTTGATGTTTTGAAAGATGTTATTGCTAGCGATGATGATGAAAAAGTTAAAACCGTTTTCAATGTTTTCAACTCTTTAATTTTCCTTGATAATAAATTAGTTGGTGAACATTTAACCGGTTTGATTCAGTTCATTGCTGAAATCTCTGCTAACACTCAATTAAATGAAGAATACAGAGTTTTCGGTTTGCAATTCTTAATTTCTTGCGTTTCCATGAAAAAATCTAAAATCATCTCTAATAAATTAGGTCCTCAAATTACCTTAATCGCTGCCCGTATCGCATCTGAACCAATTGATATTGAAGATGAATTAAATAATGAAGACGAAGAAAACGAAAATGAAGAAAACTCTCCACCAAACTTGGCCTTAAGATTGGTTGCCATCTTATCTGCTGAATTACCACCATCTCAAACCATTACCCCATTCTTCGAAAACTTAAGCAGTATGTTATCTTCTTCAAATCAATTCGAAAGAAGAGCTGCTTTATTAATCATTGGTGTTGCTTCTAGTGGTGCCCCAGATTACTTTTCTACTCAAATTGGTAAGATTATCCCAGTTTTAAGTGAAGGTTTGAAAGACTCCGAAAGTATTGTTCGTGTTGCTGCTTTAAAATCTTTATCTCAATTAACTTCTGAGTTACAAGATATAGTTGCTGAACACCACGAAGTTTTATTACCTTTAATCATCAACATTATCGATAATGCTACTTCTGTCATGACCTACAAAAACGCTTGCTATGCTTTAGACGGTTTGATTGAATTCATGAGTTTTGAATCTATTAGTAAATACGTTGAACCTTTAATGAATAAATTATTCGGCATGTTACAACAAGCTAACTCTTCTTCATTAAGAGCTGCCATTGTTTCCGCCATTGGTTCTACTGCCTTTGCCTCTGGTAAGTCTTTCCAACCATTTTTCGATACTTCAATTCAATTATTGGAACCATTCGTTTCAAATGTTACCGAAACTGAAGGTATGTCTGAAGAAGATATCGAATTAAGGGCTTTAACTTTCGAAAACATTTCAACCATGGCCAGAGCTGTTGGTTCCGGTAACTTTTCCAACTATGCTACTCCATTGGTTGATGCTGCTTATATCTCTTTACAATCTAGTGTTTCCAGAATCAGAGAATCTGGTTTCGCTTTTATTTCCAACATGGCTAAAGTTTATGGGTCAGAATTTGCTGGTTTCTTGGACAAGATCGTACCTGAAATTTTTAAATGTTTGGAACAAGAAGAATTTACTTTCAACGTTGAAGGTGATGATGCTGAAGATGAAGATGAAGAAGAAGATTTAGACAATAAATTCCACGTTCACACTGGTATTACCATCGAGAAAGAAATTGCTTCCGTTGCTTTATCTGAATTAGCTCTTGGTACCGGTAAAGCCTTTGCTAAATATGTCGAACCTTCTATCAAATCCTTAGCTGATCAAATTGAAAATTCATACGGTATGAGAGAAGCTTCTTTGAATGCTCTTTGGAAGATTGTTAAAGCTATGTTTGTTGCCTCATACGGTGAAAAGAAAGCACCAAAAGGTGTTCCACAATCATCTTACGTTGAAGCAGATGTTTTACAATTAATTAAACAAGTTAGAGAAATTACTATCCAAAACTTAGGTGAAGAATTTGAATTGACCATGGTTGCATGTATTTTAGATAACTTTTCTGATGCAATCAATTCATTGGGTCCAATTGCTGTCATTGACAATGCTTCTGAAACTGAACAATTAGAAAACTTGTGTGTTCAATTAATGAACATCTTGAAGAAAGAACACCCTTGTCAAGCTGAAGAATTCGAAGAAGAAGAAATTGAAGAAGAAGAAGCTTCCGAGACTGATGCTTTATTATTTGAATCTGCTCTTGAAGTTTTAATTAGCTTGGCTACTAGCTTAGAAGGTGATTTCAATAAGGTTTTCACTTCTTTCAAAGATGTTATTTCTTCAAATGTTAATAGCAAGTCTAAAAACATGAGAGTTAGTGCCATTGGTGCTTTAGCTGAAATTTCTGCTGGTGTTAAATCTTCTAACCCATACTCTCAAGAATTATTGGAAGTTTTCAGTGAAAGATTATCTAATGACAAATCCTTGGATGTTAAAGGAAACTCTGCTTACGGTATTGGTATTGTTATTGAAAATTCTGACGTTGATTTCTCTTCTGCTTACCCATCAATCTTAAACTTATTATTTGATTTATTAGGTAAAACTGATAAACAAGCTGGTAATGTTGATGCCGATGATGAAGAAACTCAAGAAGTTGTCAACAGATCTTATGCCAACGCTTGTGGTTGTGTTGCTAGATTAGCTTTGAAAAACGAAGCTGCTGTTCCATTAGAACACGTTATTCAACCATTATTAAGTCATTTACCTTTAAAGACTGCCCTTGAAGAAAATGTTCCAATTTTCAAATTGATCATTAAATTATTTGAAAAAGATGACCAATTAATCAACTCTCAAGTTGAAGCTGTTGTGAATATCTTTGCCGAAGCTTTCACCAAAGAATTTGAAAGAATCAAATTATTAGAAGGATCTACTTTAGGTAGAGAAGAAAACCTCGACAGATTGAAACAATTCCAAAACGATGAATTGAAACAACAAGTCATCAATTTATTGAAATTCTTAGATCAAAAATTCGGCGGTGCCATTAGCTCCAATGAAGTCTTGAAATCTGTCATTGCATAAATGAGTCAAAAGAAGTATTTCTTTTAAACTTATTAATTGAACGAATAATCAAAAAATTAAAAATGTTAAAAAAAAAAAAAAAATAGATTATTAAACTTTATATAATCATTTCCTACCTCTGTATAATTTCAACTTTGCCTGTTTTTAGTTAATATAAGCTCTTTATTATTGTTTGAACTTGGTTTTTTTTTTTTTTGACTTCTTGAAGTTTCCCTCAAGATACTCTTTCTTTACTTCCTTTCCTAATTAGATCTTCACCTACTATGTTATATATATAATTAATACAATTACCTTTCTTTATACCTCACACTCAACAACCAAAAACTGAATCCAACAAAGGGAATAAGAAAAAGATTAGAATGCCTTTTCACACCCAGCAGTCGAAAATCTTCTAGCCGCAAAATTTGTTTTTCTGCGCTTCATTTTTTGCATCAGAATTACTGAATTTGGATGCTAAAGGAACCAGTTCAGGCTGCCACTTGCTGATACAAACTAGTAAAAGACCAATTTATAAGCGAAATCAAGGTGATATCCGCAATATTGATGTAGTCTAGGCTTCACAATTGAAGGTACACCTTTAAGATTCAGACTCAGTATTTAAGTTGAGTGAAATCAGTATTTCAAAATCAGGTAATCACTGGTTTCAAATTTAGTTCTAGAATATAATCATGGATACTTTTGGTAAAGTTTTAGCAGCCTTTTCATTTATTGCCTTGATATTGCTTCTTCCAGCCTTTATATGGCATATCAGAAGCAGGAATATTCCTGCTTCTACCTTGATATTCTGGATCATGTTCAAAAACTTGTTTACTTTCATTAATGCCTGTATTTGGAGTGAAGAGACTTTCGTCGAAGCTTGGGATGGGAAAGGATACTGTGACGTATTTACCAAGATTGATTCGGGCTCATCAGTGGCTAAAGTATCATGTATAAGCAGTTTGACCTTTGACTTGTATATGATCCTTTCGGCAGAAAACAGTATATTCTTAGAGAAAAACTCCAAAAGAAGAATTATTATCAATCTTCTGATGTGCTGGATAACTCCAATATTCGTTATTGCTACTAGTTACCTCATTCAAAAATATCGGTACATCATTGTTCGTTATGGCGGGTGTGTAACTCCATATGAACATTCCTACGTTAGTTTAATTCTTCATTTTGTGTGGATATTATTGTGGGGCATTATAGGATTGATTTTTGCAATCCTAACAATTTTGAAGTATCTTCAGAAAAGGAGAGACGTGAAAGATATATTGAGGTGTACTAATTCGGGACTCACCTTCAAAAGATTTGCCCGGCTATTGATCTTTTCTATCTTGGTCATATTAGTTTTATTTCCTCTTTCAGTTTATTTCTTTGTTGCTGATGTTTCTTCGAAAACTGAAGAAAGTTATAGCTTTTCTGCGGTTCACGGTCCTGATTGGAATAATGTTCTTTATTCAGATTTTGGTACTTCCTATGTTTACTATGCTTGGATTGATCTTGCATTATCAATAATTACTTTTATTTTATTTGGTCTTGGGTCAGACGCTATTGCCATGTATAAATCTGCCTTACACAAGATTGGATTCAAGTCATTGAAAGATAATAGCCCCAGTCAAGCTCACACAACAAAATCCTTATCAAACCAGTTTGATCAAACAAGGACTTCAACAAACCAAAGTCATAGTACTTCAAAGTCTTTCCCAGCTACTAAAACAACTACCGAAGGTAGTACAGTTGTTAACGAGAATCATAATAGAATGGTGGATTTTGGTGACTATAATGACTTGATTAGCGAAAACGACGTAGTTTTGGAAAGTCCTTATAGTTTGAGTTCAAAAAATCCGGCTCGAGTATCTACTCAAGAGATTGATCTTGAGAGAGATTCATTTAATCAAGCAGATCATCCAATAGAAAATGATGCCGTCGTTGACTACGGTGGGTCTGTTAGACATTCCCATGAAGGATTTGACTATAACTTGAAAGTAATCGAAAATAAACCGTGAATAACAATCTTGTTTCTGTTTTCTTTAAATATATATTTGGTCTATGAATTTATATGCAATGTTTAGTATAATGTAGTTCTATTTACAGATTCTGTAGTTTCTCAATGATTTCATTGAATTTTGATTTAAATATACTTGAATCAACTTTACCTTGAGTTTCTTTCATTGCCAAACCTACCAAAAAGTTGATCGAGCCTTTCTTACCTCCCATAATCCTTTCAATAACATCTGGGTTACTTTGAATAATATCATTACAAATTTCTTCTGCTGCTTCACTTAATTCATTAGTTGGTAGATCCTTTGGTGTACCTAAATCATATTTTTCAATCAATTCGGTTACTGGAAGTGATCTATCTTCAGGATTCTTAATAATTTCTTGTAATAATAATTGAGCAGAAGTTTGGGTTATCTCCTTTTCAGAAATCAATAAAATCAATTCACTTAATTTTTTAAATGGAACCAAAGTCAAATCCAAAGGAATGTTTAACTTGTTAAAATTACCTAGTAACTGATGCATCATCCAATTATTCACCAATTTAACTGATTTTTTATTTTCAAGTACGACGACATTGAAAACATTATGATAATAATCAAGTATATCAGTATTATCAATTAAAAATTTTGCATGTTTCAACTCTAAGTTAAAGGGTTTACTTATAAGTTTAGAAATAATTGACTCTGGTAATTCCGGTAATTTGGATTTGATTTGTTCACCAATTTTGGGATCTAAATTAATAACTGGTAATTCAGAATCTGGGAAATATCTATAATCAACTGCATCTTCTTTAGATCTTGCTCTTATAGTTTCAGTTCCATTCCAACCACGAGTTTCTTGAAGGATTTGGCCGCCATTTTTTAAGATATTTAATTGCCTATTATATTCATATTTCAAAGCGTTTATAATTTCACCCGTGCTTCCTAAATTTTTAATTTCAACTCGATCACCGCCATTTATACTTACATTTGCGTCAACTCTCATTGCACCTAGTTCCAAATTACCAGTACAGATATCCAAGTGGCTAACTAGAGTGGTATACTTCTTAATGAATGCTCTTACTTGATCCAAATCTTCAAAATCTGGTTTAGTCACTAGTTCAATAAGGGGGACATTTGCTCTATTCAAATCAACTTTAATAAGTTGATCAGTTTTATCATAGATAGTTTTCCCAGTATCTTGTTCTAATTGTATCTGTTCAATATGAATTCTTTTCTCGTTTGTTTTGATATTATCGAATTTCTTATTCAAATCTAACCAACCATTTCTAGCAATAGGGTGATAGCGTTGAGTTATTTGGTAACCCAATGGTTGATCCAGGTAAAAATAATGTTTTCTATCAAAGGTAGATCTGGACTGGATATCACTATTCAAAACCACGGCTGTTTTCAATGCAAGAAGTAATGCCTCAGGATTTAGTTTTGGCTGAGTACCAGGTAGACCACAATCAAAATAACTTATTTTTGAATTTGGGGCAGAATCAAATTTATTTGGAGAGAGTGAAAATAGTTTATGATTTGTTTTTAGTTGGGTATGTAGTTCAAGACCACATTTGAATTTGAAATTGGGGTTTAGTTGGAACTTTGAGTGGCATATTGAGCTTGTGTGTAATAGCCTTTTGGGTATCATCATAGACGAATAAGACTTGCATGAAGATTGTTCTTTGAATATTTCATTTATTTTATTTTTCTGATATTCATTTTTTTTTTTTTTTTTTTTTTTTTTTTGTTTTTTTTTCTTGCCGGGTCTGTCAGAAAAGGCTGCGAATCAAAGTTTTCTTCTTTTGAAGTTTAAATTAGGAAAATTTAGATCAACCGACGACTTTGAATGGAAACGAACAACCTTGGGTGTAGCTAGGCTAGTGTTGTTCTTTTCTGGGGTTGAGTTTCTTCTAAGAGGTAAATCTGCAGAGTTTCTGGAGGCTTGGAAAGGGAGATTACTGGGGTGGGGCAGTATTGGGGATGAGTTCAACCCTAGCTTACGTTTTTTAACCGGAAGAAGAAGAGAATCATCTTCAGTAAGAGCGTAGTTAATATCGTTTGGGGTACATACGTTTAAATTTTCATTTGAATATTGAGTCAAACTTTGTTGATCGCCGATTTCAGCTATTATATCCTTAGTCAAGATATCAGTGTTTGAATTTTCATTGAAAAACAAATCAGAGTATTCTAAAATATTCGAGTGCTGAATGTTCGACCCGTCAACCTCGTACAAGGATGAGTTCTTCAAAGAATTATCGGTATACTCGCCTGGCTCTTGTAATTCGTTCGACAACCCTTCTGAATTTAAAAAGAGTTTGTTGATCCTTACATTGGTCAACTCATTATTGATTGTTTGGAATTGGCGGAGTCTATATTCGCTAAAGGGACTTGCAGCACTGCTGGACCTGGGGGACGATGGTGTGTTCGACAACTCTCTCAAGTCTTTATATGTGACCATGACAAGATGAAGGGTATGACACGATAAGAGTATGACACGATAAGAGTATGACACGATAAGAGTATGACACGATAAGAGTATGACACGATAAGAGTATGACACGATAAGAGTATGACGATATGACAAGATATAAGTATCAAAAAGAGAGGAGTGATAAAAAGAATAAAAGTAAGTGGGAAAGTGGTTGGTTTTAATGATTTAGCCGCCGGTATGATTGCAAAAAAAATTTGAAAAAAAAATTTGAAAAAAAAAAAAAAAGAAGTTTACAAACGTAAACACCTGTACACCCAGAAACCTCCGTACCCACGGAAATACCTCCGTGCACACGTCATTACGTGCCTCTACCAAACCGCCCCCATGCACTACCCGTGGGAAATGGGACCCCCTCCCTTTATTTATTTTGGCTGGTGGTCTTTTTTTTGTTTTGTTAGTGATAAGATAACAAAAAAAAAGATTGATAGAAAATACACAACAAGTAACAACTTTATAGTGAGAAAAAAGGGAGGAACAGTTAGTTTTAGTAGTGATACTGTTAATTTAATACACCACTTTTTTCTTTCAAGCAGAGGGTATATATCTATATATATATTGGTTTAGGAGAAAAAAGACTATATACTGTTTGGAAATAAGTAATTGGTATGTTTTAAGGAGTCAATTGGTGATTTGGGCCCCCCAAATAAGCTGAAACCGAAAAGAAGACAGAAAAAATAACATGGGGTTAAATTGCCACACTGATTTATGATTTAATACTAACAATTTAGATAATGAGATCCCAATTTAAAGACGAAGTACCTCTTGGTATGTATATTTTGATGAACAGATGGGATGATTAATACTAACAGTGCTACTAGAAAAGAGAAAGTCTGAATCACAAAGAATTTTACAAAAATTTTCTGATAGACTTCCAGTTATTTGTGAAAAGGTTGAAAATTCTGATATCCAAGATATTGATAAACGTAAATACTTAGTACCAGGAGATTTATCTGTTGGACAATTTGTATATGTTATTAGAAAAAGAATTAGATTACCTAGTGAAAAGGCCATTTTCATTTTTGTTAACGATATTTTACCACCAACCGCTACACTCATGAGTACTATTTACGAAGAACATAAAGACGAAGATGGATTCTTGTATGTCTTATATTCTGGTGAAAACACTTTTGGGGAAAAGGTTGAATTGGATTTATCCGATTTGGATTTTAGTGAAGTTTGCTAACTTTTATGGTTTAATGTGATTTATCTTTGTTTTATTTCTATGTTCTTAAATTATTTATATTTGAATATAAAATCAGTTTTATTATACATACTAATGTAATTTATAATAATGGAGTATACTTATCAATGACCAGTTGAAGAATTTGTTTTAATTCTGACTTTCTTTTATCGTCACACCATGAACCTTCAATACCATTATTAACGATCTTAGCCCATTGGTTAATATTGAAACCAAATCTAGTATGAACACTAATATAATTATCTAAGATATATCCACCAAAATAAGCTGGGTCGTCAGAGTTGATACTGAACGGAACATCTGATTGTAGAAATAAATTAATCGGTAATTCGCCAACATCTTTAACCACTTGTAATTTAACATTTGATAATGGACACATGGTTAACATGGTTTTATTCTTTGCTAATCTAGCTAAAAGTTCGTTGGATTGTTTGGAATTAATCCCATGATCAATTCTACTAGCTCCCAACTTATCTAAGGAATCAATAACGTAATTGTAATCTCCTTCTTCTCCAGCATGAGCAGTTAATCCTACGTTTGGATATTTTTGTTTAATTTCTTTATAACAGTCAATGAAAAGTCCCGGGGGAAAAGGTTTCTCTGAGGAATCTAATCCCAACCCATGAATAATCCCTTGTTGGTGATATTTTTCAACGCTTTTAATGGTTTCCATCCCATTTGATGCTGGTAAGTGTCTTAATAAGCACATAATCAATTTATTGGTGGTACCTAACTTTTTAGTTGCATCTCTGCAGGCACGATCAAAACCCTTGACAACCAAATCCACACTGACTCCTCTTTCAACATGTCCTTGAGGATCGAAGAAGACTTCAGAATGTAAACATCCATCTTGTTCAGCTTTAGTGAAATATGCCATTGCTAAATCGTAAAAATCATCCTCGGTGATCAATACACTCATTCCGACATAGTAATGATTTAAGAAATCTTGTAAATCTTCGAAACTAGCATATCTTTTCGAACATTCTTCAATATTTTTGGGGAAACTAGATGGTAGTTGAATCTTATTTCTTTCTGCTAATTTAAATAATAAATTTGGTTCTAAAGTACCTTCCAAATGTAAATGATGTTCACATTTGGGAAGCTCTTGCAAAAAGCTTTTCATATGGTCAGTGCATTCAAATCTACTCATCCTAGTTTACTTACTCAAGTTTATCTTGAAAGAACAGAAATTCATCTTCTTTATATCTCTTGAGCTCATCGTAGACGCAAAACGTCAAAATACAACAGAAAAATATTTTTTAAATTGGCATGGAAAACTCCGATCTTCTTAATAACTCACAATCTTTCTCTTACTACACTAGGTGATGATGGATCCTACAATATCAGTGTGAGTTGGGTTTCTGGCTGTCGGGGACCGGCTGGCTGCTTTGACGTGAAACGGTCGTCAGGTCCCCGAGGATGCTCCGATTTGCATGCGGTGCACGGGTGTTTCTCCAAACAATCCCATCTAATACTATGAACACATTATGTAGTGATAACTTGATCTCTATTCTGCTAGTGTTTATTATTTTACCAGTACTGTTACTATTCTGGTACTGTTATGGTACTGTTCTGGTACTGTTCTGGTACTGTTCTGGTACTGTTCTGGTACTGTTCTGGTACTGTTCTGGTACTGTTCAACCAATCTCTTGTGAACACATGCCCCATGAACTAAGCGTGCTATAGTATCCTACTGCAGGACATATAATGTTTGACAGCATTAATATAAAGACCGATCATACCAATTGCTAGATCATTCCAATTAACAGAATATTCAAATTGGTTACATGAAGTTTCTGGATATGGTTGATATTGGAACCCTGGTGTACGGAGGGCATGCGGGTGATTAGACTACCGCATTAGTGCACAAGGTAAACACTTCTAAATATAATTGCATTGATTTTAATTCTATTTTGAAAACTTATACAGCCTCTGTTCATCAGCGATTCCTACTTACATGATCATATACCAGGGGTTGCTGCTTATTATAGAACATGGATTTATAACATACGACGTCCATATGCAATAAACGTATACTGAGCCTTCTATAAGTCATTAAGCTTCGACAGCCACGTAAATGGTTTTGAATTTGATTCTAATTTGCAGTAAGATCGTAACCTAAGCTTATAATTGTGAATCAATTTTGGTTAGTGGTGATTCTGTATATAATGATTGATTCTTTCTTTTTATAATGTATTTCACTAATCTACCAATCATTTTCTTTGTTTAATGGACTTTTTGTTCAACTTGGTTCTCTTGACTACCTTTTCTCCCTTGTTTGTCCATTAGGTCTAATTATTTTTTCATTCTGTTGTCGGTCCTGATCATCGATTTTCGGCCTATTTAATTTTTCACAAATATTTATATAAAACTATTTCCTGAGCCTTTATACACCGTACAACCAGTCAAGACTCACATTCATCTTTTCATCGTGTAACAAAACTTTGAACAAAGAAGACAATCAAAACACTAAGAAAACAAAAAAAAAAACGAATAAAAAAAAAAAAAAATAAAATCAACTTTCGTGCCTCGAAGAATTTTGTTAGATCAATTATATATACTGGCATTTTGAATAATTACCAACCAATTGCTTTGAATATAACAAGTTGTTCGACATAGTATGAGTAATTACCATAGATTCAACTCATCTAACGACGACGATGAATCGCGTTTTCTAAATACTTCTGGTTATGCTGGTCAAAATTCAAGATATAATGCTAGTAGTGATTCAATAAATTTTCAACAACCTCAAGCAGCTGCATATTCAGAAGATAGATACAGTAGATCCCATGATCATTTGAATAGTTTCTACAATGATGAACAGAGTACCCAAGATTATTCAAAACCTACAAATATCTTTTCTGGTGCAGTTAATCCTCCAGCACCAGCTTTTTCTCCTTTACCAAGTAGTGATAATCCTTTTGAAAATGCTTTTGGTAGAGAAGATACTTCCTATGGTGGGAATTTTGATCCTAATCACCAATATGAAATGAATGATTTCCATGATTATAATTATTCCGGTAATAAATATTCAAATAATCCAAATTTTTCTGAAGCTTTCGTACCCCATGTTTATGATGACGAAGAAGAAAGATTAGAAGATCAAAGAATTCAATATGATCAATTTGAAGGAGATTACTATGATTTGAACACAGTTCATTTACCTCCAACTCCAGCACCTGCTTCAAATTCTGGTGCTCCAGTTTCTAGAAATATCACTCCACATCAACCTTCCTTAATCGACGTCCCTCCTCCCCAATCTCCATTTGAAATGGTGGCTCCTCCTCCTCCTCAAAGCCCTTTTGGAAATGAATTTGAATATGGTGAGCCTCCTGAAGAGGAACCCCCTCGTGAAGAAATCCCCGATCCAGAACCTCAAAAAGCATTACTTATTTCTGGTATCAATGGTCATTTGGTTTTGGATTGTCCCGTAGCTGATGAATTATTATCAAAATATAATAACTATGATCCAAATAATCCAGATGGTGGTGGTTTAAAACGTGAATTTAGTTATATGCGTTATACTGCGGTTACTTGTGGTCCTTCAAATTTCGAAAGAGATAATTATATTTTACGTCAAGTTCATTATACTCCTGAACCACGTCAAACTGAATTAATGGTTGTTGTTACAATGTATAATGAAGATGATATCTTATTAGCAAGAACTTTAAAAGGGGTTTTCAAAAATATTAAACATCTTGAATCAAGAACAAGATCCTCCACTTGGGGTCCTAATTCTTGGAAGAAAGTTGTGGTTTGTGTTGTTAGTGATGGTCGTTCTAAAATTAATGAACGTGCTCAAGCATTGTTAGCTGCTTTGGGTGTTTATCAAGCAGGTTTAGCTAAATCCGTTGTTGATGATCGTAAAGTGCAAGCTCATATGTATGAATATACTACTCGTGTTGGTATTGCAAGTGTGGGCGATACCGTTAAATTAACTACTGAAAAAATTGTTCCAGTTCAAATGTTATTTTGTTTGAAAGAAAAGAATGCTAAAAAAATCAATAGTCATAGATGGTGTTTTGATGCAATTGCTAAACTTTTGAAACCTGAAGTTGTTGTTTTATTGGATGCTGGTACTCAGCCTACTGGTAAGTCTTTATATCATTTATGGAAAGAATTCGCTAGAAATCCTCAAGTTGCTGGTGCTTGTGGTGAAATTAAAGCTTCTTTAAAGAAACGTCAAATTGCTACTAATCCAATTGTTTATGCTCAAAATTTTGAATATAAAATTTCAAATATTTTAGATAAACCAACCGAATCAGTATTTGGTTTTATTTCTGTTTTACCAGGTGCTTTTTCTGCCTATAGATATGTTGCTTTACAAAATGATGTTAATGGTAAAGGTCCTTTGGAAAAATATTTTAAAGGGGAATTCTTACACGGTGGTGATTTAGATCCTGATGACGATGAATACTTATTAAAATCCAAAATGTTAGAAAATGAGGCTGGTATTTTCACTTCAAATATGTATCTAGCAGAAGATAGAATTTTATGTTATGAATTGGTTGCTAAACGTAACTGTTGTTGGTTATTGAGGTATTGTAAAAGTGCATCAGCTGAAACTGATGTACCTGAAAAATTATCTGAATTTATATTACAAAGAAGAAGATGGTTGAATGGTTCATTCTTTGCAGCAATTTATTCTTTAGCACATTTCCCTAAATTATGGCATTCTTCTCATACATTCCTTCGTAAACTTTTCTTACATATTCAATTTTTTTATCAACTTCTTAATTTAATTGTTTCTTGGTTTTCGATTGGTTCATACTTTTTGGTGTTTAGAATCTTGACTACTTCCCTTGCTGCCAAAGATTTACATTTTGCCCCTGGTAAAGTTCTTTCAGTTATTTTCCTATGGTTATATTTAGCTTCCATTGTTACTACCTTTGTTTTAAGTTTCGGTAACACTCCTAAAGGTACTGAAAAATTTTATGTTGTTATTGTTATTTTCTTTGCTATTTTAATGGCATACATGATTTTTGCAGCTATCTTTATGGCAGTGCATGCAATCCAATCTATTTATGATGATCAAACTAAAATAACAGTTTCCTTGTTTTTCAAAAACGCTGAATTTAGGGATTTGGTTGTTGCCACTAGTTCTACGTATGCTCTATACTTTTTGGCATCTTTCATTTATTTCGAACCATGGCATATGTTCACATCTTTCATACAGTATATTTTATTGTCACCAGCATACGTCAATGTGTTGAACATTTATGCATTCTGTAATATCGATGATATATCATGGGGTACTAAGGGTGACGTTGGTGCAGCTGACTTGGGTGCAGCTGTTAAGAAGGAAGATGGTAGTTTCGACGTTAATGTTCCAACTGAAGCAGCAGAAATCAATCAATGTTACCTAGAAGAATTAGAAAAGATTAAAAAACCCATTGATAATAGTGGTGATAAATATGTTCCTACCCATGAAGATTATTATGCATTCATTAGATCCATGACTGTTTTGGTCTGGATGATTTCTAATTTCGTGATTATTGCACTAGTCCTAGAAACAGGTGGGTTCAACCAATTCGAAAGTGAATCTTCTTTGTCAAAAACAAAAGAATCAAGAGCAGAAGTCTTTTTAACAGTGATCTTATGGCTAGTTGCGTTCATGGCGTTATACAGATTCATAGGTTGCGTTCTATACTTGATTCAAAGATTTGTCAGTAAATTCAAAAGTAATACTGCAGTACATAGACAAAAGGTCTAATAACCCAACTTTAAAGAACATTTCTCTCTCTAACCATATTCACTTCTTTCTATTTATACTCATTTATATACAAATTTTCGTTAGTTATTTCTACTTGTTGTATTTGGCTGTAAAAAAAAAGGACCAAACAGTGAGCCGTTTTATGTCGTCTTAGAAAAATGCTAAACAAAACAAAAAAAAAAATTAGAAACATAAACAAATACGACTTTAAGTACAAGATCAAGTTTCCAAAGCATTTACAAATTTGAACTCAATGAATAAACTTAGGAAAAGGGGCTCGCATGTACGTTCGAATAGTGATGTGCTATCACAGCTAGGAGAACCTTTACCTTTGCCATATAAACCAGACCCCAAAGGAAGTTCAATCAAACTTGAGGATGATGAACAAACAGCAGTTGATACCAAGGCATTGAATGAAGCCGGGATTGATAAGGATATACCTACTATCTTTAGCACGAGAGGCAACCAAGTCCAAAACAAAGCAGAGAATGAGACTCATTTGATCAATATAAGTAAAAAACCAAGATCAATATCGCTTCGACAAAAATACTTTGATAAACCATTAAGTATACTGAGACCTATAACCAAGGCATCAAAGAGGGATTACATATGTATAATCGAAGAGAAGCTAGAGAAGTTGAGGGAATTGAGCCAAGATTGTGAATCGGATGACATCAAAGAACTTGAGCTGAGAATAAACAGTTTAATTGATGTGACAATTCATTCAAGAGAACAAGAACAATTGGAAAGACAAAGGGAGCAATTAGAAAAAGAAAGACTAGAAATAGCTAGACAAGAAGAAGAAGCAGAAGAAAGGAAACGATATGAACTCGAAAGAAGAGAAGAGGAGGAACGGTTAGCCCAACAAGAATTCAATGGTGACGAACAAATGGATTTCGAGAATCAACCTACAGACATTAATAGCACTTTTCATGAAGGCTTCGATATCATTAAGGAATTAGAAAGAGTACAACGAATGAAAAACCTCCCAAATCAAACCAGAATCAACCACTACATTCCAAAATTCAATGCATCAACCATTACAATAATAACCCTCAGTATATTGGTAATAATATGTGTTTCGATAATACTAAGTGGGTTAAACTATGAATACTGTTACTACTTTTGTTAAAAACAATTTGCATCTTTGACTTTTTTTTTCATTCTAATCTGTATTAATATATGAAAATAACATATAAAACTAATATACAATTATATACAAGGTTAACGTTCTCTTAAGAATTATTCATCGTAGTCATTAGCAGGAGGAGCAGCACTTTCACTACTCATATATAAGTCAATTGCAGTTGAAAAAGCAGCAAAACCTGCACAACCAAATAATGCAGCTTGAGGACCTGCTTTTATTGATAATCCAGCACCAGTTACACAACCAGCACTAACACCGTTGTATATATCATGCTTAGCTCTTAAACTTTCAATAGCACATTCGACTCCAGAGTAAATAGCACCAATATAACCAAAGTTTTTAGCACTGGAATAGGATCTTTTACCCATATCAGTAAATTGAATTTTCATCTGTTGCTTGAAAGGTAATTGACTAATATGACTGGCCGCATTAGTACCACTTGGAGCATCGTACGCCATAGATGCCATGAATAAACCAAAGAACCCCCCAAGAAAGAACCCTGATACCCCGGCCATGGCCGTTTTACCAGGACAGGATTGCATGAATTCAATCATTTTACGTGCTCCTTCTTCGGCTTGCTCTTCTTGATTCATCTCATGCATTTGTTTTGGTGGGGGTTGTGGCCCCGTGTAAACTCCAAATACCATTCTGTCTATACCAAGTTGTTCAATAGAGCAGTTGCTTGAATGGCGTTCTACAGTAAACTTTTTGAAAAGATCTGAAAATTCTTCAATAAAAAAAAAAAAAATAGAAAAAAAAAAATTGACTACTTGAATGTACGGGTCTGTTCACCATTTAGATAAATACTTTGACTTCTCGTTGATGATGGCTTCATTCAACTCTCTTCGCTGGGAAGCAGTCTTCAAGCGGTTTACCAAGTCATTATTGATGATGATCTTCCCGTTAGTTTCTTTGTATAGCGTTCGAATTGCTTTCTTGACATCTGTATTAGAATCTGTGGGCTGAGAAGACTCTAGGATTAGTTGAGAGCCTTTGATAGTATTATTTATATGAACTCGGATGACAAACGCAGTACCTTCTTCATGATGGAAAGAGTATGTGGAATTGGTGTACGTTAGTTTGTGACCATTGGATGCAATTATATACCAAAAAACACCATTTGGTATTTGATGTGGTTCCAAAGTGAATATCTCATTTTTGGAAATAGCAGGTACTAATTCAAGAGTACCATTTGAATTATAAGATAAGTAGCTATCACGATGTTTGAATGCAAACTTTTCAGTTGCAGATGCAGATAGTAAGGATTTATTTGAGTCATTGATGGGAATGATGCTGAATACCTGGCTGGTAGAGTTGGGTTCAACCCGATCAATCTCCAGATACTCTAAAAGGTCAGACTCAAAGAAATTAATGCAATCTTTAGAAGATAAAATATCGGTATTATCCAGACCCAAAAATGAGTCAGTCATGCTATCATGTTGTAATGCCAACGGTGGACTCTGGCCATGTAAAAAGATACAAGGACCTTTCAAATCACCACAAACGGTTGCAGAAGACCAGCCTTCAATTGCAGCAGAAGCTTTTTCGGGAAGTATTGGATCTTGCCTACTCACAGTGGTATTATCTACCTTCTTGGTTTTCTTCTTCTTATCGCCTTTGAAAGTGAGCTTACCCATACTTAAAATCGGCTAATGTTATTTGCAACAATAGGATAGGGGAGATCACTACCAAAGTAAAATAGCACGGGATGAGGCAACAAAAAAAATGTCAATCTATCAAAAGATGATGTGATTGTGGAGAAGATTTCTCTCGTAAAAATCAAAACGTTAGCCTAACTGAAATGAAGTATCATTAACGGTAATAAGTTAAGCCCATCAATGGGGGAAAGCAACAATCCTTTAACTGCACACTAGCCCTTTTCTCCTAAGGATTTGAAAAGAGGAGATTCTGAATTTGATTGGGTGAATTTCAAATAATGATTTCTTGAATTATTCCCTTAATGACAATAATAATTATCGGAATATGGAGTAATTAATGAAAAGTGGAGAGATGATTCAATCCAATTGGGTGACTTAGTCTATTTCGGCCTTTCTTTTGGTGGAGTGACATTCTTGAAATGAGCGAAAAAAAAAGCAAAAACTGAGAGGTCTGGGTCTTTTTGCCGATTTGGCTGTAAAAAAGTATATAAAGAGTAGCAATTTGCAGACTTGTAAAAGAATAATTAGATATCAATTTAAATTGGTTTATAACCATTTAAAAGAAACGATAATAATAATTTTGATTCAAATTTTATATAAAAGCTTTATACGACAGACACTTTGTTGAAAATGGTGAAGAAGACTAAATCTAAATCTCAAGGTATTCCATTAGACTTGGACAATTGCGAAACATTGGAGCACTTGAAGCCTATTCCTAAGTCAAGATCATCTTCGATTACATCTATTGAGTCGGACGATGGGTCGATTTCGTCGGTATTAAAACCACCTCCAAGGAGGGAGTTTGAAGAATTGACTGCTTTTGAAAGCTATATCCGTGATGAGACATGGGATAATGATTTTGACTATTGCCATGCCCATTTATCTTATTATCCACCATTTATTTTGAAGGAGGTGCATAATAATTTGGATAAAATCAAGCCAACGATGAATAAGAATTCGAGGAAGTTTAGAAGACGCTTACAAAGTCACATTAAGAGACACTTGATGATTGAGATGGAGAAGTGTTCTGGTTTCAAGATGGATTTCGATAAAGTTGGCATTGAAGAAACCCCAACTTCAGTAGTTTATAAGTTTGCTGATAATGGAGATCATGGGTTTGATCCGGATGAAGAGGATTTGTTTGGTAGACATTGGAAGTTAGAATTAGAAGTTAAATGTAATAACGAGAATCCTTTGGTTGAAGTTGATTATAAAGCCATTCCAATTGGAGTATGATCAATCATTCCAATTGGAGTATGATCAATCATGTGCTGGTGAAACCCCTTTTTAACGACGTACGATTTGTGTTCATTTCATTCTACTTTTTTTATTTTTTGTTTATAGCTTTTGTATGGGTTCACTGGATGACTCTTTTTTATGTATTTACGTCTTTATGTTTTGTTTTAATGAAATTATGTTATTAATTTTTACATTGTAGTTTCTGATACAACACACTATTATACAAAAATATTAACCTCCCCTTGCTAATCTATCGTAATCCGGGGTAACATTAACGTATTCGTTAACGTACTCAGATAAATTATGATCTAAGTATTCCATCAAGAATACGGTTTGTGCCCCCAAGACCCCAAGACTAACTGAATCCATTGATGCTTGGGATATTAATCCTGGTAACGAAACAAATAATCGAAGTAAATGTTCAAGACCATAATAATTTATTGCTTCAAAATCAGAATTTTCTTTTAATAGTTTCTGATATTGTAGTCTTTCAAATTTATATAATAACACTAGCCCTAAAGACTTATTAAAATATATTTTCAATCCTTCCAAATATTCTTTGATCACATTTATATCATTTGAAGATTTCTTCTCCTTCATTTTAAACTTCATGTATTCATTCAAAATGGTACTCACTGGTTTCTTGCTCGGTATATCCAATAACTGTCGATTTCTAGTTATATATTCCCAATCATCAATCAATAAATATTTCAAATTTGGCCTGATGGTAAAACCAATTTCTAAATTAGATTTCCCAGCGGTCATTGATTCAGTCTTCTTTTTTTTACTATTTGTTTGGTTCGTACTTCCATTATTGGTGGATCCTGTCCCTGAAGTACCGGTGTTTGGTCTTTTCTTGGGTGAACTTGGATTCATCACTTGTTTAACCAGTTTATGCTTTCTTGAAATTTCTTCTCGTATCTGTTTCAGTAGCCCAATATTCGCTTCATTATATTCTAAAACTCTTTCCACGGGGACCCACTCATCCCATTTCGCTTTCCACCCCTTATAATGCAAGAAATACCCAGTCACACTATGTAAATGTTGTGGTATCGACATTTTACTCATGGGTACTTTTTTGTCTTCTCCAACTAACACATATTCCTCGTCTTGTGGATGGACTTTCAACACTTTTGCTTCGTATATCAATGGACCATGGTATGCCAACACCCTCGTGTTTGGCTTGAACGTGTCTGTAGACATATTTCCACCCAAACTATCGTTTATATCGGGATTATAAGCTGAATCAGTTACTTCCTAATGTTTATTATGGACTGAATTCCACCGCTATTTTCCAAATAGCTAAGGTGTACGGGTGAACTTCTCACGGTGAAGCCGTACACCGAGTTAATTTTCGTCAACAAAAGAAAAAAAAAAAAAAATGAAAAAAACCCCCAGCAAACCTACGAACGGTGCTATACTTTATTATCCATTGCTAGAACGAGTATCAACCAGTAGTGATCATATTGAGGATACTGTGCTGAAGCTGTTTTTTCGCTATCATCAAGTTTTTGTATTGTATCTTGTTACTCAGGTGGTTTTCGAGTTTTTTGTTTGTTTTTGTTTTAGCTTTAACTTCGTGAAGTCTTTTATTTTGATTCTTTAGACTTTTCTTCTTCACGAGTTAACTTTTCTCATTGAACTGGATTAAGAGTTGTTCCCAAGATCTGTTACCCCTTAGATTTATTATTTTGGATTCTGTCAATCGCCTGTTTGATATTTCGGAGCGAAATTTTGGTTGTACAAAAACTTTCTGTTTAGTTTATTCGAAGAATATAACCTTTATACTTGTTCGACATCATCTCTGTTTTATTTGAGTTGGTCTAGTTTACACTTAGTGTAAGAAGGTTGTTTTGATTTATTAGATTCTTAGAAGGGATTCAAAAACATATAAAGTTTCATTTGTTCGTTTAAGAATAGATTTTTATCGTTGCTTCAGATACCTTACCTTCGTTAAATAAATGCAATGGCACAAACAAGCTCTTCTAATATAGTAGGTGTCCATTATAAGGTTGGTAAAAAAATAGGTGAAGGCTCATTCGGAATTATTTTTGAAGGTATCAACTTATTAAATAATCAACAAGTTGCAATCAAATTTGAACCTAGAAAATGTGAAGCCCCCCAGTTGAGAGATGAATACAGATCATATCGTATATTGAATGATGCCATTGGTATACCAAAAGCATATTTCTTCGGCCAAGAAGGTGTTCATAATATTCTTATCATTGACTTATTGGGTCCTTCTTTGGAAGATTTATTTGATTGGTGTGGTCGTAAGTTTTCAATTAAAACTGTTATCCAAGTTGCTAAACAAATGATTTCAAGGGTTCAAGCAATTCATCAGCATGATTTAATTTATAGAGATATCAAACCGGATAATTTTTTAATTGGTAAGCCAGGAACTCCTGAAGCTAATCAGATTTATGTCGTTGACTTTGGTATGGCCAAACAATATAGAGATCCAAAATCTAAACATCACATACCATATAGAGAAAAGAAAGCTTTAAGCGGTACAGCACGTTATATGTCTATTAATACTCATTTGGGTAGGGAACAACTGAGAAGGGATGATTTGGAAAGTTTAGGCCATGTTTTCATGTATTTCTTGAGAGGCTCATTACCTTGGCAAGGTTTAAAAGCACCTACAAATAAACAAAAATATGAAAAAATTGGTTTAAAGAAAAGAACAACTACAGTTAATGAATTATGTTATGGATTCCCAATACAATTTGCTCAGTATCTAGATTATGTCAGAACTTTAGAATTTGATGATGAACCTAACTATAGCTACTTAATTAATTTGATGGATAAAGCATTTATATCAATTGATAAACAAGAAGATGATCATTATGATTGGATGGATTTAAACGGTGGTAGAGGATGGGATGCAGCGTTAAATAAAAAGGCTAACTTACATGGATATGGAAATCCTCATCCTCCTCAAAATAGACAGCATCAAAGAAAACTATCATCAAATTCACAAGCCAAAAATCAACAACAAAGAATAATGCAGCATCATCAACAACAAGCCCAAAAAGCTCAACAAAATGGGTTAATGAATGGGAATCTTTCACCTGATAATAGAAACTCAAGATCCAAATCTCATTCTTTCGGTAATTACAATTCAATACCTCAAGATAGAAATAATGCAAGCTTTCTTAATAAAAATTCGCAACAATATCCAAATCATTCATCAAACTACCCTAACGGAATGATACCAGTAAGAGATGATGGTGATTTGCATTCTGATACTTCAAGTTTTAATGAAGGTGTATCCCGAAATAAGTCCTGGATTAGAAAAATATTCTGTTGTTTTTGACGATAAAGCAAATTGATTTGGCTTTGTTGATATCACTTGTAAATTAAAATATCCTATGATTTTCTATGATTTTCATTTTCAATTCACTCTCTAATCTTATCTTGTATATTATTATGGAGATTTTTATGATTTATTCTATTCTGTGTTCTTAATATTCATAGCTTCTCTAATTCTTCTTTATTCTTTCTTCTTGTGAATTTTTTTTTTAACTTTCATTTTTGTTCCTCGCTACACTTTGATAGGGATTATTTTTCTTTGATTCATCTTTTTTGCTACACTTTGATAGGAATAACTTTTTTTGGGTTCTTTTCTTTAGCTAGCCTTCAATTACATTCATTTTTGTATTGATTTTCGTCTCTTACGTTTCTTTAATTCCAATAATTCACTCTCATTTCTCTTCCTTTAAATCTTTAATGATCCCGTTCTACATTCTACTAATACTTTCTTATCATTTGCTTGATTTTCTGCTAGATGTTTAATAAATTAAATACTATCGGTCTTCAAATAGTCTGTACGTTTTTTTGTTGTTTTTTTTTTGCAAAGAGTCGGGACTTTTTGAGGGTTTTCCCGATCAAATAGAGTCCATATCTAAATATCGAATAACGTTCCTGTAATGAAGCAATTGAATGAGTCTGGTATTAAAAGGACAGCTTCTGATAGTCCAGGAATAAAGGAAGATAATTATACACCACAACCTAGCATCGAAACCCTCGAGGAAGCTGATAGAGGAGAGTTTGAGCAAGTTGGTTTGATCAGGAATTCGAAGACTTTGAACAAAGATGATAAAATGATGAATTCAAGTAACGACTTACCACAAAAGCGGTCTAAAGCAGCATGTCAAAGGTGCAAGAGTCGTAAGACAAAGTGCTCAGGTCATAATCCATGCAGATCATGTATAAGTGGTGGACATGAATGTATATATCCTAGAAAAGCTAAGAGGATTCATGTATTGGATGTTGAATTAGAGAAGTATAAAGAAGAAATTGAGAGCTTGAAGAATGAACTAATGTTTTATAAAAATAGAATGGGAGTCATATCTGGGAAAGAATCAACACCGACCCACCAAAGTAAGGAGTCAGGTTCTAAAATAGATTTTTCAATTTGGTTAGGTTCAGCGTCTTGTGAATTAATCTGTTGGAACTTGAAAGAATTTGCAAAAACAAAGATGCTGAACAACAATAAGAGATACATCAAGGATAAAGGTTTCACCATCTCCCCTGATTTTAGCTCATTCATCGAAGAAAAAGCCTATGATTATATTTTGGATCATACAGAACCAGAAGTCTTTAACAAAGATGTACTTGAGAAAACTCTTAAAGGTCTTACCTATAACGAAACAATGTCACTTTTAGATAATGTCGTATTATTTATTAATTCTGGTTATTTAACTGTGGATCCTAGGGATTTTAGAATAAAATCTCGAGAGTATTTCAATAAAGATGGATACTTTGATATCAACTCTATAAAAAATGAAAAAACTGATTTCTTCCTATTCAAAATGTTGATGATTTTGACATTAGGAGAAGTGTATAGTAGAAGATCAGTGATATCACCGTTTTCACAGCAATTATTTGAGGATAAAACCCTTCCAGGATTGAAATATTTTAAGATCATTGTAAAATTTATACCAACCCCATTTCAATTATTATCTTTGAAGGAGGAAAATGTCAATGCAACTATTCAAGTGATTGAGCTATTTGGATTAATTGCCATTTACTTAAGATGTTTAGATAAAAAACAATTGGCGGTTTTATTCACATTAAATGCCTTAGAATTAGGAATATCAATTAATTTGCATAAAGAACAAAATCCAAAATCCAATCATAATCTATACGATCATTATAATAAGATTTGGTGGGCAACATATTGTTTGAATAGGTTTTATAGTTCAAGGATAGGACAGCCATTATTACTAAGTCCCAATGAAATAACTAGATCATATCCACAACAAAGTCGCTTTAATATAAATAGCGTTGTGCCACAAAGTAAAGATGATTTTGCCAATTCTGATGCTATGAGGTTTTATATTGAATTAGCTAAAATATCGGATATAATAACTAACGATTTATATTGTTTGAAACAACCTTTTGATAATAAAGATTATTTCAATAAGACTTTAAAGATTATGGAAAGATTATTGAATTGGGTTGATGATATACCGGATTATTTGAAATTGAAGATGCCCCAAGATGAATCGAAAAAGATTGTTGATGAAAATAATCGATTAGTTTATACTTTGCATTTGAACTATCTTCACCATATTTATTTAGCATGTATTCCAATATTAATAAACCTTGCTAAATCGAGTCTAATGGCTTTTAATCAAAATGGGAAATCAAAAGAGTTGGACTTAACAACATTACCTAGAAACATAACCAAATTGATTACAGCTTGCATTAATGCATCGGAGGCTACGATAAATATATTTACAATTGTTTATCAAGAACAATTATTAAGAGTGTTTGGATTTACTGATTTGGACTATTTATTGAGTTCATCGTTAATTTTCATCATCTGCATGATCTTAAGGATCAAAATCCCACCATCTCGAAATCAGTTCACTAGTCAAAACTATACATTTGAAGAATACCTTGAAGTTACCATGAACTTAATATACGAAATGAAAAAGCGAGGTAATCTTGTGGCTAAAGGTAAATTAGATCAAATAATTGATTTGATAGAATCCTTACAAAGTTTATTCATTGAAGCCGGATATGGCAAGATTTATAAGAATCTTAATAGCTATGGTAACAGTGATAATCAAATAATATCATCCGATATAAAAAAATTTCAAAATATCAAAATTCCTCAATCTTCAGTGATATCAAACCTAAGATCTTCAGTAGCAGGAAGCTTTGTGGGTGAACCGGATTTCAATTTCGATGAAACGTTTTCTCTTGGTCCAAATCAATTACTTTCAGATTTTCAAATTGGCAGAGATAAGTTATTTGTTGATTCGAAATTTTTAAGTTTAAATGATGAGCTAATGTTAGAGTCGAATCCAATCAACGGCCTAAATGAATTTGAAATTACAAATACAAATCACGATCTATTCGCAATCACTGATGAAGATGTCTTGTTTATGGATCAATTAATGAAGGGTCTCTCTGGAGACACAAACATCTGATAATACAGTTAACTAATCATTTTTATCATTTATTTATACTAGCATTAATTACATGAACAATAGACTACTTACTTGGTCAGCATTTCAGAGGAAACACTCCCCATTCTTGATCGATCTTCAGAGTCCGACTCTGAATTCATAGAACTAACACTACCCATTCTTGGTTTAACGGTCTTGGTGTCCTGGATGTGATCAGCTGCTTTCTGCATATCTTTATTTATTGGTAACCAATACTTATTATTGGTGGAGTTTTCATGATAACTATAAAACCTACCAGTGTTGACCCGGGAAGCATTTGAATAGTGGTGGGTGGATCTTCCACCGTTGAAAGAAGTTGAAATCTTATTGTATAAATTGTCAAATAAGTCAGGCATCTCTGAATAAAAGCTGTGGAAATATTAAAGAAAACATTCAAAGCTGAACAAGATACAAGACTCTATTTAAACCCTTCTCTGTAGTGTTTCATCCAATCATCACCCCTGTCAATATAAGCAGGACCTAACGAGAACCAAAATTAGAACCAGACCAAACGGGGAGCCATTGTTGCCCTCCCCTCTCTAAATTGCTTTCCACCACACCTCCCATGTCAGCTGATACGTAAAAGGGTAAACAATAGTAGTAAAAAGTTAGTAATACCAGACGTTAAGTGCAATGGCGATGATAACTGAGATAATAAATGATTGCAAATTGAGGGGACTTGATCGTGTTGCTTATCAAAATTGCGGCCAGAGAAAAAGAAAAGATGTGCACCCAAACATCTCCACCCAAAAATGCAACCATCTCCTCAGTCTAATCATCCCTTGTATCAACGGATGATTGTTCAGTTGGGGTTCAATGGGTGTTTGCATTGCGGTCAACGGTAAGGATATTTCAATACACGAATACAACGTAACAAATTCGAACTATATATTCCGTGATTTAATCATGTTTTTTTTTTTTTTTTTTTTGCTTTTTCGTTTACAAGGTTTTTTAGAAATGAAAGAATTACTTTATCCAAAATGAAGAATGAAAAATATATGGAAGTAGCAGAAGGCAATGAGCAATGGAAATAAAAATAAGTAAAAGGAAATCAAGGAAAGTAAATAAAATGGAAAAGAATAGAAAGGAGAAATTTAATGTATATATATCATTCTAATATTTTATGTGAGAGTAAATCATTAATTGGGAGGACATTATCAAAATCGTTATCAAGGTAAATCAAGAAATTGTAGAAAGTGCCCAAAAAGAAAAGAAAGTAGAATACAGAGAAAATACGTTTTTTTTTTAATAAAAAATGTTTGTTTGATTGATTATTCTTGACCAAAACCGACAGTTTCTTCCACGGCCAAAGTCAATTTTTGTTTTAAGCTTTCATAATTGGTGTATGAAGGTAAATCGACTCTATTGAAACAAGTATGAGATTTAGGTAATTGATTTGGTTCACCAGCTTTTTCAATAGTGAATCTTCTTGGACCATCAGAACCTTGTAAATCTTTAAACCCATTAACCGGGATACGAGAAGTACCAGTGGTGAATTGTAATAATCTTGCTTTTTGTTCTGAATCCCATTCTTTGATACATTTCCAGAACCATTGAATGACTTGATCATTTTCTTGATAACCTCTATAATCAGTATGTTTTTTCCAGTCTTCGATATCAATTTCTGCTAAACCACCGATTAACAATTCCAATTCACGTTCATCGAAAACATTAACTAATTCTTGAGGAATCAATTCATTAAATCCATTAATAAAAGCTTTAAATTGTTCTTCAACACGTTTACTAATTTTCCATTCGGATATTAATTCAACGTATTCATGTTTATTGTCTTCAGTGACTTCGATATCTTTCCCACCAGGTTTTAATTCAACTTCAACAATTTCACCAAATTTATCATCTTCTGCACTAAAAGTTAAATCTAATATATCGGTTATATCATTATCACATATCCATTTTAATGATCTATAAAATTCTGCATCAACCCCTTCCATATCTTGTAAAACAACTTTTTTATGTAACATCATTTTATATAATGCACCAACAAAGAAAGCATCCAAAAATCTTCTATGAAATACACCCAAACCAACAACTCTACCAATGAATTTGAAATAATTCAAATGTTCTGGATTAATACCTGAATTTGGATTAATTTGTAATGTATAATTATCATGAGATGAATATTCAAATAAACAATAAAATGGATTAAACATATCGTGAGATAATAAAAAGAAAAATTCTCTTGAAACCCCACCATAATCTAAACCTTCTTCACCATCGAATTTAATCATTAATCTTTTCTTTAAATCTTCAGGAGTTTGTCTCATAATCTCTTGATAAGAATCTTCAAAAATATGATCTCTTCTAACTTTAATATGACATTGACCTGGTAAAATTCTTAATGCTGGTTGAGATCTAAAATAAATAACTTTTCTTCTGAAATCACGTTTATATTGAGGAACATTTTGATCTAATGAAGATGGTAATCTTGGATCATCCCAAGTGGTTGTTTTAGTATTATGATCAACAAAATAAACTCTTGCAGTATTAGTTAATCTCATTTCCCAACCTGATGGTAAAGGACCCAATTGAGAAACTGGTTGTTGTTGGATTGTAGTATTTGGACCAAAAGTACGAATGTATTGTTGTCTTCTTGGATCGACCCAAGTAGTAGTTCTAGTATTATGATCAACGAAATAAGGTCTACCTTCATTAGTAAAACGTTGTTCCCAACCAGAAGGTAATTCACCTAACCCATTGGTAGTTGCACCTGAAGCCGCCATCGATACAGCTGCAGCAGGAGAAACCGGAGTGTTAGCACCACTTGAATTAACAGTTACATTACCACTAGTGGCAGTATTAGAAGGTGGTTGAGGAGTGGCCGATAACATTGGAGAATGAGATCCTTCACCAGGTAAAGTACGACCACGATGTTGTCTTCTTTCAGCTTCAGTGGTATTTTGTCTTTGTTGACCTCTTTCAACTTCTGATTGCTCCAAAGTAGGTCTTTGCCAAGTAGTAGTTCTTGAATTATGATCAACGTAATAAGTTCTACCAAAATTATCAGTTCTACGTTCCCAACCAGGAGGTAATCTACCATATTGATCTTCAAAAGAAGAATATTGTCGATGAGCCGCCGATTGAGCATTTGTAGAATTAACCGCCAAAGCACCAGAAGAATCACTAGCAGCGGCAACACCAGCAGGGATTGACAGAGCTGGTGTGGAGGAGGTGTTGTTATTACTATTTGTATTAGTATTGGCTGAGCCATTTGACGTTGGATTTTTATTATGGCTAACAACCACAATTATTTTACCACTAACCGCCAAATTTTCATTTGATTTTTTCAAATCTCGAGTTATAGTTTCTTCACTGTTTGGTAATGATAAATCAATCACATCACCAATTCTTACATTAACAACACCCAAGAACCCTTGATCCTTCTTTTTAAATTTTTTCTGATCAAAAACTTGAATAACAAGAATTGAATCTTCTAACGAATTAAAATCAAACGATTCATTCCAATATGGATTTAATGTTTTCTTAGCAGTCTTGGTTGTCTTGGTTTGAGATCCATCAACAGTAATTACAGCAAACGGATCCGGCTGACGGAAAACATCTCTTTTATAAAGTGACTCAGCAGCCACCACCTTAACATTGATGGTGGTTGGTCTCGACATACTAGCTTCTTCTATCGTATCTTCAAGGCACTAAAGAAGTATCTTCCCTAATTGATTACTAATGAGATCACTAGCTTCAAAGACTTTCTTTTTGTATTGAGGCAATGATAATTTGTATCACAGCAATAGAAAAAAAAAAAAAGAGAGAGACACACACACAATGTAGCAAAGAACGAATAAACCTAATCTAAATCAACTGAGTGATTGGTTCAACAATTCAACAACAACAACAGTAACAATACCTGGAATTGACGTCAAATCAACGATAGGTCAACTATTTTGATGTATTTTCCAACTGTCAAATAAGCGTAAAGAAATGTGTTGATGATTTTTATTAATAAAAATTTACCGCCCTGTCCATTTTTTTTTAATTTCACTTTTTTTTTTTTTTTTTTTGAATTTCGCTTTTTTCAGGGATTTTTTTTTTTTTTGTTTGTTTGTTCAGTCACTTCTTTTCTTCTGCCTCCGTACATCCAGCGGTCTTTTCATCTGCTTACAGTCTGATTAAGCCTACATGTGGTACGTGTACTGGTAGATGATTTGTAGATGATTTGTAGATGTAGTGTAGACGGGGAATAGGGGCATTCTTACACCAGATCACTGGTGTTGTGAAGAAGGCTTTGTGTTTGTTGTTTTAATTAGACCTTGTTTTGTTTGTTCGTTTGTTGGTTGTTAAATTTGGGGTGTGGGTCTTTCTGTATCACGTGATGTGCTATTCTTTTTTTCACTTGCATGATTAGGCTGCTAAATACAAGATACAGATGTATTAGATAGATATTCGTGTATATTAGATGCAATTACAAACTATAAACCAGGCTGCTTGAGGTGCAGGTGGTGGGAGACCGGTGTAAAGGGTGGGCCAGTTTGATGGAGCCGGCGATGGCATGGTAGATGTTTGTGTTACTGAACGAAGGGTCGTCACTTACATCTTCATCGTCGTCGAAATTGATTGCCAATAGAGGGAAATCGTTGGAGACATCGGGGGTTTCCTTCTCCGGGATGGGTTGTTCCATTATGGTTGGGTTGGTTGATAGAGTTTCTATGGAGGCGTCGAAATCGGTATTGGTGGTTTCGTCGGTACTTATGTTAGGAGACTCGAGGTATCTTGGTTGCAGATCAACCGAGTATACCGAGTCGTTGTTGGGGGTTTCGTAGATGGTGTTGCTGTTGAAGTTAAATTCTTGACTGGAGTCGGGGTCTTCGTAGTCGTCCTCGTGATCAAAGTCATCGACATTAATGTCTAGTTTATAATCGATTTGCTGTGGTTCGTGGGAGAGTAAAGTATCTTCGGAGTCGTTATTGATTAATTTAGTAGTTGGTTTTCTGGAAATGGCCAAAGGTTTAGTGACTTGATCGATGGAGTCACATGAGTTTAAGAGAGTACTGTTAGAATGTTCATTAACCAATAGAGCAACATCTTCTTTGGTGTAATATAATTTCTCGGTATTAATATTAACATTAACTGCTTCATAAATTTTAGAATGAACACCAAAGAACGAAGACCCGTCGATCGATAAGATTTTCAAGTCATCACTATCACTACCTTTGACCGAAGACATTCCAACAATCTTAGTATTTGATGCTGGTAAGGTTGTACCACATTGTCTTTCCAGTAATTTATCTTGTAATGAATTTTTCTGAGGATTAAATTTAACACTATCAATACCTTCTTTCAAAGAGCAATTTTTTAAATTATTCGAATCATCACTGAAAGAATCACCGGTCTTGATATCACTAGTTAAATCCCAATGGATGATATTACCGTCATTGGCACCAGAGAACAAATCTTGTTGATTCCATTCGAGATTAGTTACTTGCAGTTGATGACCATGTAAAGTAGCAAAACAGTCCTGTTTTCTAACATCCCATAATCTTATATTACCATCGATATGGCCAGATGCGAAAACATAAGCGTTATTATCACTCCATCTCATAATATTAGCAGATAATTTTTTACGACCAGCACTTTTAATTACCAGAGAAGGAACACTGAATTTAGGATCTCTAGTATCAAATAATGAAACACCAAATTTCCCACAAACCCCAATAACGTTTTCACTAGTTGAAGTAGTATCAAAGTTGGTTAAACCATTAATACTTGATATCATGATTGGTTTTGGCTTATACAGAGAATCAACTTGTTTCATATCCCATAAAAATAAATTATCATCGTAAATTGATAATAAATTTTTATCAAATTTACTAAAACCTAATTTTGATATATTTGTTTGTTGATGGGCTAAAAGTGATGGATTTTTATTAATTGATTTTAAATGTTTCCTGTGGTTGAATCTTTTCACTATTTCTGCTGATTCATTTTCTTCATCTTCTTCACTTAATGTATACGTCTTGTAAAGATTTGGAGTGGGAATCGATACTAAATGTGCGTATCCCTTATTATTCCCAGTAAGTAAATATTTTGAGTTTTGTGTATTGGTATCTGGTACCCATTTCATTGAATGTATGTTAGGTAGTGATATAGTATTATGATGGGTTAAGTAATTGTTCAATATATCCAATTCATAGATATATAAGTTTTGTTCCCTATTCCCACTGGAAATAGCCATGATTGGGGTATCGGTTTCCTTTTTATTGATGGCCATGGCAGTTAAATTCATATCATTATCGGGTATTTGCCAATAATTGGACTTGATATTCAATCGATTCAATGCACAGGTCTTACTCAAGACTTCTGTATCTTTAGGATTATTTTGATTAAGCATCCATTGGGGACTAACGGTTTTGCTCAATCTTGACATCTCGCTGCTCCCAGTGAGCGTCGACGAAACATCAAGGGTAGAAACGCTGGCTATGGGTGATAATGGACAGCTATAACGCTTCATGGCGTTTTGTCTGAACAAAAGAGTTGGCTCGTAGAACTCAGTCATGTTATTTCGTTGCAAAAGAGTGAATTAGTTGGTCAGCTTGTATAATGATTGTAGTAATGAACGTGGTATAATAAATGTGGTATAACAAATGTGGTATAATAAATGTGCTTTTTTCGCTTCGTGGAGGAAAACCGTAGTATAGGGACCCCATCCTCTATATATACCCTCCTCCCTCTTACAATACCGATATTCCTTTGCAGCTCCCGTGGTAATGGCTGGTAGTTGCCAAATTGAAGTCGAGTTCCAGTAATGGTGCGAGGCTGCTAAAAAGACTGCTAAAAAACGGGTCTGTGTGCAGGAAAAAGCGCTGGCTGCGCAGCCAAAGCAAAAAAAAAAAAGAAAGAAAGAAAGAAAGTCTTCTCTGGTTGGCATCTCGAAGCTGGAAGTTGAAATTTAGGTGACTATGCTGGATTGTAGAGCCAAGGACATGCAGTAGGGAGCTATTGATCAACAAGGTGAGCGATCAAGGGGTCAAGTCGCCTGGCAAAAGAGGATTTTGTGCGTATTTAGTCTATGCTAGTCATGTCATTCGACGGTTTCTTTACGAAGCACCGATAAAATAAGATGATAATATGTGCATTTAATGTATGTACGTAATATACGGAAAGTTATCTTCTCTTGTAGATGCATGGCTTTAATAACCATTCGCCTTCAGGTTTATCTTCTCTCTTTTGGTCAAAGTTTTCTTTTTCGGTTTGTTGCTCGATGAATTTTTTCTTTCGGTCTAATTTTGCCCTTCTTTCATCGATGATATCTTGAGGAGGTTTGAAGAACTCGAATCTGGTAAACATTTTATTGTCGTTATCGGTTTTTTTGTGGAAGAATCCACAGAGTTTTAGCGCATCCACAAATTCAGCTCCGATATCTTCGGGTTTGGTTGGTTTATTACTTGCAGAAGCCAGCTCGGTAAATCTTGATTTAATTTCTGCAATCCATAATTCACCTCTGGGAGCTAATATACGGTATGCTTCTTTTATGAAGTCGAGAAAGTTAGTACCCATTAACGCTAAGCAAAATATCACAACACTGCATGATTCATCTTCTAACGGAACGTTTTTGATATCAGCAACCGTTATACGATCATTCACTTTTTTCAAGTCGAAACTGTGTACTTCAACGTTTAGGTTGGTGGGTCCTCCATTTCTTTGACCGTTATTCTTCTTACCAAACTTTTTATTTTGTTTTCCCTTATTTGCTTTATTATATTGTTGGGTAAAGTTATTAACGTCTAATGCTAATTGTGCTTCACCGCATCCCATATCGGCAATCACAACTTGTTTATTAGGTAACCCAGGTAATCCTCCTGGTGCGTTCACTTGTCTCGTACTACCTCTTTCTTTGATTTGTTCCACGAAAACATCAACTGGGTTTTCGGGCCATGATTGCACTTGCGATCTAAATCCTTGGTGATATTCATCAAATAATGAGGGTTGTTGTTTGATTAATTTGAGAGCGTCTTCACTGCTGATGGTATATAGCTGCTCGTTTATCCATCTGAATCTAGACCCGGAGAGCTTGGCCATCATCTTTTGTTGTAATGGTGTTAACTTGTTGCTTGACACCGGTAATGGCTTGTCGAGACTTGTAGGTGTTTGATCAACCTCTATTTTTTCATCTTCTTGATGCTTTCTCTTCTTGGATTTCTTATCCACACCCTCTGATGATGATTCTTTCTTCGGTTTTTCAGCTGTCGTTTCCTTCGACTTTTCCTTTGTCTTTTGTTCTCTGGACTCTTTTTCATGAACGGCTGCTTCTACCTTTTTAGCCTTCTTTTTGTCCTTCTTTTCCTTCTTTTTGTTGGGAGCAAGGCCAGGTGCAACCTTCTCGTTCTTTAAATCCCATCCATCTACTTGAAACAATGCCATCTTGTATGTCTTTTGATCTTGTAGCTATATCTGGTCTCCATCTATTTTTCTAAAAAAAAAAAAAAAAATTGATGCCCATCGAGTCTTTTGAAAAAGGATGTTTGATATGCACGGGTCTTGATTTTACAAAAATTCAAACAAACAACCCATTGGCAGTATTGCAACTCCAACATTAGAGGCCGCTGATGGACAAAGAAGCGAGCTTGAAAGTCGACCTTGCTCCGGGAAAGAGCCACATTGCCCTACGGGTGGGCGAGAAGTGCTATTATGTTCCTGCCCTACTACATATGGCACCTACGTTTTCTCGAGTATGCCCTTTATTTATAAATGATGTTTTAAATTCAAAGTCAATGGTCAATATATATGGAACTTCCGGACTTTCACTTCATCATAGCCAATATTTTTTGATCAATAACCATCCTATTAAAAGAGTTAGCTTATCGGGGAAGATTCTATCGTATTTTTTCAAAGAAGTTGATCAAAGCAAACCAAGTGATCGAAATTATTATATCTTCACTATTGATGATTGCTCTAGTCATAATTCCCTGATAATTCAAGTTAAAGCTAAACAAAGCATCTGTGCTGGTTTGAACTTGCCACCAATAGACTCTTGTTATGGCACGATTATAAACGCAATAGGTTTAATTAAACGGGTTTATGATTTTGAACCTCAGTTAGACTGTTTTCATCTAAGCATTTTGGGTAAACCTAATGACTTTGATGTGGAGCTCGATCAGTGGATGGAAAGATTGGAATTTCGCAAAAGAATGCTAGAGAAGCCATGGAAGTACCAGCCTCCGGAATTATCATCAAATAATGAACTCACTCAAGATCCACCAATGTTAAGAAAAGATTACCAAAGAAAATTAAATCGACAACAACTTCAACTCTCTGAAAGCTTGCCTAAAGCGGGGCTGGTACCCTTGCATAAAGACAGTGTTATTATACATCATGATCGTATACGGGCGCAACGGCCTATTATTTGCCTTGATCCAGAGGTTGAAATAGTACACTGCAGTACTATACCAACAGGAACACATACGCCTGTAACACCCTTGCCTATTCCCTTAGCATCTAAGGGACTGGCTTCACTCAACAATTGTCCAAGTTCCCTCCCACCATCGACACTACAATACCCTCTCAAAAACAGGACTCATGATAGCATTTTCAAGACGAAAGAAAAGAAAGAGTTAAATCGTAGCTCAAATGCTCTTCTTGAATCATTTAAAGTGGCTAAACCACAGTATACCTCAAAAACGAGTTCCAAAAAGTCGGGGCCAAAATTGGTTAGGCTACAACAAGATCCATCGCATAATGAATCGACTTCGGGAAAAAAGACAGAGGAAATCCCAAGAGATGATGCTTTCACGTTATCAAAGATAGATTCATCCACTCTTCGAGGGAAAAGAATTGTAAATAAAGCACAACTTGAAATCGAAAAAGTTGGTAGACCGTTTTCAAGAAAGTAAAGAACAACTTTAATGACTTACGACCTTAGTATTTGTATTTATTCACCATCTAATACATATTTTCTTTCAATTAATCAGCCAGTTATCAGTTTTAACAGCCACTGTAGCTTTGGTAAACACCATATTTTACACGATATACTGCTGAAATTCTACAAAATATTCGGAATTTTATTCTCATCGCTTGACTTAATGAAAGTGTTTCAGCAGATCACATAACTGCATTGAAAAAACCCTTTGTTATAAAGAACTTTATAGGTATCGTGGTATTTAATCATTATGCTTTGACCGCAAAATGTTATCGGTGAACCTGCGAAGAGAGTTCGGACAAAACCGAGTTAGAAGAAAAAAAAAAATCTATATAAATTGATAAGAACCGTACGAATTCATTTACATTTTGCTATCTACAACTAATTGAGATGTCGGTTGATCCTATAACATGCCATATATTGGATACTGCCATTGGTAAGCCAGCTGCAGATGTCACCTGCTCAATTTATCGTATTTCGCCATTGATAAGTGACAAATCCCAAGAATCTGCCTACGACATAAGCTCCAACCAAAGACCATTTGCCATGGCAAGAACAGACCAAGATGGTAGAATCAAAAATTGGGTGATTAATCCAGAGTTGTCATTGAAGGATAAGGAAGCCATTGGAATTGAAAACATCGACTGGAGTGTCTTGAAGCCAGGCATATATAAAATCAAGTTTTTAACTGGTAAGTATTTCAATGATTTGGGTAAGGCCAATAGAACTTTTTTTCCCTTTGTTGAGATACATTTTCAAATAGACAACCCTCCTGATCACCATTATCACATTCCGTTGTTATTGAGTAACCATAGCTATACAACTTACCGTGGTAGCTGATCTAGAAAGACGTCTACAAATGAAAATAAAATGATAAAAAGTATGGCATAAAAAAGAACTAAAAAGGAATGAGAAATGAATATAAATACGTAAATTTATGTAAATGATTTGTTCTCTTATATATAAAAGAAATAAAGAACAACCTTGCGAACTGAAATGTAAAGATTTTGGATACGGGAGTTTTTGTTTATATTTAATGCTCTAGTGACTAGTAATAGAAATGTGTATTATTTTGAGACTTTTCGTGAACCAACATTTCATTACATTTATATTGATTCATTTCGTTTTTGATCTTATTGATTTGGAATGATTCTGTTAAGGTATATTGAGTAACTGATTTGTTATAACGTTTGTACATTTCCGGAGGGAATGTTTCACTAATTGATATTTTGTTTGAAAACAGAACTTTTTTATTATTTTTGCTTGTTTGTGTCAATTGTTTTTTCAAAATTGATTCTAATAACTTATGGGCTTCTGAATCATCTTTCAATGGAGGTCTGAAATTTAAAGTATTTTCAAATTTTTTGATACTAATTTCCAAGACTTTAAAGTCTTGAAATTGTCTGATATGTTTTAAATGCATTGGTAAACGTCTTCTTTGATAGTCATTTAAATTATTGAAAAGTTCAACTAACTGTTCATTATCAACAAGAATCGTCTCTTCACCAGTTTCTGTCTCATCAAAATTGAGTACACTCTCATTTGATTTTGTAATTATACTCAATTCTTCCGAACTTCTCAAGTCATTTTCATTATCTATTGGCCATACCAATTCTTGTTGTAAATAACGAATGTTATCGTCAACATATTCATCAGAATTATGTCTTGAGTGGTGAATTTCAACATTTCGACCTGCTGCTTCATCACTTCTTGGTAGAGATTCTTGAGAACCATCAACTAAATCTTTCTTTTGTTGATCTTCAATTTGATCTCTTGTCAATTCATCATCTTTCAAAAATGGTTCATTAATAAAAGTAGTCAGTTTGTTCTTCTTGACACTTTCATTTGGAATCTCATCAACGGTGTTCAATTTTTCATCGAAATCAATCAAAACGTCATCAAACAAATGATTATCAGTTTCAATTGTTGGTAATTTAGTCAATGTTAAATCTTCACTAGTATCAATCTCTTCACCTTCAAGTATCGGTAAAGGAGTTTTAGGTTCTTCAGGAAGATTTTTGTTATTATTGATTTCATTATGATCATTTGTGTCTTGTTTACTTAAATTAGTACTTGAACCAAATTGCTTTAAATTAGCAAAAGAAAAATTTTTCTTTAAAGCACCTAATTTTTTGAAATTAACAGGTGAATTATGCTCGGTATGGGATGTATTGTTGTTATTGTTATTTTCACCAGCATTTGTATGAAATGTTTTAAAACTCGAAGTTGGTGGAGTGAAAGGGGACAGGAAAAGTTTAGGACTAAATTTATTATGATTTGGAGTTGAATGAACACTATTATTTGTTCTATTGCTTGCAAGTGATGATTTTCTGGCTGAGCGAATTGATTTTTTAGATGGTGAACTTGGGGCAGATGATGGATTTTGAGAGTTTTGAGTTACATCACTCTTTTTAAACAAATCATCACTAATCGATTGTTTAGTAGGTGATGCAGGTGACTTTGGAGTTGAAGGAGTAGTGGATAAAGGAGGATCCAAATTTTTTTGTGGTGAAGTTATTTCTTCTCCTTCTTCTTCTTCTGCTGGTTTACCCATGAAGATCTTTTTAAACATTGTTTTAAAATTTCCAGCCGATGCACTTTTTTTAATCGAAGTGTTTAAGCCTGGTAAGGATTTAGATCTATTGAAACCAGAGCTATTCTTCTTTGGTGATGAGGAATGGCTATCAGAAGGTAATGCAGGTAATGGGGATGCAACAGCAGAAGGAAGTGGAGGTAAAGGAGATGCTTTATTATGAGGAGTAGAAGGTGGTAAACTTTTGAAAGTAGAAGAATTGAAAGAAGAAGAATCATTTAGAGTTGGAGTTGGAGGTAAGGGTAACTCCTTATCAGGGTTTGAATTGATTTTCGTAATATTGTCATCCTTAGGTATGCTAGGAGGATCAAGCATTGAAACTATTTTTTGAGGTGAAGGAAGTGACTTATCTAATTTTGGTTTCTTATTCGAGTTTCCATCATCGTTATTGTCATTTGGTTGATCATCATTTTTGATTTCTCTGACCAATCTTGATGATTTATTTGGAGAATTTTCAGGATTATTAAAAGTAGGAGATAAAGGACTTTGTTGCCTAGGTGATAACAAAACGTAAGTTGAACTATTACGATCACTAGCTCCCTCGCCATTGACAATTGAGTTGAAGGAACTTATTGAGGAAGCAGATCTTTCATGTTTTCGAATTTTACCACCAACTACCGCAACATCACCACGAGGAGGGACGTATTGATCATCATTGAGAAACTTATTAAATTGATCATTATTTTGAAAATCAAAAAATACTGATTGGGGAGTACTTGGATTACTACCAGTATTAATTTGACCATTGGATCTTGGAATTGTGATAATATGTTTTTTGACTTTACCAGAATCAATTTGATCATCATTATCATTCATTATTAAAGAATTACGAACTTCTTTTATTAACTCTGGTTGATCTTCAATTTTATCATTTTTATCGTAAGCACCTAATCTTTCGACAGAATCATCCAAAATAGTTGGTTCTGGATATTCAGGAGATCCTTGAGAAGGGGTACAGAACATATCAAGAGTTGGGCTATTTAAATTTGAATGATTCTCGTATGAATTTTCATAGTTTATTTTAGGAATATCAGATAACTGAGGAAATGTTTGAGATTGTATTTCTGAATTATTTGGAGTGAAAAATTGTTGCTCGTTACTTTCCTCACTAACCTCATTCAAGGTATTTAAAGTAGTTTCATTTGGATTTGGAGTGATTGGTATTTCTTTTTCACTTTGATCATTAACCATCGTGGTCTCATCATCACTTTTATCGTCTTTATCGTCTTTATCATCTTTATCATCTTTATCATCTTTATCATCTTTATCATCTTTATCACTATCATCTCCATCTTTATCGACTTGATCTTTATCGACTTGATCTTTATCTTCTTGATCTTTTCCAGCTTCATCTTTATCATCTTGATCTTTTTCAGATTGATCTTTTTCAGGTTGATCCTTTTCAGGTTGATCTTTTTCAGATTGGTCTTTTTCATATTGATTTTTGTCATTACCAGGATTATTTAATGATTTTTTGAGTAAATCTATAGTTTGATCATTGTCTCCATCAAATGGACTATGATATTCTTCATCATCATCACTTTGTTCATTAGAATTAGCGTTATTTTCATTAGATTCATTAATTGATTTATTCGGTATTGATGAATCCTGATCATTTTTGATTTCATCATGTTTCATATTATGGTTTTCGTTTTGTTCTAGAGCATCATCTATACGCTTAGGAACTTGACTATTTTTTTCGAACGATTCATTCTTATTTTCATTATCTTGATAAGGCTTAGTAATTTTTTCTTGAGAAATGTGATTTTCATCCTTATTTTCAGAAATGACATTTTTTTCATTGTCAATAATTTGTTCTTTGACAAGATCTTGATTGTAGTTTCTCTTTTCGATTGGATCGATATCCTCATCAGCATTATTTTGCTTCAATTTTTGATCTTTTAATTCTTCTTCGATTGTATTATGTTTATTAGAATCGACAGTTTTCAATTCGTTCTTGATTTCTTTGATTGATTCCAACAGGTTTGAAGTAGAAGAATCATCTTGATCATTGATTGAAGTTTGAGGAGTGTTTGAAGATGATCTATTTAGATTAAAATTCGATAAAGATGAAGGGTTTGAATCAGTCAAAGTAGTATTTGACTTATTTCTATTTGAAAGATTAGCAGCACTATGAGAAGCGGTTCCAGCAGTGGTTGAAGGATTCAAATAAATAGTTTGATCATTTATATCATCTTTAATTAGATTATTTGAATTATGAATGAATTTATTTGTAGGAGAAGTTTGATAATAATGTTGGTTTATTATGGGGGAATGTTGAGAAAATTGGGAATTTTGAGAACTAATGGATTTAGTTCTTTGATGATTTTCAATATTTGTAGATAAGTTTAAATTGGTAGGAGTATCTAATTTGTTTGATCTTAGAGAATGAACTAGATCATTTTTTGATTTTGATTTTAAATTATTAAAGGAATGATTTCTTGGTATATTTGGTTGAGAATTAGCAGTGGGAGGAGGAGCAGAAATCGGGGCCGGTGAAGACATGATTGGTTGTTGAGGTAAGCTATTTGAACGGTCATTTTGTTTGTCGTATGCATAATTAGTTAAAGAATTTGATCTTGAATTTGGCTTATTCAATTTACTCGGTCTATTTCTTTTAGCAGGGGCCATTCTGGGTCTGAAGATTTCACCATTTGGGAAATAATAAGTGCCAGCATCGGTTTTACGAAACCCATTTGCGGTTTGGTATAGTGCCGGAGACGACATTGATCTGCGAGGATGAGGTTTTTGTTGGGTTTGATGTTGATGTTGTTGTTGTTGTTGATATGACTGAGGTTGATGATGAGGTTGATGATTTTGAAATGACGGGATTGAATTTAAATTGGGACTCAAGGGATTTGAGGAAGGTTTTATTGATTTTTTTTGAAATTTTTCATCCATATTTAAGAGATTATCAGTGGATAAATCGCGAGCCGAGTTTAAATTTGTCGACGAATTGGTTAGGGTATAGGAGGAATTTGAAGTCGATACCGAAGTCAACGAATTCCTTCTTGAAGACGGATTCATATGTATGGGTGATGTGGATGAAGCATACATGATACTTTAAGAACAATAACAGCAAAAACACAACAGGAGTACAGGAGATTAAACTCGTGAAACTTAACCACTTCTAAACAGAAACTTAACCAGGAACTAAACAGAAATTTAACGCACAAGAACTTAACGTGAATGCTGATGAGAATATAAGCACAATTGACAGGACATGAAGATTAAAATCAGACGTACCAGAGAAAATTTTTGCAGCGGGTAATTTTGAAGTTTCCAGCGGGTAGGAGAAAAAAAAAAAAAAACCAATAAAACAAAAAAAAAGACAACTTCAAAAGAGAATTTCAGCAAAGCAAAGTTGACGATGAAACCAAGTACTTCAAGTAGGAATGAGATGTTCTTAAGCGAGGGATGGTTGAGCTGGGAAACGAATAGCTGTCTGTTTTAATGAGCAATGAGAATAACTTATCGAATAAACAAACAAACAAACAGGAGAAAAAAAATATGAAAAAGAAAAAAACACTTGACAAAAGGAAGACAAAATCTTATTTTAACGAATGTAGGACTCGGATTTGGCAACACGATGATTAGTGATGATGTGTAGAAACGATAATCAAAGTACCAGTTGTTGAAAAGAAAGGACAACAAAAGAAGAAGTAGAAGGAAAAATGCAGAAAAAAAAAAAAAGATCAAAAAACCCCCAAAAAAAATACAAAACGAAAAATTAATTAGTTGATTCCTTGATTATTCCTTGATTGATTGATTACTTGATTACTTGATTACTTGATTACTTGATTACTTGATTACTTGATTACTTGATTACTTGATTACTTATTACTTAATTACTTGATTACTTATTACTTAATTATTGCTTAATCACTTAATTACTTACTTGCCTGTAGTTATAAAAGTGAAGGCACCTTTGGTTTTACTGGATTATGTCAAAAGGTTGAAATTCGACAGTCTCGTATGTAAAAAATACAAATATAACAATTGGACAAAGCTCTACAATTGAATCTGGTTAATCCGATATCCTTTTAGAGAATGGGGTACCTGTTTTGAACAGGGATAATAATAGACAATTTCAAGTATTAGACAGGGATCTATGTATTTTAATTTTAGCATCAAACCCGCTTTTCTTTTTAACAGATGTTTCCTTTTAAATTCAGTTTTTGGGCATACTTCTTTCTCGAAGGGGAAAAACACTAGCTAAATTAGGATTTTTAGAGTTGGATTCACAGTGCGAGGGTTTAAAAAGGGTTATTTTAAAGTTGCTGGTGCCTTTTTCACTGAGGCGCTTTGGTGCACGGGTTACTGCTGCTGCTGCTGCTGCTTCTCGGGGGGGAGTGTCTCAAATTACATAAGCGCTTAGGTAAGCGCTTATAATTTTTAAGGCTAATAAACCTGAAAAAGACGGTTCCGCATTTGTAAAATTTGCAGTTATTGATAGTAGCCGTAGCTATGAACCTTATTGGAATACTAGGGTTTGCTATTGCAGTGGTGGCCGCGAACCAAAAGGCCATTCGGGTGAGCCCCACCGTTTACGCTACGTTACCTCCGTTGCCCAGTTTAAGCAGGGTTAGTGAAAGTACAGGCGGGAGTGCTAGTATTAGTATAACCACAAAAGCTAGTGTTGGTTACGTGGAACAGTTTCTTAATTACCAGCAAGTCACCAGCCAGTCGGTTCCACTAGGGTTGAAAACGAAAATTAAGAATTACGGAGACTCCTTATCAGACCCTCATGATTTAAAATCATTTACTCAGCAGATTGTGGGCAATGGCAATGACGATGATGATTATGACGATTACTCTTATAAACGATACGGGGTTGCACCAGCTAATGAAAACAAATTGAAAAAAATCGATATCAGCGATTTCATCGAGTACCTTATTAATGAAAAGGGCTTTGATGCCAAAGATTTGCAATTTTTGAAATCAAAAAATTTAGATCATGGCACCGAGGAGATTGAGAGAGAGTTGAATAAAATTAAGAAAAGAAAGTCCGTTCCAAAACAAATCGACATTGGTGGTGAGGATGAAATAAGTCTTGCTACTTGCTTTAAGTTGAATACTTTTTTATTTTGTTTGGCGGTTTTTATTTATTTTATATAATATCGTTATCTTGTTCCGGTGTTTTCAAGAACATCGACATTTGTAGAACTTAATCTCCACATTACCAACATGAAAATCAGCTGATATGGTTTGAATGTCAACCCCAAATACTTGACGTATTGATCATGGTGAGCTATCCAATCTCTCTTGGTATTTTTATTTTCAAATTTCCCCTTTCGTTTCAAAAGTTTTTTGAATTCTTCAATCAGGTTAACCTCCTGCTTGATTTGCTTTAAACTTTCCGGTCTAAGCTCCCAATACCTTGCTGCCCCTCGGGCAACTCCTAAATCATCTTCGGCAAATATATCAAGTTCCCTCAAAGTGAAAAACAGAAACATTTTCGCCGACCAACTCCCAATCCCTTTCAATTTCACCAACTCCTCGATAATCTCGTCACTACTACTTTTCTTATAGAATTCTAATTTGGTCAACGGATTCGTTTCGTCATTAAACGCGTGACTTATATCATACACGTACCCTAGCTTTTGATTGGATAGCCCGGCGGCCTTCAACTCCTCTGCTGGCTTCAAGACCGTTTCTTTGGCACTGGGTTGTCCTTCAAATAAATTTCGAAATTTATTTTCAACTGATTTGGCGGCGTGCCCACTGATTTGTTGCCCAATAACACTACATATTAATGAGTACCAGTAACTCCTGATAACTTCTTCTTCTTCTTTCAAGTCATTCTTCACTTCTCTTGGAAACGATTTGAAATTGGAACACGTTATTGCTGGATATAACGTTGAATCCTTCGATAAAATATATTCAATCCCTTTTATAAACTCTTCATCGTGAAATTTAATAAACTCGTCCGGTAATTTCAAATCAGATGGTATACTGATTTTGGCATTAAGAACATTTTCAAGTAATTCCTTCTTACGACTAACTTCCTCCTTCTTGTTGGGTTTTTTTTTTACTGTCTTGATCACGGTGGGTTCATTTATATCATCTTGCGTTCTTTTCTTTCCAATAACAGGTTGTGCCTCAATACTTGTCACCGAACTACTCTTAGATCGTGTTCTTGCCATTTCTTTGGTCCTCTGAACGACAACACCAATAACTTTTCTACTGAACATGCCTTTCTCTTCATAATCTTCTAACTTCTAAATTGCTTATAAATGATAGGTCGGTCGTGTCCCGTTTCAATCTTGGAAGGAACCCCATAATTCAGGTTGCTTATCTTCGATTCGGTTAAGAATCAACAATCTTTTACGCTTCCCCTGGGAGTTTGGCTAAAACGTTCATTTTCAATATAATGGCAATGAAATATCAATAGAATGTTAATGAAATATCAATAGAATGTTAATGAAATGTTAATGAAATATTAAGAATATCAATGAAAGGCCAATAAAGTGCCAATAGAATGCATAAATGCATGCCTAACCAACGATTTATTTGTGTCATCCCAACCGTTCTTACATCACATCCTTACTCATTACTCATACATATTGTCTGGCAGGCTAAACTCAGTTGAATATCGAACTTTGCGTTACCCGAAAAATTTTTCAGATTTTTCAACTACTGATTCGGATCCGCGCTTAATTTTGACAATTGCCCTATTGGGACTGACTCATACCCTCCAGTCTATAAATTTGGGTTAATTCTTCTCTTCTTTTCCTTCTTCATGGCGTTTTATCATTTTTTAAGTTAGTTCATAATGTCTCCACGTCATTTAGTTAATATCCACGAATTGTCAGATGATGAATTCATCTCCTTGGTAGATCAAGCTGCTTATTTTAAGTCACAATATAAATCAAATCAGAATAATAAAAATCACCATGAAAAACTTTTGGGTAAGTTGATTGCTTTATTGTTCTCTAAAAGATCTACTAGAACAAGAATAAGCACTGAAGGTGCTGCTGCTTTTTTCGGTGCTCATCCTATGTTTTTAGGTAGAGATGATATTCAATTGGGTAAAAATGAATCGTTATATGATACTACTAAAGTTATTTCTTCAATGACTTCGTGTATATTCGCCAGGGTTGATTCAAATGAAGACATATTACAATTGGCAGAGCATTCTTCTGTGCCTATAATAAACTCTTTATGTGATTTGTATCATCCTTTACAAGCCATAACCGATTTATTAACTATAAAAGAATCTTTCAATGGTAAAACTCAAGGATTGAAATTGGCCTGGATTGGTGATTCAAATAATGTCATTAATGATTTAGCCATTGCTGCTTTGAAAATGGGTATCAACGTTTCCATATGCATACCAGATTCAATTGAATTCAACTCATTGATAATCTCAAAGGCTAACGAAGTATGTCAAAGAAATAATACTACTTTCGAAATTGTTCATAATCCACTTCAAGCATTAAATAATTCAAATATTATTGTTACTGATACTTGGATTTCTATGGGTCAAGAACTGGAAAAGCAACAAAAATTAAAACAATTTGAAGGTTATCAAATCACTAATGATCTCTTATTAAAGGGTAAGGTTAATGACAATTGGAAATTCATGCATTGTTTACCAAGACATAAAGAAGAAGTATCTGATGAAGTTTTCTACTCTTCCAATTCTGTTGTTTTCGAAGAGGCTGAAAATAGATTATACACTGCAATGGCAGTAATTAATGCATTTGTTATAAATAATGGTGATTTACTTAAAAAAAATTAATTCTCTATAGTCTATAAAATAATATATAATTAGAAATGATAGAAGCATTGCTGTTTTTCTAGAATTGTATTGAAGTTTATAACCTCAACTGTATCCTCTTTTACCGTATATATTCCGTCCTCGATACTTTCCTTGCTAAGCGAGTTGTGTAATTCTTCAATATAAACGTTGGATAAGAATGGTTTTATTTCCGGTTCTGTCGTACCTAATGTAACATGAAGATATTTGTTGGTATAGGGAAATTGGTCAAGTTCTTCGAAATTCCCGTTTAATGACCTGACTAATTCGGCTTCAACTGTAACCAATTTATTTGAAACTACAACTATTCTTTTCAATCCGATATCTCCAAAGAATTTTACTGGGACAGCGTCACATTCATCATTAAGTTGATCTGATTTGATTTGTAGTTGATCAGTTAATTGATCCCATTTTATTTTTAGCTTCTCGTCATCCTTAACTGACAATATGTGTGATAATGTAACATGATAATTTGGCTGAAGCCTATCTTGTTTGCATAATTGGATCCAAGTTTCATTATTGACCAATTTATCATTAATTAAATGTTTGAACTTTTGGGTATCGTTAATTCCTATTCCGTAATACGCTATTGATTTTTTTTTCTTCTTTTGATTTGAGTCTGTTTTCTTAGAACTCGCTTGGGCAGACGACCTACCAAAGGTTTTGGTGAACACCGGTTTGTACTCCAAGGCTTTTTGGAAAGCTTCATCTATTTTATCTGATGAAGGTAAATTTTGTTTATCGAATAAATCCGGAAATTCGCTACTTAGTTTATTTAATATTTTGGTAGCATTTGACTTAGACGAATTGTCATCAATATCCATGTCAATCACCAAGTCAAACTCACAGTCAGGATGTCTTTCTGTATTTAACGGTTGTAATCTTTTAATGAAGCCCTTCATAATCAGTTGAGCTAATTTCGAATCAGTTGAAGATTTGATTGATTGGTGATTATCGCCTCTTTTGACTATTCTGTCATAAGTAATATTCCATAATTGGTCTTCGGTTAAATCTTTTTTGATAAAATTGATAGCCACATATTTCAAACCAATGTCAGAAGACAAATGATTAATTCTGTGCTTATCAAAATCTTTTAGTAATTGATCACGTTCTCTAAACTGATGATTATTACGATCGCAAAAGACCAACTTACAATCTTTATCCTCTAAATAAGTTAAAGTTTGATCAACTAATTGAATTTTAGCTTGTTTCCCACTACCTATATTATCATTCTGAACATGCTTCCAATGAGGGAAACAGTTTGTTAATGTTTGAAATGTGGTAGTTTTACCACATCCAATAGTTGCAATTGGGATTAGTATGTATTTGTAGGTCTTTATTGAATTGAGTGATAAGCTTGCCAATTTTTCTTCCAACTTTTTAGTCTCATCAACATTTTGAGACTGTTTTTCATCGATGCCAATCAAATCCATCCCACTTGTTTCACTCAAGTTATTCTCTTTCAAAAATAGTTTACGCATCTTAATAATCCCAAAACCTTTCAAATAATCGTCTTTCAATTCAGGGTATTTGTTAAAGTAATCACGAATAAACTCAAGGTATTTCAATGTAATAAATTTATGCTTCTTTATACCTTGGATTATTTTAAGGATATTGGCATCTCTTATATATTTTTTGGTAACTTCTCTAAATTGACGATACAACAAGTATGGTTCTTCGAATTTAAACTTGAAAAAGAAATCATCATTAGTACCATTGAGTTTTGTTCTAATAACAAAACCTTCAATTTCTCTATTCTGATATGTTCCACTTATAGCACATTGATTTAAAAAGTCCCAAAGTTTATCCCAACCCGATATTTGAAATGAATCAATCTTCTTGAACCCCCAATTGTTTGCAAAATCATTTACTTCGGGAATTGGACAGGTTTGAAATTTAATAGTATTATAATTTAAGCCGTGCAAATACAACCCAGAGTTTTCCTTTGAATACTCCAACACGTGTTCTTCGAAGTCGTCATCGCAGAGTTCTGCCACTGCCGTTAAGTTTAATTCATAAAGTTGAATGGCCAAGTCTTTTGTTGATTTACCTAGACGTTTTAACTGTTTATTGATTTCAAGTTCCCCTTGAACTGCATGATTTCTAGTCAAATCATCCCTAGCCCCAACCGAGTGTTTAGAGCAAACAATAAGCTCCCCATTGGCCAAACCTGATATAAATATAATGCAACCATTTTCTTTCAAAGATAAATCGTAAGACGGTTGAGTCTTTGACTTCAATGACTGAGTTTTAGTGGCTGGTATTTCGTTCACATTGAAAAACTTATCATACCCACGAACAACTATTCTGTTACCAATGGTGAATAAGCCTCTAGCTTTACAAGGAAGCTGGATTTTCTGCTCTTTACCATAGTCCCATTCGTTAAATTTCCAACTCTGCACTGGTTCATGTGCTATGGGTAATGAATGCGTAGATTTAAGACAACGGCCATTCTTCTTTAGCTTTGTAGCCTCTTCTAGTTTGGAAATGAGGTCGGCCACCTGCTCCTCGGTATCAATCTTCATTATTCCACCACTGACAGTGTAGTTAGTGGTGGTGAACTTAAGATGATTTACTTGTAGGACGTTTTTTTTTCTTTTCAAAACGATCTACGCACTACCGACTCATGAAATCAAGGGAAAACGTCAAAAACAACAAGTAAATAAAACCAATCTGAAAGATTATCATTAGAATACATTTAAGATGTCACATAACGTTGATATAGATGAAGCTGATGTTGCTGTGTTGAACCAGAATTTAGGAAAGTCTAAAGAATTGTTCAGTGCTTTATCGCAATCGCTAAATAATATATCGAAGAAGTCCGCTACGGCATCTACCAAGATCAAGCCGGTATTGAGAGACGTTAACAAATTGAACAACAATAAGCAGCAGATCGATAAAGGGTTAGAGTTATTGAAGGATGTTAGTAATTATGCGTCTAAGGCTTCACAATATGAATCCGTATTGAACAATTCGATTGATTTAATTGGATTGAAGAAATTTTTAGATACTTTAATTAAATCACAGAAATTATTAAAGGAGATGAAAGTCAATATTAAGAACTTCACTGGGATATTGATAAATTTTGAAAATTCTATTGATAAATCACAAGGGACCTTGATTAGTTACTTCAAGAAGAGTATTAATAAGTTAAATTTACTTAATAATGGTAGTTTGAAAACCAATCAAGATATTTATTTAATTATCAATTATTTCTATAATCGATCAAATAGTGAAAAGCAACAAATCAATGAGGTATTTGTTAAGGCGTTACTGAAACAAATTTCTAGTTTATTACTGCAACACGCCGCTAAATGTACTCCTTTGAAGAGATCTCCGGGAGTACCATATGAAAGAGGAAGTAATGGAATTAATTTATATATAAAGGAGACCAATCAAGTGATTGATACAATTGTAACATTATTGAATGATATGGTGAGTAATTTATCTAATTTTGATGAGATACTGAAGGATAGATTATTACAAGAAATTTTGGGAGGATTAGTAAATGAAGAAATGAGTAAGATAGTTGATAATTATGGAAGTCTAATGAGTAATCTAATTGATAATGATGTATTAGTATTAGAGGTGATTGAACGATTGAATGAATTCGAGAGAAAATTGAATGTTAATAATTTAGTTATAAGTAAATTTCCCAAGTATCGAGAAAGTTATGAAAGGTTATTAAACGGAGGTCGAGAAATATTTAAGGAATTGATACAATTTGCCGAGACTAAGATTAATAAAGTTGAAAAAATTAATGAAAGAACCATACCAGAAATAACTGTTGAATTAATATCAAGAGAACGGAAAATAAGTGAATTCAATAAAGCATTAAACATTTTGATTAAAGGTAGTAAATTAGGAGGATGGCTTGATATCAAACCAAACGGGGTTAAGTTTGTCAATGTTTATACTTCAGTTGTTCCAATTACTCCGGAATCAGGAATTGATGAAACCAGTAGTGAATTTTTATTACTGAGTTACTTTAGTGATTTAATTGATTGTATAATGATTAATATTGAGATTGGAATCAAGAATAATAATTCCAATAATAGTGAAATGATGAAAAAATCAACCCAAGGATTTCATTTAATTAAAAATATGATACTTATTGAAAATATAATAAGTCGATCAAATTTGTTATTTACAAGTTTAGGCAGTATTGGGATTGAAAGAATAAATAAATTGAAAAATCGATTTTTGAAATTATTCTTAGATGATTGGAACTATGCATCATATATTATTATTAGAGATATGACTGCAATTACAACTACTAATGCAATGAATTCAAATAATAGTAGTGGGTTTAGCAATAAAGAAAGAGAACAAATTAAAGAATTATTTAAAAATTTCAATGAATCTTTTGAAGAGGCAATTAAAAATTATGAAAAATTTAGTATCACCGATAATAGTTTAAGAAATTACTTGAAGAACGAAATCAAAAAATTAATCATTAATGCTTATTTTAAATTATATGATAAATACGGTCAAAGTGATTTCACTAAAAATAAACCAAAATATGTGAAGTATGATAAACAACAATTTGAAAACATCCTAAATCAAAAATTATAACCCTACTATTAAGGAACTTCGTTAATATAACTTTTCAAACGGTTTTTAAGCGAGTCGTGTGCTGTCATCTAGGCAGTTGCAAAAATTCCTTTTACGAGATTAAGAGCAATAAATCCAACCAATAAATCAGTACATCAGCATTCTAATCGTCTTGTAGGCATTTTTTTTTAACTTCCGATCCGAGAGGAGGTTAGCTCCGTATACCAGTGTGTTCGCCACTTGGCTCGGGAATTCCTTATATGGAAAGTGCGAGCCCGAGATCCTGCTGAGACCCGAGATCTTGACTTCCGAGGGGGGAGGGGGGCGAGTGGCGGCACAGACAAGAAACGGGGGACAAGACGAAAGGCGAGAAAGGAACGAATTACGATGGGATTCAAAAATGAAAAATATCAAAAAAACAAACGAAACCAAAAAAAAAAAAAAAAAATAAAAACATCAGAAACAAAAAAAAAAAAAAATTTAGAAAGACAAGCATGACAAACAAGAAACCTAAAAGAAAAAGGAAAAGAAAAACGGCTGCTGCAACGGGTAAAAGCCTACGACCGAAAAGGTTAGCCCCTATAACCGAGTCTAGACTGGAGGGGTATTTGACATGTCTTGGCATTCTCTATCTCTTAGTACTAGTGGCACTTATAGTTACTGATAATAGAACAACAATAAAGCGGTGTCACTTATGGTATTGAAACATGATGACATGATCAGAAGCATCTACTGGTGTCAAAGGGAAGATATTCTAAGAAAAATGGGTGGCCGTGCAAGACTTGGTTTTAACTCTTGGTAGACTTGGAAAACGGATGGCACGCTCAATGCAGACAGTACATCGATCCCGGATCTTGACAGCTGCGGAACAACAAGAAATTTTTTACCTAAAAAATAAACAACAATAATCAAACACCGAGAAAGAAAGCAGAAAAAGAAAAAAAAAACAGTAAAAAAATTCTTTCAAAGAGAAATAGAGAACGGTGAAAAGTCAAAAAAAAAAAAAAAAAAAAAAAAAAAAAAAAAAAAAAAAAAAAAAAAAAAACAAGAGATTAATTTCTTGACACACTTGACACAAAATATTAGATTAAAACCCCACGTCATGAATTCTTGTCATCTTGACATGTTATTATTATTTTTATTCTTTCTTTTATTTTAGTGCCACTGCGTTTAATTATAGCCCAATTCCGAGGGTTAAGAGTGGGCTTCCATTTAAAATACTCTTATGATGGGATTTCTTGGTTGAAAGCAAAGAAAAAAAAATAATCTACAGATGTTTCTATATAAAAAAATATATAAATAATTTAGATATTCCCAATTAACTTTTATGACTAACGTTTACACTTATCGACAATTTTATTCTTTTATTACTTTATATAATGTCACAAAAATCAATTAGTCTACCTTCAATATCCAATATTTTATCAAATGAATATACTAATTTCAATCATGATACTCATAGAATAAGTCATCCAATCTCTTTACAATCTTATAAATACTATTCACCTCAATATTATTTACCACATCATCATCAACCTCCAATTCAACACCATCACCAACCGCAACCACTTCAACAACCACTACAACCACTACAACCACTACAACCTCAACAACACCAACCACCTCAGCAACCTCAACCTCAACAACAACCACTCACAAAATCATTGGCCATACCAAATTATCACTACAATTATCAACCAGCCGGATCGTCGTCACCAACATCAAGTTATTCTAGTAATCAATCATCACCCAAATTAAAGAGTGCATCACCGGTTCTTTCTCAACCAAACAAGAAGAAAACTAGAAATAACTTACCTAAAGAAACTACTTATATTTTACTCAAATGGTTGAATCAACATCTAAATCATCCTTATCCTAATAGTTTTGAAAAAAATCAATTGATGTTGAGTACTGGCTTAAACCAACAGCAATTAAGTAATTGGTTTATTAACGCTAGAAGAAGAAAAATCAAGGTGTTAAAATTACAAAATGAATCAAGATGAACGAAAGAAAAATAATCTCCGGCGCGCACGGAGTAAAATATATGGCTTCGGCGGAGCTTACTATTCAATTCCATTTCGGTTTATCTCCCTTTCATGTCCTTTAATTCTTGTCGTTTTAAAAACTTATTTTCTACTTCTTTTGTATAACTTCTTTTTTCCAACTTTTTTTGCTTAACTTTTCTTCCTTTTTTTTTATTGTAACGGTATGGGTATGTATTATAGTATAATGAATAATTTTTTGGTTTATGAAATGATCATCTTTGTATCTCTTTGCTTTTGATCGAGAAAATAAGCCCATTCGAATTCACCTGCAACTGCGTTGTAATACGTTGAATTTCCCGTTTTCGTAACTAACACCTTCTTCTGAATTGGGTGTCATTTACGAAACAATGCTCACTTGTTTGAATAAGCATCGGAAATCGGTAAGTGCGTCGGCAAGTAGTTCCGGCAACTGCCACCGGGCACCACCCCGGTTTGGTTTGTCCAGGTGTTCCCTCGTAACTCACCCAGTGTGCCTTGGCGTTTGACAGGTTTTCTGCCTCCTTTTCGGGCTCTCTTTCTCGGGATTGTATTATCTTTGTTATGTGTTTTTTTTTTTTTGTTTTTCTTGCCCCTACTTGGTGGGATGACCCAAGGTGCTAAGAAAGGCATTTTTTGCATATTTTCAGTAAATGGCACAACACAATTAAAAGTTTTCTTATCATTAAGGTGTTTTGAGGGGTCTTTTTCTTGACATGTTTTTATTTTTTTTATAGTCTTTTTTTAATTTGAATACGGCATTTTATTTGATAAATTAGGTGTTTTTTTTAATTTTGTTTTTTTTTCTTTCTTTGATTTAGTCTTGTTCCTAATTCTTTATCTTTTTATTTTTTGCCATTTACGAAATGTTCAATCTCTTTGACAGCAAATTGTCGGTGTCCGTACATTGCACGTGACGGGCGAGACTCAGTATTTTTGTCCACCGCCGATAATTTTTGTCGAAGCGACAGATCATTAGTGACAGATCATTAGTGACAGATCGTTAGTGACAGATCATTAGTGACAGATCAATTAAGTGACAGATCATTTTTGTAAAAGCAACAGATCGCTTTTGTCGACGATGAGCCGTCTTTGCCTAGGTGATGGATCATTTTTTGCCCAGGTAATACTTTTTGTCTAGGTGATAGATCATTTTTGCCTAGGCAACATTGTATTTTGCAACCCATTCCACACCCGTGCACCTCGTATAAAAATGTCTCGGTTAATTCTAAATAATGTGTCAAAAAAAAAAGTGTTGGTCTCGTCTAACATTGGCGGTTTACTTTAAATTAGGTGTGAGTATCGTCAATACTACTTTAAAGGTTGGATCAAAAGGCTTTATTTGGATCAAGAATTCCTGAACTTAACGCCTGGTAATCATAAGTATAGAATATCAATATATTTATATATATATCCATCGATATTCATACATATTCATATGTATGGATGCATTGTAGATCATGTAAGAAGATTTCAATGTTGGCATCAGAAGCTGCTAATTCAACTGCTGTTGGATCAAAGATAATTACTTCAATCCATGATTTTATGGATGAAGTTGAAACAAAATATCGTCAACAAAATATTGATTTAAGACATTCAAATGGAGTAAATTATTTAATTGATTTAATTAAATTATATAAATTGATTGAAATTGTTCCAAATGCAACTACTTTATTAAATGATGAATTACCGTCAGAGGAATTTTTCACTCAAACGGTCTTCACCGATATTCCAATTAAATGGCAACATTTCCATTTTGAAAGAGCAGAATTATATTATTTTTGGTCTTTAATTGAAAATAGATTAATGGTTTTTTTCAAAAGAGACATATTACCTCTTGACTATTTGAGAGATTATCCAAATATAAATTTATTCAATACTTGGTTATTAATGATTTTAGAAGGTTGTAAATATATTGATGAACTAATTTGGAATTTTGAATTATCAGGTGTTTCAAATATCCCTAATCTTTATAATAAATTAATAAGATTACATATTGATGGTTCAATATTACAAGTTTTCTTAGATAATATTAATAAACATTTCACTAAAAATGATTTGAAGAAAACTTCGGTCTTCTCCCAATCCTACATCATTTTAAGATTTCAAAGAGAACTTGCTTATTATCCAAATTTACATCCAAAAATTGATAAACCTTTAATTAAATTAGTTAAAAAATACGATCTTATCACTTTCAAAAAATTGGCCCAATCCATCGATGTTAATAACTTAAATCATTTATGTAATCATCCCGTTGATACCCCAGTTCCTCATCTCACTTTCTTAAATCTAAGTTAGCTGGCTAACTATCTTCTTTCTTTCTTTATAGAATTAATTTAGTATTAATATCCGTTTCTGTAAGTTTAGCAGCAATAATGCATCGGATTACTCTACATGCCATGCTCACCATCTTTCATCACACCTCAATCCGACATACCCAAATCACACGATCTCTCGAGTTCATATTCTTTTCTGTCAATCTACGAACTAGTTTTCATAACTTCTTTTTGCAATGCCTTTTTCTGACTCAGCCCTTATTTCATCCGATCCCTCGTACCTTCTACTGACATTAATTTAACCATTGTAGTTTGAGCATTGTAGGTTTAGTGTCGTGATCGGGCATCGTGATTGTTTGGCAATGGTAATTAATTTCACATTGGTGATTTCCTATCCTTGCCCTTAACCACATTCAACTGAGGCATTAGGCTCTTCAATTGAACTACCAGGGACGCCATACACCCGTCTATCACTGATTCAAACTCGTTTCCACAAGTTCGTTCCCAGTCGTGATACCATTCAAGTACATCAAGTATCCATTCAAACCCCATTGCGACAATTTCTCTTCAGAAAAGAGTCATTCAGACCCCATTCAGACCCTATTAAAACCATTTCTTTTCAGAAAAGACCCATCCGATCCCATTGGGACCGCATCCATCCAGATCAAACCCAATATCGTAGTACATCCTCTTTGATCCTTTGATCAAATCGCGAAATCAGTTCGCGAAAAATTAAATCAAATCGAAAACATAACAAACATTGACTACTTGTTCATTAAAAATGGTTAGTGCTTCGGATGCTTTGATAACCATCTCGGATAACATACTTAACCAGATCGATGAGTTGAACAGGGTTGAGTATAATAAAAAGGGACGTAAGTATAAGTTCGTGAACAATAACTTTCAAAGAATTAGAGAAGAAGATAAACATTTAATCATATATCCAGAGAATTTGGAAGAAAATTTATCAATTATATCTTCTTATTCGATTTTGACAAATATCAATGATGGTGCTATCTTGAATGAGTTTCATGACTTCTGTTTGTCTATCATTGGGGTTGCTAAATTATTAGAGATTAATCAATGGTACGAAGAAGAAAATTCATCAGTTATAAATTATAAGATTTCTAAATTTCAATATGACGAATCATTGAAAGAACAAGCTTTAAATTATTATTCTAATAAGAACGAATCGCATTTAGAAATGGGTCTTAACTTATTGGTTTGTGCTAAATTGAATTTCTTACATACTGATCATCATATTGGTACAAAATTAGAAGGATATTATATGAAACATTTCATTAATAAATATTTTGGAATTGAAGCACTCAATTCCAATGATGTTTTGGTTGCTTTGAAATCATTCGTTCATTGGGGGAATATTAAAGGTATTTTATATAAATTAGAAGTTCCAAATATAAATATTGATGAAGAATTGAAATTGAAATTTGATAAATTTCCTGATCCTTTACAAGAATTGAAGTTGAATGTGTATGATAGATACCCAAGTGGTACTTCGAAATACTCCTTAATCAGAAAGTCAATTGATATTTTGGCTGATTACCGTTTTTCAAAATTAATTCCTTATCCAACTGATGAAACTTTTGATCTCAATTGGATTTATGATTTATGTCATAATATTGAAACCAATCCAATTAAATACCATTTAAGATCCTCGATCAAGGGATTATGTGTTGATTCGGTGAATTTAAATGAATTATCTGCAAATCATTCAAAACAAATCAAAAATTTATTAAATTTCATTAGTTTAATTATTAATATTTTTGATAACACCGGTGGTGAGTTTTTATTACAAAATTCTAAAATTCCGAAATTTAATGATAACTTAATCAATAATAATAAGGAATTCCATGATCAATTGATTGATATAAAGTTCCAAATCGACCAATATGAACAAAAAAATTGGGATGCTGATGATATCATTCTAAGATTAGCCACCAGTTCGGATCAAAACTTATTTGACCGAGTCATGGAAATGAGAGAGAAGTATGTGGAAGATTATGAGTAGGACCCTTTCGTAAATAGTTTCAAATGTATAAAGTTTGCACTGAAGACGTTATATTTGTAAAATGTTATAATTATGAAAAATTAGGCTGCAATTTGACAAAAAGCAACAACACATTTCAAAATATCATCTGGTTGAATCTTCATCCAAGCGATAACTTTAACTTTTACCATACGAACCATAAACTACCGGATTAAATATATAAAGCTTTTTGGTCTAAATGTTGGTGGCTGCTAGGTTTCAGTAGAGGGTATTTTGGATGTACGGGTGATAGATTTTTTCTTCATTTTCAAATCCCGTCATTAATCAACCACTTCTTCCTTGCCATTAACGATAACACCAGAGAACAATGTTTGAATTCATTACTAAATTTTTCCAGCAGGAGCCGGTACCTGAGAGTATCAAGACTGAGATAAGACAAACCGTTCAAAAAAGTCCAATTGTGGTTTTTTCAAAATCGTATTGTCCATATTGCACTCAAACCAAGGAAACTTTTAACAAGTTTAATCCAGTTATTATTGAGTTAGATCAGATCCCGGATGGGGGGTTCATACAAAGAGGCTTACAAGAATTGACTGGACAGAGAACTGTTCCAAATATATTCATTAACAAGGAGCATATTGGGGGAAATAGTGATTTACAAAATTTGAAGAAATCGGGTGAATTATATAAATTAATTAATTAAAACCAAGGGAGCTTATTGTTTAATTCCCAAATTAAGTCTCCATTGATAAGGGAGTTTTGATCTTCCCCATTATAAATTAATATGGCACTTCTTGAACCATTTTCAATTCCCAGTTTACTATTATAACGATGATTTAACTTTTCAATAAGGGAATCATTCAATTCTGATTCCCATATAACTAGTTTGATTAATTCATTTTTGAAATCTTTAAACAAGTCTTGCTTCTCTAAGTAGCTTTTCGTTAATTCAATCAAATTCAATAAAGTATCATTATAATTGTAATTTTCATTAACATAAGTTTGAATGATAGTTATATAATTTTCATCTTTATTGGTATCATCATTAACTTGAAATTCATAACTCCATACAATAAAACCAACTATCTCGCCATTGTTAGTGATTTCAATACCAAATTTGCTTGGTTCTATATTTTCATAGTTTTTAATAATTGATTCATAAGACTCATTTTGATAGTCAATCAACGGAACTTCATCATAATAAATATGGTGACTGAGATATTTGGCTCTGAGATGAAACCAATCTATGTAATCACTGGAAGGATCAATTGAAACCCTAGGCTTGCCGTCCTTTTTAGTTTCACTCAAGAACTTAGCGTAACAAGCTGAATTGAATTTCTTAAAAATTGGCTCGAATTCATGATAGTTAACTAGTTCAACTTCATAAGGATTTGATTCAACCAATTTTTCAAATTTATCATTGACCGAGTCCTCAACCTGTAACGGTACATGAGTAATAGGTACTTCTAAAGATTTAAACCCAAAACGAGAATAGTATTCCCCGACTTCCGAATACAAGAATATGAATCCATCTTGTCCAATGTATTCTTCTTTTGCAATTTCAACTAATCGGTCAATCATTATACTAGCATATCCTTTACCCCTATACTCAGGATAAGTATAAACACCCCCAATACATCCACTCTTGATACTACGACGTACAGCTTCACCATCTTCAACTTCAAATCTCCACGATTCTCTAACCAATAATTCAACCGAACAAAAAAATTTTTCATCTTCATCGTTATGATGTAATGCAAAAACATACAACTTATTGTCATTGGAAGATGCTATCTTACTTTTCAGTAAGGTGGCCTCACGCATCATATACTTCTCTTTAGAGAGTCTTCCTTTCCAAGTATCGGCATTCTGATACCTGGTGAATTGAACATGATCCTCGTTGGTCAACAACCGCAACGTATACTCGTTTGGGTTAATTTTAGTGGTCGATGGCATCTTTTCTTTACTGGCTTGCCTGCTATTCGTCTCCAATGTGGTTTCCACCTTTATATACCCGTTCTTATGTATCTGTTGGTGGGTTGGTAAGTGTTTCGTACGGCTACCCAAAAGGGAAGAACCACCCCCGTACCTTCTCCTTTCCAACCACAAGAAACTCGCTAACAGCTAACGTACACTGACATAACAGCCCAGGGATGGCTGAAACAAGGCACTAATCGACGTCTGGACATACCTAAGGTAGCCGAATTGTCTTATCTAGTCGTAGGGTACCTAACTGTTGATACGGAGGTCGTTACGGAGGTCTTTCAACCCGGTATTGATGGTTGAAAAAAAGGGGGGTACGGGTGTATTTATTGACTGGTATTGACAAAAAATTAAAGGCATCTCTCGATGAACAGCTTAGTAGTTGAGTCTTCAGTGTTTGGACAGAGAATAATAGTGATTGTTTACGACTGAAGGTAGCTCTAAGTGCTATTCAACCGACAAGACAAAGATGAGACTCACGGCTCAGGTTATCCAGGATGCACCAACTATAATCAATCCCGAAGGACAGCTTACCATACAGTTACGTAATTTGAAAATACCGTATTTAGAGAATCTAGGGATAACTAATGATAAGTTTGAAGTAATTGACTTTACTAATAATGACTTGATTGAATTGGGTAATATCCCGCCATCTTTCAAAAAACTTGGAACGTTGCTACTAGCCAATAATAATATAACGGTGATCAATTCGTTTGGTTCGAATGATTTGGTCAACTTGTCATCCATTTCGCTCATTAATAATAATGTGCAATCTTTTGCTGACATTAAGCATTTGCAAAACTTGAAAAGCCTCGATAATCTAGCATTGCTCAATAATCCAATCACCAGTCATGAGCATTATCGATTGTTTGTTATTTGGTTATTACCATCGCTAAAAGTTTTAGATTTTGCTAAAGTCAAGCTCCGAGAAAGAAAACAAGTTGCTGACTTATTCGGAGACTCCTTTACCCATCCAACTAGCTTGGCCAAGTCGCTATTGGGAATTGCATCCAATAACCTGCTCATTACCTCAAAAGAAGAAAGACAATTGGATAGTACCGTTAAGAAATTGACCGAGGATGATAGAATTAAACTCCTACACGATTTAGAGTCCGCTGACAGTATCGACGAAATCGAAAGAATCGAATCGGCCCTAAAAAATGGTTATATTTGATATTTCTTCATCCTTTTAATGTATTATGTCCCTTTGTACAATAGAAAATAAAGAAAAAATATTCCTCCATCCCTTACCTGTAGCCTATATCTCCCAACCCTTTCCCGTCTTATAACCAATAACGTAGAATAATGATATGAACATATGAAACGGGTTTCTTCTCTTAAAAGAAAAAAAAAATTTTTTGTAAAAGAGACAAAACAAAAAATTCATTTTTTTCTTTCAATTTTTCAATCACATTTACTTCTTAATTGCTCCTTCTCCTTACCAGGGATCTGTTATCGGCCGATTATACTGTCTTAGAAACCTCTTGTGGTTATTAGTTGCTTGTCTTTTCGCAAAAGTTATTCACATCTTTGCTTAAAAAAAAAAAAAATTAAACGTATAAGGAAAACTCGGTTGGGGCCAATTACAACAATTCTTTTATATATCAAATACCAAAACCATCAACACAGTCTCGCATGTCTCAAGCCAGACCTAAGCGTAAAGCTACCATAAACAAATCTTATAATGACTCCTTTGATGGGTCCATCTTTGAGGAACGTCCAACACGTTCCGCTCAATCGAGGAAATCTAATAGTATATCGAGTGACGATAGTTCCAGCAAACCCGTTGATAAAAGAAAACAACCCTCTGCTTCGCTGAAGAAAACCTCTGATATTTCCTCAAAATCTTCGATCAAACCTGCTATTCCTTACAATTGGCAACCATCTCCTTCTATCCAAGATTATTTCTCTCATAAACTAAATTTAGAGGATGCTTACATCGACTTGAAGTTTCAAACATTAGTATGTCCTAATCAAGAAGCTATTTCAACTCTATCAAATACATCTTCTACTACATCCAAGAGGAGAAAATCAAAAGAGCTATTTACTTTAAATAAAGGTGACTATATATATATGATTAGTGAGCCACCAGGGGAACCTTATTATATAGGAAGAATAATGGGCTTCAAACTGAAAAATAATCAACACCCGAGTAAAAGCCCTTCTTACCCAACTGATGACTTGAATGAAGGAATAGATGATGCTTCAAAGTATCAATTTCAGATTCAATGGTTTTATAGACCAAGAGATATTTCTAAAAGTACTTCTGATTCGAGACTTTTATATGCTTCAATGCACACAGACACTTGTCCCATGTCAAGTTTCCGTGGTTTGGTATCAGTAAAACATAAACAGGACATTGAAGATGAATTCGCTGCTGCAAATAATCAACCAACTACCTCATCAAGAGCACCAAAGAAAAACTCGACACCCCCTTCTTCTAGCACATCCGCATTGGAAATTTATTGTCAGCAACCTAACTGTTTTTATTTCAATAAACTATTTGATAGGTACATGATCAAGTTCTATGATATACTCCCAACTGCAAGTTTATTGGAATATGTTGAAAATGAAGTCAACAACAGTAAAAACTTCTTGATTGCTTTGCATAAAAGATTCGAATTTATATTCATGGAAGGTCCTCGTACTAAATCCTTTATCAATAGTCTAGCGGCTACTTCGCCGTGTAATTGTGAAAAATGTGGTCAATGGTGTGCCTCTCAAGAATCGGTTACGTGTGCATCCTGTCATAAGTTTTATCATATGTTATGTCTTGATCCTCCTTTATTAAAAAAGCCTAGCAGAGGTTTTAGTTGGTCATGTGCACCTTGTAATAAGAAGCATGAAATCGAATATCAGAGTAAAAGGATGCTCATGTTGTCCCACGATAATAAATCTTCTAATGAACGTGAATTGTCTGTTGAGTTAAGTGCTTTGAATTCTGAAGGTTTACCAATTGAGTCTTCCCAGGAAAGCAATATTGATGATCAAAATCAAAATAAAACTCCAAATAACGAATCAGGTAATGATGATGAAAGTGTCGAAACAGTTTTGCCCAAATATGAGACTGTGGCTATAGATTTCCTAGAAAAAGACTCGAATTTGTCTTTAGAAGAAAGAAGATTGAAGGAAGAATGGAATATGAGATATTTGGGTATGCATGCAAGACTTGAAGATGGTGTAGATCTTGAAGATAGATCCCCTTACCCAAGAGCCTCCACCCGTTTAGGTGCTAAGCATCAAGCAACTAATATTCCTGAATTTTATGATCATCCAATTGTTTATTATGATGTGGACAAGCCTTCTAATGGCCCAGGTCCCAAAAAGAAAATGTCTAAAAAAAAGAAAAATGAAGAAGAAGAAGAGATTGTTAAACTTCATATTCCCAAAGAATATGAAGACATTCCACCAAAAGAATTTCCTCAATGGTTGCAACCGAGACCTAAAGGTTATATAGAAAGGGGAGTTGATGATGGTGAAGGTATTACTGCCAAGCTATTGTGGGCACCATCTAAAGAAGATGAGGAAGACGATTTCAAGAAATTGGATTCATACATCAACCAATGCTCTCCAATTGCTGAAAAACTTGATATTTTGCCTACATCGCCGAACTTTGTTGACGCTATTTTGAAGTATTACATGGACAACAATGGTAATATAGAGAAAGCATTATCGCAATCATTAAAACTCACTAGAGAAATTTTGAAAGAACCCACATTCACTAAAGAAGAAGTGAAAAAATTTGAGGCAGGAGTCAAGAAGAATGGTAGTGAATTGTATCCAACTTTTAAGTATGTTAAATCTCAACCATGTTCTATGATTGTCCGTTTTTATTATCTTTGGAAAAAGACTAAAAACGGGAGATTGATTTGGGGAAACTATGAAGGCAGAATGCATAAAAAATTACAAAATCAAATCAAAGAAGAATCTAAGATGGACCCCAAAAAGGATACCAAAGCTTCAAACATTGATTCTCTCGCTGATCCAAATGATGATTCATCATATGAAACTGAAAAAGTGTACGAGTCCAAGAAAATATTTTGCTGCAAGCATTGTCATACAAACCAATCAACTCAGTGGTTCAAAATAACTGGGTACGATACTAATACCAAATTGAAGAAAAGTAAGGATAAAGAGGAAAACGAATCTTTTGCAAATAATGACGTCTTTGGTTTATGTTTTAGATGCGCTAAGTTATGGAGACGATATGCAGTCGTTTGGGAAGATCCAAACGAAGTTCAGAAAAAGAATACGAAAAGTGTAGGTGGTTGGAAAAAGAAAATAGAAGCTGAACTAGTAAATGATGCTGAATTGATCTTACAAAAGTCTGAAGAAGAGGGGCAGGGCCTTTCGTATGAATTACCAGAAATAACCACTAGTATATCCGGCTCAATTAAACGAAAGGCGTCCTTAAATTCTACCAAGAGTGACACCAAGAAACAGAAACCAGTAGATTCTAAAAAGCTGAGTGTTTCTGTGAAGAAAGATGAATCAGCTGCGGCAAGGAAAAAGAAATCAAGTACTCCGATTGCAAAAGACTCAATTAAATCGAAAGTAGAATCACCAATCTCCTCTAAGCCTAAAATCAAAAAGGAAACAACGAAAACGAAACAAGAACCAAAAAGTGCAGTTACTGTCAAGAAGGAGTCTGATTCAGGAAAAGGTGAAGAGACCAAGAAACGAAAGAGAGCTGAGAAAAACCCAGGTGATGGTAAAGATGTTAAGAAAATGGACACCAAAAGAAAGGATAAAGTGGCTTCTAATGTGTCTACCAGCTCTAAAAAGCAAAAGAAAACACAGAATTCTTCACCATCTTTGATAAATATAATGCTTAACCAGGACTACGTTTTGAATTTGCCTTCAAGTTTGCATAAGATTGACAAGAAGTCCATTCCTACTATGAATAAAGACACTTTAAAGGAAATAATATCTAATTACAGAGCAAAAGTTCTTACTGATATCAATTCTCAAGTTCAGCCATACCAATGCCCTTCACAAGCCAAAATTAGAAATCCGTTCAGCCCAGATGAGAGAAATTGCAGTGTCTGTCTTGATTATGATACTTTGGAAAGCTCTATTCAAGAGATGTTGATTTGTTCTAACTGTGGTGTGAATGTACATGCATCTTGTGTTGGTATTAGTGTCCCTAATAATGCCAAACTTCCTCTTAAAGAATGGTTGTGCCATGCTTGCGTGAATGATTTGAACCCGCATCATAGCACATCGTATAACTGTTCCCTATGTCTTGCCAATGATATGAATCATGAGTTGTCCTTCTTCGGATCTCCATTAGTCAAGCCCGATTACTTGCGCCCTATTCATGATTCTGGAAAATGGTGTCATTTTATATGCGCTCTTTTCAGTCACCAACAGGTGGTTTTCAAAGGAATTTCGAATCCTCAATCTTCCACGAGAAAGCTTACCAAAGAAGAAATTACGGATCAAAAAACAATTATCGAGAATACTCATAATTCAATGGGAATTGAAAGCGTCTCCGAAATTTATTTGAAAAATTATACGTGCCGATGTGGAATTTGCAAATCATCTAATGGCTCATTAATTTCTTGTGATATTTGTGAAAGTTCAACCGGTAATAGTGAAAAATATCACGTTACTTGTGCTCAAGATACTCCAAATTACAAGTTAGGCTTTAGATTGATTCCTCAAGCAGGTTCTGGAAAGGACAACTTGAGTGTGAGTATTGGAATGGAAACCGGAAGATTGAAACCAGTACTTCTGTGTCCCAAGCATGATGCAGTATCATCTGGCGTACACCATATGAGGAAGGCAGCTAAAAGGATTACTGGCTCCGCTAAAGAGGGTACAAAGCCATTGATACAACTCTTTATAGAAGATATTGTGAAGGGCTTAAATAATCCTAATAATAATAAATTAACTGGTCCTCAATTCAAGGCCCATAATTACATCAGTATGATCAGATCCTTTTCAGAGCAAGAAAAGCTCAAAAATCTTACCAAACAAGGTATATCATTATTGGATCATGCCCAATCTAGGGAGTCCGAGAAGAAGACTTGTGTGGACTGTCATGCTACTGCATCGCCGATGTGGTGGCCAATTCAAGAAGATCTGACAGACACCTCCAACAGAGTTTCGCTCCGATGCCGAACTTGTCATCATAAACAGGAGAATGACGATGATGATGATGAGAATGCCTTTGAATCAGAGGCCCAAAAGTTACAGGAAATACTCCATGAACCTCTTAGTGCTGAAAATTATCACTTACAAGGTGAAAACGATCATGTATCTGACATCTTCAAATCGAGCTTATTGGAACAAAAACCTGTCAGAAAAGACCCCGAGCCTCAACCCCATAGATCACGTATCTCTATTGGGGATATACTAAGCTAATAGTTTGTATAAAGAGCATCTAACGAATTACGTATTTATTTCTATCATCTATCAATTGTAAATGGCTTTTGCAGTCAAAAATGTCGTGCATCCGGCCTTCGACATTCGAAGTATAAATGTCGCGATATTTGAACGAAAAAAAAATACCAACAGTGAAAAAAAAAGTGCCAAAGCTCTTTTATATACGACCTTGACTTAGTTAAAATATACTTAAGCTACCATTTTGTGAACCAAATTAATCACAATTGAACTATTTTTGTCTAGTCAATGCTTATAAATAATGTTGCAGTTGTCAAATCGTGATATGCCTGTGATACCGGGTACCAAATTAGTTGGAAAAGAACTGGAGTATTTAAAACTAATGGTTGCAGACCTATTGAGTAGGAAAAGCCCATCATTCCCCGGATCACAACCAGTGTCTTTTGAAAGGAATCACTTGGAGGTTTTGAAGAATCGAGACTATTATGTTTGTGAAAAGTCGGATGGTTTAAGATGTTTATTATTCATAATAAATGACCCAGAACGTGGAGAAGGTGTATTCTTAATAACAAGAGAGAATGATTATTATTATGTTCCTAATATACATTTCCCACTATTGTCTAACGAAGAAAAGGGTAAAACATACCATCACGGAACTTTATTGGATGGAGAATTGGTTTTAGAGACGAAAAATGTACCTGAACCCTTTTTGAGGTATTGGATTTTTGATTCATTGAGTATAAATGGTAAGGATATTACAAATAGACCATTACCCACCAGACTAGGTTATATAACTGAACATGTAATGAAGCCTTTTGATAGTTTCAAAAAAAAGAATCCTGAAATTGTCAATTCACCAGATTTTCCTTTTAAAGTAAGCTTTAAACTAATGACGGTGTCTTATCATGCAGATGATGTTTTATCTAAAAAAGACCAGTTATTTCATGAGTCTGATGGTTTGATTTTCACTTGTGCAGAGACTCCATATGTTTTCGGTACTGATTCTACTCTTTTTAAGTGGAAGCCTGCTCATGAAAATACCATTGATTTTAAGCTTGAAATTGTCTTCAATACTTTTGTTGACCCTGATCTAGATAAACGGGATCCTGATTCTTCATATACTGACTATGACTCCAGGCCTGATATAATCAAATTAAAAGTATGGAAAGGGGGTAAAGAGCATGATGAATTTGCAGAATTATATCTTGAAAAAGATGAATGGGAACAATTAAAAGAATTACAAGAGCCATTACAGGGTAGAATAGTTGAATGTAGGAAAAAAGTTGATAAACCACCTTATTGGGAGATGCTTAGATTTAGAGATGACAAAGCTAATGGTAATCATTTTACTGTCGTGCAAAAAATTTTACAGAGTATTCAAGATGGAGTTAGTGAAGAGGAAATCATTAAATCATGTCCTGAAATCAATCATTTATGGAAGAAAAGATATCAAGAAAAGAAACAAAAACCATCATCATCATCTATAACATCCCATTCTCATCATCATAATCCACCAATGAATAATTTACCACCAAAGCCGGAGCAAGAAGCACCTAAATTAGAAAAAGAGTCACAACCGCCGACTAAGAAACAAAAAGTCGAAAGTTCATCTAATGGTTCTTCTAATGATACAAATAAGAAGCCAGAAATGTTGGACGATCTATTACCTGATTATGAAGGAGATAGTGATGATCTGGATTAAACAACTATGTAAATTAGAATGTGAAAGAAATGAACATGATGTATTATTAAAAGTAGCATAAATAACTTCTATAAAATTGAAATAAACAAATAAATAAGACATGAGAACTATCATGTAATCAAGGTTGATTCGAGTAATTTGGAGGTATTATACCATTATTATATTTAGATTTGAATTGATTTTTTGGGATTAAAGAATTCAAATCATCATGGATTTTGGTAAATGAATCATCTGAAGAGATATGAGAGTAAAGCGGCGGATTCTTAGAAGACTGACAAGATTGGGAAGTTAGTAAGAAGATGGGAACAGTGAAGGATAATTCAGTTTTTTTAAATTTTGAGCCTGAATTTTTCCTTTGATGATAAGTTGAATAACCTGGGATAATAGTTGACTGGGGGAAGGAAGTTGATTGAGAAGGAGAAATATCATCTAAATCAGAAGATTTGCCAGAAGAATCACTCCAGGTTCTCTTTTTAGGTAGATGCCTTGGCTGTTTAGATTCACTAACTTCCAAGCAAATTTTCAAGTTATGAAAAGTGGTAAACCCGTCATTATTTGAATTATTAATGGTTGGATAAATACATTTTTTAAAATTTTTAAAAGATTCATCAAAAGGAGTTTGACAAGAGGGGATTTTGAAATTACAAATATATTGGAAAGAGCCATTTGGTAAAATTTCAAAATCTTTCATAGACACTAATTTCTTCAACAATAAGAATTTATTATATTCGAAATGCTTTGAAAGATGAGAGGGGACATTAGAGATTGGTCTTAATCCATTGTATTCCACCTTATCAAATTGACAACTTTGAATTAGATAAATTGAAACTGCATGGACATGAAAAGAAATTAAAGAATCATCAATATTATGAATAAGTATCAGGGCGTTGTATAAACAATTTTGGAAAGCGATTTTATTTTGTAGTTGAAATTGATAAATCATTAAATTTCTCCAATTCCCCGAAGCAAGGATAGGATCATTCAAGATATTATTCGAAATATCAGATAGACAACGGACTATGTTTATAATTGATTTGACTTTTGACACTTGACTTGAATAAGAAGTTTGATAATTGATTAAAGCTTCAATATTATAATGAATATTGATATAATTGGAAGAGATGGAGGGCGGTAGATTAGGATCAATTAAAAATTGGAATGGGAAAGTATAAATTCCAATTTGGAAATTTAAATCGTTAAATTTCCAAATTGAACAATCATCCAATAATTTCTTATAATGAATCTTTTTCTGACCATCAGCGTAAGAATTTGCTCCAGTTTTAATGGAAGATAACTCCAAAACCGTCTCGAATTTAAACCCTTTCAAACACACTTGAATCGAAGAAATATGAATTGGTTTCAAAACAACCAATACAACGGTTCCGTATAACGCATAAGGACTACATTCACTCAATTCCAGAGAATTGATGCCTCTTTGATAAACGGTATGATCGGCCAAGTGCAAGAGCAACTTGAGGTTTGAGTTAGCACAGTTGAAACTTGCCGGATGGAAACACCCAGCGTAATCATTAGCAGAGGAAGTTGGTACTGGAATCGGAGGTTTATATGGATTACCGGAATAATCTCTAGGTTGATTTGACTTGGACTTGCTTGAAGAGAAATACAGAATCGAGGAGCCCAAGGACTCCCAAAGTCTCCAAACTGCCGGTATCAAGCTGGACATCAAGTATAGATAACCGAGTTGAATCACACGAGCGTCTAATTTGATCTGACAAAAAGTGTGGGGTTTATCATAAGTGATCTCTAGTACCCTGTTGCAAAAGATATACTGGAACGAAGAGCAGCTATGCGGTCCTCTCTGGTACCGTCTCCTTGTCTGGCTAAAGGATGTGTTGTTGATTTTCAAATCCAAATCACCACTAGGAAACTATCTTTAAACAAAACGGTTGCCAAAGGGAAATCAAAACAATCTGATAAGCTTAACAATCGGTTAAAAAACCCGTGCATCTGACGCCATTACAATTGTAACTTCACAATAGACATCGAATAGGGAATGACTCCAGATAAGGTGGAAGCTATTGTTTGGAGAGCAGCACAATCAGAGGTTGCAGCTGGTAGCATCACCTTGTAGAGAAGCCGGTTTGAGAAATCGGATCAAAGATTAGGGACGTTTATCGAAAGAACCAACGCAATGGAAGCAAGAACTGTCCCTTGAATCAAGAACAGTCCCTTGAATCAAGAACAGTCCCTTGAATCAAGAACAGTCCCATGAATCAATAATAGTCCCTTGAATCAATAATAGCCCCATAAACAAAGGAAAAGCTTATTAACGTGAATCAGCCGGTTCTGCAGCCACAAATTTGTTATCTCATCCTATCAAGCTAATTCCTGGGGACAAGTAGGCAATTCAATGGTGTCTGGTAGTATCAATCACTTGGTGTGCCTAAGTATGGTATGTTGATGATGCAAATTACTATGGTAAAGTTTGTTGATGACTCAATTACGTTCGAAAGTTCATCGACGCTTTGTTAAAAAAAGGAACCGAGTCAAGTGTCAAAAGATCAATGTCAAAAAAAAAACTGAAAAATGACAAATCTCGGTACACAACCGGGTGCACTTATGTCCGTGGAAAAATGATGTGATAGGCTCGAGTATAAATTATCATCGAATTATTGGTTTTAGGTATCAAGTAGTGGGACGATGCTCAAGATGAGATTACTAAGGGTAGTGAGATTATTTGCCATAAGTAAGAGATTTAATAGTACCTCTGTTAAGTCGGTTGCGGTATTAGGAGGAGGACCATCGGGAGCAGGAGCTGCTAAAGCCTTATTTCATGAAAATTACTTTGATAAAATTAAGGTATTTGAGAAAAGAAGTCTGTTTGGAGGATTATGGAATTATACTGAAGAGACTGATAATTCAACAACACCAATACCTTGTGAAAATGCTAACTTTGATATCACGCCAGTTTTGAAAAACCAAGGGGAGTACGTTTGGCCGGCACCGGTATATGATTTTTTGGATACCAATGTTCCCAAAGATATAATGACTTATGCTGATTTCCCATTTCCTAGTCATTTACCATTATTCCCCCATCGGTCAGATGTTTTGAAGTACATGTGTGAATATGCGGAATCGATTCGTCATCTTGTTTCTTTCAACACCAAAGTTGTCCATGTTGAATATCAGCTGGATCTTGGTAAATGGCAAGTTATTTCAAGACCAGTTATAATTGAAACTGATGGTGGATCTGTGCCATCGGAGAAATTTGCCGATACCACGGAATATTTTGATGCTGTTATTTTGGCTATTGGTAATTATGATATTCCTTATATTCCAAATCGAATTGGTATGGAACAATGGTTTAAGAAATATCCAAATTCAATAATGCATGTTAAATCATATAGAAAACCTAATCAGTTCAAAGATGCTAAGGGGAATATACTTATAGTTGGTAATTCCGCCTCAGGAGGAGATTTAGCATTTCAATTGACCACTCATTTGAATAGAACTATTTATAAACTGAAAAGATCAGAAAATTTATTACCAGCCGGTGAAAATGATTTAATTGTTGATTTACCAGATATTGAAAAGTTCAATTATGAAAATAAACTGATTACTTTCAAAGATGGTTCAGTTTTAGAAAACGTCGATTATATTTTATTTGCAACTGGATACCTTAAATCATTCCCATTTTTGAAATTAGATTCTTCTAAACCGCCAATTTTAACTGATGGCCATAAGTTACATGGAATATATGAACATGTTCTATTATACAACTATCCTAACTTAGCCATTGTCGGGGTTCCAAGATTTGTTTTACCAACAAGAACTTCTGAGAGTCAAGGTATTTGGATTTCAAAAGTTTGGTCAGATAAAATTAAATTACCTTCGAAACAAGAAATGATTGATTTGGAACTAGAAAGAATTGAAGTGAAAGGTAGTGGGAAACAATTTCACGATTTGACCTTCCCAGAAGATGTTGAATACTGTAATCGTTTAAATAATCAAATTTTAGCTAGCGTTGAAGGCTTAAATCATAAAGGTTTGATACCAAAAATTTGGGATAAAGAACAAACTGCTTTAAAAGCTTCAATAAAAAATATAAAAGAAGCTTACATTAGATATAGAGTTCAAACGGGGAAAAATGCTTCTAATTATCAAGAATTAATCGATGCTAAAGTAATTGATAAACTCTTAATTGATGATGAAGAATTAGCTTCGTACGGTTTTAAATTTAAATAGATTTTATAGATAGATATATTGATCTTTATATACATTATTATACAAGCTCTTAAAAGTTTAACGTTCAAGGTTTATGTTGTTGCCGAACTTGGCATATAAACTTTTCTTTAAAGTATTTAACTTCTCATCAATTTCATCAATTTGATCATTAAATTCATTAATTTTTAAATCTAATTTTTCATTTTCTTTTTCAATCCTACTAGTGGCCTTTTCTGCTTTCATAAACACAAAGACTTCTCCAACTTTATATTGGATCTTTTCATCTTCATCTAATAATTCGATTTCCATTGACAAATCTTCAATATATTCTTTTTCAGTTTTATATTTACCAACCAAATCAGACAATTCGTCCTTTTGGGTTATTAATGATGAGAATTTGTTGATTTTTTGTTGATCTTCCCATGATACTTCGGTGGCAGTATTTTTCTGCCCGTCTGGTAGTAACTCCATCCTGGATCTTGGAATTGAATGTAGAAGTATGTGCTGGGATCTTTTATTACTCGACAATTTTCTTCCTTTACCTTTTTTTTTTTTTTTGTTTTTTGATCTTTCGCGAGAAATTTCTACAACTGCAAAAATTTTTATAAGCATAGTTCTAAGAGGGCACTTTTCAATATATAGTTAAACAAGAGATACAGTTGTTACTTTCAATGACTTCGAGAATGCAGCCATTGAAGCCATAAAGTTTTGATTGGCCCCAAGTTCTATGGTTGTTAGATTGGTCAGAGCTAATTGAATTAGTTTGGGTTGGATCTTTTAAAAGATCATCCGATTGAATAACTTCTAAATCGTCATCAATGAATTCGGACTCGTTTCTATTTAGTAAAACTGGTTTTATGTCACTGGGCAGCACTGGATTTTTCGTATCATTTAGTTTTTGGAAAACTTTTGGCGGGATTTGATTAAAATAAGTTGAAGAATCAATTGTTTTATCGCAGATATTTAATTCCCAATTACATTTGTTCCAACGCATGAAATCAAGAGACTCGGTTATGCCACCATTATGTATAATGACTTTAGTTAATATTCCTGTATTATTATTTTGATTTGATTTCAAATCATATAAAAAATCTAAACCATGATTGAAATAATTATGGAATTTATAGATTGAATTATCATTATTACCCAAGTTTGAGTTATTTGGGAAATGTAAGTTTTTCAAATGGTTATGTATTAAAAGTCTTGAATCAAATTTGTTGAAGTAGTCATCTGGCGGACCCAAAATGGTTAGGATATCTTGCTGAGTTGTTTTACCGATTTCGATAATATGATCGGATCCCGAGTTGAAAATCAACTTAATTCTATGATTCGGTAATACTTTCAACACTTTGATACCATCTTTCTCGTCAGAATTATTAAAGTCCACTATAGGTTTTGATTTTTTTTCCAATAATTTTTCATGAAATTCTGAGTAGTTATCACCTTTGAATATAGCTAGATTAATAGCCGGTATATCACTAGCTTTATTCCAATTGATAAGTTTTGATAAGATAGTACTATCATCAGTTAGATCTCTTACTTTTGACAATAAATCATTCAGTTCAATTTTAAAATTAAAAGAAATTCCTGGATAACTCAAAGTATAGATTTGTTTCGAATAATTTAATTTCCCCGGGTAAGTAGGGCCAAAAGTTTTATTATAGATTTGTTTTAAATTTGGTATTATAACTGATTTATCTGTTTTATAGATTGGTTTATCTGGGGTTGAATTAACTGAATCATATAATTGATTAATGATTATTTCATTCAATAAATGTCCATTATAACTAAACTTACTATGATTGAAATCGGTAGCCTCAATTAAAATCAATGATTGCTTTGAATAATTATCAAACATCAAACGTATACCGTAATTTGGAATCGTAACCAATATAGGGTTATCCAAGTACTCTTTTGAAGAATAACTTATCTTGAGCTGCTGGTTCAACTTGGTGAAGTGGTTAACCACCTCATATAGCGATTGGCCTAGTTTCAAGTCGGCAACACCATCTCCCGGAACAATTGAAGCATTCATGTTTGCTGATTGAACTGGAGTAGTTGCTGATACCATCTAGCCGCCCCTTATCAGTTGTTGATATCGGGAAAGAGAAGGTCACGTGTTCTTGACCACGTGATGTATTTCTATTTTTACAGTTTAAGTTTCTTTTAAACTGCAAAGCCTGGAAACTGCTATAAACTAAACCAAGTTTTGCAGTCAATTGGGTTACCAGAACATGAACGTACAAACGTAATGTTCATAAGTGAGAGGTATGAATTCTTAGTGAAATATCCATTTTATCGTGTATAGAAAAAACAGCCATCTAACTTTGTATAAAGTTATAAAGTCTTTTATATTTTATATCTAGATAATTGTAATATCTCTTAGTTATATTAATCACAAGGCTGACTTCACTTCATTCGTAGCTAGTTCAAATATAACTCAAAGTAGAAGTGCTTGCTGTCCGCAATACTTCAACTATGGAAACTAAAGTCTTTTAGTCCTTCAACCCATAACTCAGTATATTGCATCCTCGCACTACTTAACCTGCCTCGAACTTTAACATTGTGAAAAATGTCAGTAATTTAATGCACGGGCAGTTTAATTTTTCACCGATTTATACGTATAAACACTGTTAATAAGAGAATGTAATAGAGAATACAATGACAGAGGTATCTGTAACTGTAGTATAGCCAATGCAAGGTTAATCACAGAAAGTGAATGGTGTCTCAAATTATGAACCATTCTTATTCACAAAGAACGTTTAAACAAAGAGACGCGGAATCAGTTTAACTTAGTTGGTTAAATGGATCACAAGACTAAGAAAGCACATGGTCTAAGGGAGCCCTTATTGAGTAGGAACAGAATTGGCTGAGCCCTTAATTAGGCTCATTGGCTGAAGGCCAAATAAATGACTTATCGTCAGGGCAATTCCGACTTATACGGATGGAAAGGGGAACCCGACGCAAATACCAGCCTTGGAAGAATCTGATGGAAGATGAGAAAATAATAGTAAATGCAAAGACAAGCCCATGGTATTAATTGCAAGTACGAAATGAACATGAACAAAAAGTCTAATTTCTATTAAAAGCTTATACAAAATTAAAATTACTTATCAAAAGGAGAGAATTGAAAGGGGTCTAAGGGTACTGACGGGTTAACTAAATTTTTTTTTCAATTTAGCAGCGAATTTATTTGATTTAGCTGGGGGAGCATTTGAAATAATTTCAATTTTAGGAGAGCTTTCAGTGGAAGATGGAGGAGTAATTGATTTTCTTTTAAATAATTTATTTTTGCTCAGTTTATCGTCTTTCTTAGTACTGAAGATAGAACTAACGTTTGAATATTCTTTTGTTAATTCTGGTAGACTTTCATTATCGAAATCTTCGGTTTCTTCTTCTCTAATCGTTTCACCTTTTGATATTTGGGCTGGTTCTTGTAAAGTTTCTCCGCCAAAGTTAACTTCTTTGAAATTGACTTTAACTTCTGGTTCTGTTTCAAAAGATGTTCTGGTATACATTGAAGAAGAAGCTGACATTGAATTCTTCTTATGATGACGTGTTTGAGATTTTCTGTGATGATCTTTATTATATTTCATGATTTCATTAATATCTGAATTACATTCGTAATTAAATGTAGATTTTTTACCCTCCTCTAAACTTGATTCGGATCTTTCTAGGTCAAGCAGCTTTGAATTTGGCAGTAAGATTGAATTCAAATCAAAAGATTTTGAATCCAATGAAGGAGATTGGGATGAACGGGTTGATGAATGAGATGATCTTGACTGTGACCTTGATTGTGATCTTGATTTCGAACGAGAAGATTTCTTCTCGTTCATTTGACGTTTTAACTTTTGTTGTGTTTGATATGATACTGGAGGTAATAAGTAGAAACTCATTTTACTTAATGGTAAAGAAAATATTAAACCCAATGAAAATTTTTGAAAAACTATTCAATATATATAGATGATGAAGTGAAAAAAAAAAAAAATAAGGGCAGTGACTTACTTGACAATAAAAAGCTAGATGGAATCTAAAGGTATTTATAAGCTATAATAAACACAAGGGACTTACGAAAGGAAATCGACAGTTTAAAAGGGAAATAAAGCAGGTTAAATCTTAGTGAAGGACCCGCAATGTCCAACTTAAGGTTACATAGATTCAGATTACGAAAAGTATTGTTCTCCCTATTAATAAAACTACAATAGGAATACCATTATATGGAATGTAGGCAAGGGAACAAAAAAAGGTCAAGTAAAAGAGAAGATTTGATCACAATATTAACCAACAGGTTAAAATTAGTACCCCGAAGCAACTTGACTTATCTGCATTTCCAATTTAAAACAATCACAACTAGGGATAACCCCAGAAGCGTTTCTTGTTAAGGGTTTGTTAGGGAGTTCATCCCTGTTATTGTTGAACAATACATTCCCAACAACCCTTAACAACAAATTTCAAAAGGGTAAAAAACATTACACTGGCCTTCTACTGCCTGACTCTGACGGTACCTACTCGTCTACTCATCTCCTCGCCTACTGGTCTACTTCATCTAGCTCCCCGATCCACTGTTCAAATCTCTTCAAAGTAATGGGAATACTTGGTGGTTCCCAGCATATTCGGGTAGTGCGCCCACCCCCCGAATTTCACGGACGCAAATCAATCCAAAACAGGAAATATTTTGGTTGCCTTTAATACCTTAATATAAAAGATAACCAGAGCATAACCATTAGCAAAAGCATAACCATACCCAGAATCTAGGCATATACATATACTAAGGGCAAACGTAGATTGTGTTTTTTCTTTTCATGTAAAGTGCTCTAATCATAGTGGTGATCTCACCAGATCCAACGCGTTAGATACATCATCACCAGAAAATTTCAGATGGTGCATTAAACAATGCAATGGTATTTGGATAAAGGCTGGTTCAAGTAGGAAGAGTTTCTGTATTGTTGAAATGGTGAGAATTTCGAATCAGAATACTTCTTTACCTTTTGTACTTACGTGTATATGTGTTTGGTGTTTTCAAGTATTCCACATTGTCATATCATCGCATTTATTATGAATAATAGGATAATGCATAATTTTTGTTCAACCTGCTTCTTTGTGAAGAAAGGTTAAACATTGGATCGAAGACTCTCGGAAAGTATATAACAAAAGCGTCTAGCTACAGTAGTTAATTAGGTTTCTTAATTATATATTACATTCTCAATGTTTACTTGATTGATCACTATTTTCATCGGGACTTAATTCATCGTGTCCATTGGCAGTTCCAGTAATGATTTCTGGTTCTTTATTATTTTTTTCTTCTTCTTTTTTAGAAGTTTGGGCTTTTAATTTTGCAATATTAGCATCGGTTGATCTTATTGGTTCAATCACATAAGCATTATGGTCATCTTCGGTGGAATCGTCATAATAAGCCAATTCACCCATTTGGGCTTGATCGGTACCAATTAATTCTTCATCTTCATGTAATCGAAGACGTAAAAATGGGATTTTATCCAAAATGAATAAAATTATTGAAGTAACACAGAACCCCCATAATAAAACCGAACAAACTGCAGCCAATTGATAACCCAATTGAACATAATTATGATTCATCCAACCACCATCGATAGCCAGAGCAGTACCATCGGCAACTGAACCATCCAAAGCAGCAACATAATTGGTAGCAAATAAACCGGTCAAAATACTACCGGTGGCCCCACCAACACCATGAAGAGCGAAAACATCTAACCCATCATCAATTTGAAGAATTTCTTTTAAATCAACAGCAAAATTACAAGCAAAAGCAGGTACAATTCCGAAAATAATCGAAGTATAAACATTAACATACCCAGCAGCAGGAGTGATACCAACCAAACCGGCAACAATCCCACAACATAAACCAGCCATGGACCATTTACCACCAGTTCTAAAATAATCAATAAACATCCAAGTTAATCCTCCGGTAGAAGCAGCAATATTAGTATTTACACAAGCATACCAAGAACGAATGGAAGCATTACCGGTAGAACCACCATTAAAACCAAACCAACCAAACCAAAGGAAAACAGTACCCAAGGCTAAAGTGGTAAAACTATGAGGTCTATATTTAGGAACTTTACCATTTGCAACCGGATCATGACGCTTACCTAATAAAAGAGAATAAGCAAGAGCAGAAACACCAGAATTAAGATGAACTGGCCCACCACCGGCAAAATCCAAAGCACCTAAAGTAGCTAACCAACCATGAGTATTCCAAGTCCAAAAAGCAATTGGACAGTAAACAACAGTAAGCCAAATGAAAAGAAAAACCATCATTGGACCCAATCGAGCACGTTCACAACCAGCACCAACCATCAAAATGGCAGTAACTGCAGCAAACATACCTTGATAAAGACAAAATAAAATATCGGGGACCGAACTAACCACGGCCGGAGCCCCCATTACATTCATTAAAGCAAAATTATGTAAATTACCCAAAAAGACGGACTTTGTTTCGTGAGAGAAACATAATGAGTAACCCCAGAAAAACCATTGAAATCCAGTAAGACATGCAGCCATCATCGAAGCGAAAAATAATGAAAGAGCATGTTTCTTCCTGGCCATCCCAGAATAAAGTAATCCAACCCCAGGAATCATTAACCACACAAGAGCAGCAGAAACCCCGATCCAGGTCATATCTGCTTTGTCGAATTGCTTATTCAAATCAACCTTCATAATATCTCCTCCAGTACCGGAGCCAGTATATCCATTAGCCATCTTGAAAATTGTTATTCTTATCTAAGCAAACAATTAAAACAATCTAAGCGAATTGGAATTTCCTACGCTATTTAAATAATTTACTCACCTTCGCCGTACACAAAATATTATAAACATGTCAAGAATTGTACTGTTTCTTAATTGTCTTTCTTGAAGTCTTATTTAATTCTCATTGGTTGAACAAAACCAACCTGCCTTATCTCAAGTTTTTCTCAGTAATTAATAACTGATAAGAGATTTGAACAAGGACGACTCGCTCGTATTTTTGATGTTATTTTAACCTTTTTAGTCGGGACCTCTCCAAGCTCCGGTTCAGGAGATATACCCTGTCGGCCAGCAACTCAAGAAAAGCAGAAAAGCGGTTTTCTGGTACTGACTGCTTGCACTATCTGCTTGCACTATCTGCTTGCACTATCTGCTTGGACTATCTGCTTGGACTAGTCCTGATTGTCCTGATTGCACCAACTGTCAATGTGCCGATACACCTCGATGTTCTTTCGTATCTGTTCATGACTCACCGTTGACAATATAGCTATATAATATTTCTGTTGTACTGTCCGATATCTCTGTATGTCGTAGTATCACATGTATATTGCCCTGTCTGCCTACAGCTTCACCTACTTTCTTACCTTACTGACCTTCAATACTTTCTTTCTTGCCATACTTTCTGTACTTACCATACTTCTTACTGACCTTCAAAACTTTCTTGCATGGTCTTGTTAGCTGTTACTGTTATTGACGGTTCGTACGGTTATTACTGTACTTATAGTATACGATACAGGCTAGACGTACGGTGATTGGCTGATAATATGGGATGTACGGGTATCGTGCGGTGCGGGTGTTTTTTTTATTTGTTGTTGTTTTTTGGTCTTCCGCGCACTACCTCCACACCTTCCTACTTCAAATTAGCAAATAAAACCCTATGAGCGGTTACTACGGTTGAAATACTCTAATCAATTGACGAAACACAATCAAAATGACAGATTCAGACGCCCAATCAGTATTTGGGACCTCTATCCTTACGTCGTCTTCTCCTCAACTGGCTGCTACAATCTTGCCTACAAGTCTTGAATCGACTTCAAAGTTAGTTGATAAAAATTTCTTACCTTGGTTTACCGCTTATTCCAACCATTTACAAAAAACCAACCAGTCTTTAAATCAATTATTGTCTGTTGGTTCTCAATTCTTTAATAATATACCCAATGCTGGTGAATATGGAAACATTCCTAAATTATGGAATTGTTTGCTCAATTCAATTCAATTAGATATTCATACCAATGAATTATTATATAAACAATTGAAGTTAGAGACCATTGGTCCTTTGAAAGACTTATCTTCTCAGAATAATATCCATTATTCCGAATTATTAATCAATTCTCAAGAATTACAAGAAATTTCTCAATCCCTCTCTTCAAACCCCCAAGCAGAATATCAATGGAATGTTAAAGCTCCTCAAATTTTTGACAATTTCGAAAATTTTAAAAAATTCGAAAAACAACTCTACTTTAACGTTATTTTAAATTTCTTCCAATCAAACAATTCAAATCTTTCGAAAAATTTGTCAAATAATGAAAATTCTTCAAATTATTTGTTATCAAACTTTAAAATTGATAAAGAAATGGCAAATTATTTGGATTATCTCTTGAAAAATTACTTACCAAATGCTAAACCTATAGACAAATCGGTTCCTCCTCTGCCTCATACCACTTCTTCTTTCCCCAATGATATGCATCTGATTAATTCTTCAACAAGTACTCCAAGTCATAACCCACAGCCTACTTCAAAAGCTGCTAAACGTCAATCAAAAATTAAATCAAAAGTCGGTTCCATCTTTGGTCGTAAAAATAAAAAATCAGTTGCCTCTCCAACTCATAACGTTAATACTTTATCAAATGATACCATTCCTGAACTGGCCCTGTCAACAACTTCTTCCTTAAATCGTCGTTCAACTTCTCATTCAGCTTTACCAAATAAGTCTCAAGAATCATTGGCTAACCATTTAAATAGAAGTGCTACTACCTCCCTGAGAAATGGCTCGATCAAAAGACAGCCTTCTGATGTATATCAGCTGGGCTCTCTTGCTCAACAGAGAACTCCTCAACATTCTCAACAACCTCAGTTTGGTAAACAACAACAACAACAACAACAACAATCGTCTCCTCCACAACCAGAAAGAAGCCAAACTTTCCAGTCGATCAATTCTACTCCTTTGTCTCCCGTCTCTCCTAACTCCCCTCAAGTCGGAAGATCTGTTGATCTAAAACAACAGCAACAACAACAACAACCAGTGGCTCTTTCTGCAAACTCTTATGCTACTCAAGACCCTCGTACTCCAATTCCTCAAAAAGAAAACATTAAACAAGAATCGATTCCTCAAGAATCTCCTAATGTTGTCAAGTATGGCCATGAAGATGAAAGTTCTTCCGATGATGATGTCCCAATTGATAGTAGAGGTAATCGTTTATCAATGTTACAAAAACATGACTTAGATCATCAAAATAATGTTTCTGCTAATGATGGTTCTTTCTCTCCAATTGTTCCTCCTCCATCTAATTCAAATGTTCAAAATGCTTCAAACAATGATGACTTCTTGGGAATCGCAAGATCAAGACAAGGTAGTGACGGTATTTACAGTTTTGAAGCTGGTGATGATACTCAACCAATTTCCGCTACTCCAAAGCAAGAACAACGTGCTTTCCCTAGTAATAGTGGTACTTCAAACACAACTGATGAAGATCGTTTGCCAGCTCCTGATGTTCTTGATAATGAAGAATCTCCTATTCGTTATGAATATCATAATAAAGGTGATGAACCTTCTTCACTGAAAAATAATGACGCTGGTAATGGGTATTCTGGTCTTGGAATTGGTGCTGCTGCTGGTGCTGCCATTGGTACTGCTGCTGGTGCTGTTGGAATAGCTTCCAATGATAATAAATCACATTCGCAGCCACCTCCTCCTCCCCCATCGAGAAAAGTTGCCCACAATACTTCTAACCCTTCTGGGCCAACTCCTCCACCAAAACAAAATAATGTTCCTCAAGTAAAAGATAGAAGTCTGCAAATCTTCCATAATTTGCCTAATGCTCGTGAATCTTTTGTTCAACCTCAAGTCCAAATTCCTGGTGCATTTCCAACAGGTGGTGGAACTTCTTCTCCAGCTCCTATTCAGTCATTGATTAGTCAAAGTACTGGTAATTCTATCCTCAAACAGACTGATTTATTCAAACATAACTTTGAAGATGAAAGAGATGGATTGAATACTTCTGTCGCCGAAATTATCAATGTTACATTCAAAAATGGTGAATTGACCAAATCACAAATTGTTGGTGAAGTGGCCTTTAATTATAATAACTCATTACAATTGGGTAATTTACCAGACATCAAAATTAAGGTTCAAAATAAGTTGGATAAGTTTGTTGTCAATGATCAATTTTTAAAACAAGTTGGTCAACAAGAGTTTGTTTTGGATCCTTCCTCAATTTTATCGAAAACATTAGGTGGGTTGAAATACTTAGTTCAATTGAATGAATCTCAAATTCCTTTATTGATTAGACAAATTTGGAAATTTGAAAATCATCAAGCTAGTTTAATTCTTATTTTAAAATTAAACCCCAAATACTCCTCTAAAATTAGTGTCAATAATTTGATTATTTCTGCAGCTTTGAACAATTTGATTGAGACCACTTCTGCATCTTCTAAACCAGAGGGTTCATTTAATAAAGATAAAAATCGTATTACTTGGAGATATCCAAAACCATTGGTTCTCTTCAATTCTGGTTTAGAAAATTCAGATGAGGATAGTAATCAAGAAAAGATTATTGCAAGAATTATGACTAAAGGATTAGCTTCTGAACATGAATCAGGAATTCAAGTTAAATTTAGCCTTAGTGAACCTCCTGTTAAGTCTGCTAAAATTGTTGACGCCAATGATGCTCAAATCCCAAGTGTTCATAATTTAATTAGTGGAAACTATAGTTCTCATAGTTGATTATTAATTTCGTTATATTTGTTTAAGTTTCTTCTGTTTGTTTTAGTTTTATTGTTTTCCTTAAATTCTTGACCATGTTTTTATTGTTTTTATTGCCTTTATTTTGTTTCATTTATTTGTTTTATTTAAAAAATACGTTCTTTCAAGATATCTCTCGAAGATTTAAATTGAAAATTTATTCTCCGATCTTATATGTTTATATCATGTTAAATACTAGACTTAATTTTACTTCATCAATACTTTGATTCGTAGTGATTTGGAATGGGCATGTAATATTTTCTTACAAGTCACAAAACAAAATACTAACATGTTGCTACATTTATGGATATTTTTAACCTGTTGAGTCGAATGTATTTATACAAGAACAACTATACTTTGTAAACAAACATATATGCTTAAAGAAGTTTGGAATGTTTGATATCATGTCTTAATCTATAAATAACAAGAGTTAATACCAAAATACTTGCAAAGATAATAATTAATATCCATTTAACTATAGTACCTGGATAGTCTGTTTTTGGAATCTGAAGGGGTTGTTGGTTTTGATATTGATGAGATATTTCTTTATGGTTTGCCATTAGCAAATCGACTTTTTTACCCACTTCTTCCATGCTGAATTGGTGTTCTCTAACTTCACCAATGACCTTTTCATTCAATTTAGATACTGCACTCAACATTTGAGAGTATTGCTGGGTGATTGTAGATTTAAAATCGGTATAACTTTGTTGTAAGTCACTTAAAATCTGTGATTGTTGGCTTTGAACATTTTTAATATCTTGAATATACGTTTCCAAGACCTTGATATCATATGATGGGGCTGATGAACCGTCACCAAATTTGATATTATTTATTGATTGTTCTACTTGAGCAAGTTTTTGAGATATTTCTTTGAGTCCATCATTGGACAATCCATTACTTTGTTGTTTTGCAATTTCTTCTTGTTGTCTTCTAGTTCTTTCCATTAATGATTCCCTTATGTACGAAGGAGGAACAAAATTGTCTGATTTATCCTTTACAACCACTGTGTCAGCATCAACTTTTACTTGGCCACTATTAATCAATCCATGATCATCAATAGCATCACTAGTTAAATGAGACCATACATTAATTCCAAAAAGTTCGAAAAATTCTGAAGTGTCACCAATATTAGCAGATACCCCAAATTTGAAATCATCAATTTCATCAGGTAAAACAATGGCATTAGTTTTAAAACATAAGTTATTATCAACTTGAACTTTAAACCAGTTTCTTTGTTTAGAATAAGAAACTCTTATACTGTATGGGATATCTGATTGTAAAAAATTAAATCCACAATTACCAATCGAATCCGATAAAGAATTCAGTAAGACCTTGCTTCCATCATTTGCGAATATCTTCAATCCTGTTTCATCTTTATTGTTCATCAAAAACTGAAACCCGTCAAATTGTGAAGGTCCACCATAATTATTAACATTACGATCGTCTATTGGGCCAGTGTTGGAAGGGTTTATAAGCCAAAATGCCAACCCATTTGATTGATCGTGATGGATGTTAGAGTCACCGTTTTTGGGAGTCAATCTAAATGTAGTTTCAATAGTCCATTCATCTCTTGTATTAGCCAATTGTGGAGTTGACCAAACAGACCCCGGGCCGTTTTCAAAAAGAAGTCTACCGGTATCAAGTCTTATACCATTGTAAGTTTCCCAGTTAAGTTTTAGCTCATCAATGCTCTCAAGCTCAAACAAACCAGGCAAAGACATATGCCCTGGAGTATCAGCAGGAGAGGCTTGATTGTCTTTTTTATGATCTATGATGTCAGCATTGATATGCTGCGCTATAAAGAAAATTGCAGCACTGGAAAACACATTTCGGAAGAGCATTCTGGTCTATTATATTTCCTAGCCTCAGTTATACGCACAACGTCCAATGAATTATCTATTATCGAAGTAATTCATATAAACCTATGGTTGAAAATTCCAATGGCTATCTGGCTTTTTCCTCGATATATTTTTTTTTTTTCATTTTTTCTCAAATCTTCGCTTGTCTTTTTGACATTTTTCACTTTAGTATACAGGATTCTCTACATGATCTTAGTTGTATTCTTATATTGATTAAATAGTAGTTAGTTCTTCCTGTTTCTCATGACGTTTCGCCTTATCTTCCACACATCGCCAACCTTGCTTCTATTATCGAAGCTGACGTACGGCAACTGTGGGAGTCGTTCGGAACCAGAAAACAGTAGCATGTCAGGACTAACCATTTCGTAAACGGGCAAGGACCCTTCACCTTTTACGATGATAAGCTTGTATTTTCTCTCGATGTATTCTTTGATTAAACCCTGGATTCGGTTGGAAAAGGGGAAGTACATGTTCAAGTAACGGTCAGCGGCATTGATGCTGTGAACCATTGATAATCCCATATAACGTATAAGAGGAGAGTTGTGATCGATGGCGAAATCCAGCGAATTGATGTATAGAGGCATGTCTAAGTTTTTATTATTGTTGGTCAATTTTGGCTTGAAGTTTTGAAATAATGACGCTTCTATGGCATAAATACCAACAATCGATGCCTCAAGCATCAAACCTAAGTCGTCTATATGAAAATTGACTTGTGCATCTTGGTTGAGTATCGTTATTGCGTTTATACCAAGGGTATCTTGAGTATTAAGGGTCGAGTATGATAATTTAAGCGGCGATTTTTCTAAGAACCAGCTTTGGAAATTGAACTTTAGACAACTCGATTGGTGGAAATATGCTAACTTATTAAATGTTTTTAATTGAGAGGAAGTGAATTTGGATGTTTTATAGATACCTCTTGACGTGCTGATATTCTGGAAGGATATGCCTTCTAGAGCTAACGAATCATCACCCTCTTCTAAAGAATTGGACAAAAAAAAGACCTGGTCCGGTTGAACCAAACGGGACACCTCTTTGAGCAATTCCTTTCCAAATCCCTTTACCCACCCAGGAGTATTTATCACAAGATGGTTACCATTTTCTTTGTAGTTCTCTTTATAGTGATGTAAAAGACTTTTGATAATAGATAAGTATCGATGCGGCAGTTCTTGAGCAGTGCTGAAACCATAATAATGTGAGTAACAATCTTCAGGGGCCACAGTTTCGTGGAAATTCAAGGCAAAATTGGGTACATCATGATTGGAGATTGACAAGCTATATGGAGTTGAGAACACAGATTGGTTTGGATCAACATCTATATATGATATTTTTTTGACATTTTCAGCCTTCTTTCTTTTCTTATTGGAATACTGAATCAATGAATTTAATAATGTTTTGGCGAAAGTAGACTTACCGCTATTTTTAGTACCAATTACCATGAAAACTTTTGGCTCTTTATCCTTTGAGCATTCAGTAATGGCTTTCGAGATCAATGACCGCCATTCAGGATTTATGGTCAACCCACTGAATTCTTCGTCCTGGTTTAGAACTATCTCAAAAGAATAGCTCTTAAATTTTGCTGAATATCTCTTAATTTCTGAGTCTAGGAACCCATCTTGTTCTTGGCTTTTATTATAAAAAAAGGATTTGAAAGAATTATGGAAATAGCTGAGCTTTTCTAACCCAGTATACAAATTACTCAATTTAACAACTGATTCATATTCAATGCTGAAATCCGAACTTGGAGCACAAGGCTTGTTGCTCTTGTTTGCATGGTGGGTGCTTGATATAACAGGAAGAGATTGAGCTGGTGTTGCTATAAAATCATGACTTGAATTCGAAGAACTGGATGAAACGTAGTGTATATCATTTATAAGTACGGCACCATTTTCCACTGTAAAAGTACCCTGACCATTAATTATTAAGCTTTCACCTTTTTTTAAAGCCACTAGTACATTACCATCTCTGAATATTATATTTTGGCGATTGGGACTAAAATTCGATACAGTATGAAAAGTAGACAATTCTGGCTGTATTTTATGCACTTCTTCCTCCTTCACTATATCTTCCACTACTCTTTGTACTCCAGGGGTATCTAAAGTATCACCGCCGTCTAAAGGAGACGCAGAAGCTTCTCTTAGAGCTTTCAAAGCAGCAAATGCACTCATATACTCCCTTCAAGTTCTCTAAGTCTGCAGAGCTTTATCAATTGAAAAAAACAAAAAAAAAAAAAAAAAAAAAAAAAAAAAAAAAAAAAAAAAAAGTGCTGCAGATTTTGTAATGAGACGACTACAATTATCAACTGCAAAAAAGTCATATACATTTATAAGGTAACACTACGAATGAAAGACAACTATTTAATGTGCTTTGAGGCCGAACTTGTCAATTAAATTCCAATAACTTATGGCAGAAGCTTTTCTGAAGCGTTTTCCAAAGATTATCATGAGAAATGAGGTTGCCCAGATAGCCATACCGATTAGGCCTATGGCTACATAAAGGTTTTGGATTCCCACAGCAACTAGCCAGGGGGTCACAGCGTAGCTAAACCCAAATCCCATTGAGTTTCTCACCAATATCATGGTGACGAGCCCATCACCGGAAACCTCTTTATAACAATCAATAATGTAGTTAATTGCAATAGCACTTCCAATTGGAAATGTTGAACAAATCATTCCAGCACCAAAGGCAAGACCCACCCAGTGAATTCCCTTTTCAGCTCCAATACCGTACAAGAAGCAACCGAAGGGGTGGATTAACATTGGAAGTATTGAGAGAAACAATCTCGTTTCTGGTTCTCTCATACCTTTACCGTTACGAGCTTTTAATATGGTGAATTTATCAACTATGCTACCAGAAAACCAACTACCAATAGCTATTCCGATGAATGGAGAGGCAAAAAATACCCCAATCATGTTTGGTGAGAAGTTATATGGAGAGCCAGAAAGCACACTTGATATGGTTGCATTAAGAACGTTAAACCACGAAAGAACAGCTCCAACTGTAAAACCAGCGAAAATTATACCAGGGTATCGAAGAAGGTAAAATGGTATCCAAATAGATTGGAAAAAAACGTTTTTTTGTCTTGGGTCTCTTGCACCCCAAAATTTCAACCTTTCTATGAAGCTTTTCCCATTTGGATTATTTATTGGACTTTCTGGAGTTTGGATTTTTTCAACATTAACTTTAGTATCATTTTTTTTCGAATCGATAATTCGGTCTGAGCTCTTGACTTGTTCTATTGGATCTTGTTCGAGTATATTGTCACGATAAAACATAGTTTCTTCTAGAAAGAAGAATAAAATTACTAAAATCACTGCTGTGATTATAGCAGCAATAAACTGAATCCATTGCCAACCATATCTATCAGAAATAAACCCAGCTGCGATACCACTAGCAAATGGAATACTAAAAAGCATAAAACAGTACCAGGCAATCCAAGCACCTCTTTCATGAAGAAAGAATATATCAGCAATGCAAACTTCAATAAGAGTTTCTATAGGTCCATAGAAAAAACCACAAAGAAACCTATTCACATACCACTCTCCTGAACTCTTAACATAACTTGTCCATACCGAACACAACATGCAAGCTAGTAGACTAAACAACAATACTGGTCTTCTTCCATAAGTTAAACCAAGAGGTTGCCAAAGTAAATTAGACCAACCAAAAAATAAATATTGAACCCCTACCCCAGAGTTTAAAACACCAAGAGGAATACCGGTATCATCTTCAATGACAAGCAAAACGGCAGATAAGGCAGTGGTAAGAATATCTGCAGCAAATACTGCCAATAATAAACATATTGCAACCCGGTACTTTCTTGACTTACTCCAATTTAAAGGATCCTCTGGATTCAGGGTGGGTTGAGGAACAAGAACTATATCATCTCCTGCTTCATGTGCAACATCCAAGTTACCCTCAACGTCAATCAAATGAATTGTACCTGGGACCTTTACGTCAGTTTCAGTTTCGATTTTCAAATTCATAATTTAAATAGCCCGTTTATGTTTCCACAATAAAATGATATTCCAGAGATTTGTGGAGAAGATCCCTAATTTAACTAGCTTTCTTGAAACTTCCCGCTAGATAACAGAGCCAAATAATCAACCCATTCCATGTTGCGTTCTTCGATAATGACTTGAGCCCAATCGTACGAAACAAAATATTTCACCTTCGTATCCACTTACAAGCACAAAGAAAGACTCTTATCAATTAAACCTTATATTCTATATAAGCCACTCTCTCTTGTGCTTATCAATAACAAACCGGTGCTAAACATCTTCACCGCTTGTTAGCGGAACTCTTTGGTTCTTATTGTGAAACCAAACTACAAGTCTTCGTATCGTAACAGACGTATAAATATTCAAGCAATGCCATTGTGTCTACCCTTTGTTTATGAAATCTTTGCTACTTTTACTCTTGAAATAGAGTGATTTTTAGCGGTAAACTTCATTGAAAGATAACGCTTTTTTTTTTTTTTTTTTTGCGGTATCGTTTTCTTAATGCGGGAGATGCAAACTACCCAAATGCTTCCAGACTTTAATTTTGGCTCATACGTGTTAAGCCTGGGTTACGCTAGGATTTAGTCAAAGACTAACGGCTTATGTATGTTAGGGCTACTTTTGGTTTTTCAAATAAGCTGATTTGCGAGCAATTGCGATGAAGAATGCACAAGATAATAGCATGAAATGGGGAAGAGATAATGGCATTGAAACAGAAGTTATTTATATAAGCAAGTACATTGAGTAAGCTGGATTTGTTTCATTCTCGTTAGCCCGGTTTCTGAGTAAACGTTTATTAGGAGTATTGCGGAAGTGTTGCAGCTCGCTTACCTTCTTTTTATTAATATTTAGATTATGCTACTTACCTTCCTTTCATTATTATTTAAATCAAAGCTTCACTTTGCTGCTCAACAAACTGATCAATGAACTCTTTGAAGGCCGATTTTGGAATTGCAACATACTGGAGTAGCTGTGTTGTATGCAGTATAACGGTACATATAAAAGTGCTTTTTGCTACAAATGAGCTCAAATAGGTATTCATACATTCAATGATGCTTAAGCTGTTTTATCTACTTATAGAGTGTATTGAAGGATGCAGAAAAGTTGATCGTTTTTTGCAATTTTGTAAGTTTTGAAGAAATTTGTCAGAAAACTGAGCATAAATCATCAAAGTTGAATCATTGTCTTTAGCTCAAACACGAAAAAACCACATTCTCTAACTTTTAACAAGGGCAACCAGACTTGAATTGTATGCTTAGTAGCTGTTGTATCGGTTTAGAGTTGGATACCTGTTCATACATAACAAGAAAATCTGATCTTACCAGCAGTCGCAGATTCTCCGTCAATATGCACTAGATCAACGTCTTCTGCACCGAAGGTTACGTTTATAGCCCCGCAGTCATTCTGAATGGGAGATCTGGTGATGATATTTTCGATCATGGGAACCTGCTATAGGGTATCATTCGGAATGATTGCCATTTTAGGTTTGGTTGAAAGAAGATATTCCGAAAATAAATCCTTTGAGAATCGGATAGTACAAAGTCTACTAATATAAATATACCCCAATCCCCCAATTCTTCAAATTTTAGGATAGATAGTGGGGGAACAACCATTTTTCAGAAGCCATGTCCTTATTAATACCCACAGAGAGAGATTTTGAAGACGCTAGGGAAGGACGTGAAACAATCCCGGTATACCAGGAAACAATTGCTAAATTGAACAAGAGAAGTCCAATCACTAACGAGTTAGAATTTCCTTGGGATTTTGAATTTGTACCTGGATTCTTCAAACAGGCCGACCCAAATACTGACGACTTGAATTTTAACTATGTTGATTGTGATTTTGGAATCACGAAACCTTGGTCTGATATTGTTGAACAGCTAAATGAATTAAACATCAATGCAAAAGATAATGAATGTTATAAATTATTATTTTTGGCCCGTCATGGCCAGGGTAACCATAATATAGTTGTTAGTAAGTATGGGATTGGCGAATGGAGAAGAAAGTGGCATGAATTAGAACGCGATGGAGACCTCGTTTATGGGCCAGATCCAGTATTGACTGAAGTTGGTATTAACCAGGCAAAAGAGAATAATCAAGCCTGGAAAGAACAATTGGCTAAGAATGCCCCAATTCCTTCTAAATTCATAGTTTCTCCTCTTCAAAGGTCATGTAACACATTACTCATTACATGGAAGGATATATTCCCAGAAAACACCAAACCAGTCATTGTTGAGAACGTTAGAGAAATGCTAGGGTTTCATCTTTGCAATAAGAGATCAAACAAAACTACCATTTTGGAACGTTTTGGTAAGCACGGATTTATTACTGAACCTGGTTTCGAAGAAGAAGATACTTGGTATGTGCATGAGGTAGAAGAAACTGCTGCTGAACAGTGTTTACGTACTAATAGGTTCATGCAGCAGCTTTTCGATGAGCAATGGGATTCATCTCAATCTAAAACTGATCCAACAAAAGATCAAGTTGTATCGGTTACTTCTCATGGTGGTACAATTAAAACTTTTTTGGGGGTCATCGGCCATAGAGCTTATACCATTCCAACTGGAGGAATGATCCCTGTTGTGGTAAAAGGAACCCGTCACTAATATAGTTATGCTTATATATCAAATCACTCTTCAAGAAGAGAATTTGCAAACTCAAGAAAGAACAATTGGCACTTTCAATAAATGTTGCTTCCTGATAGAAAATAGACACTAATTAAACAACAATACTTCTTTTGCTTACCTATGGTAAATAATTTTAATATAAAATCAATTTAGACATGAACTAGTTTAGTCACAATAAATTTTAGCTATAGCCATCACCAACAATGGCAATTTCGATTAGATTTAAAAGCTGCAACTCGTGCAACACGATGGATTGCATCACATCATATGACCGTCCACTGACCGGCTTCATAGCCATGGAAAGGCTTGACCGATCAAAAAAATACCGAATATCTTTTTTTTCACCGGCTTTCTTACAATCAAAACCACTGACCGACGCTTACCGACCTCACCATCTCCAACTAAGATGATGATCTCGCAGAGTTCAACAAAGAAGCTTAGTCTCTTTTTATGGTCGCAAAAAGCTTTTCATGACTGAGTATGCGGCGCAGAGGCTTTATTACTGTTTTCGTCATTCTTTCCTGCACTTGACGCAAAAGTACGAGCCTTATATAAAGAAATGGATATTCTTTTGGTTTTTTTGCAATTTGGCAGCCAAAGATGAAACCAGTTTCTCTTGAAATAATTCTCAAGGACGACAAAAGAAAGTACACTACCGGTGATGTTATTACAGGAACAGTGGTGGCTACAATTACAAAGAGAGCCGAGATAGAAGAGATTATAGTTAGATTTCAAGGAAGTTCAATAGCCCAGAATCATAGGGTAATGGATTTCACGGAGTCTAGTACCACTAAACTTTTAAGTATGATGATGCCTCCAGAATTATTCTTTCAAACACCCATAAAAGTACACCCTTCACCAGAACTGGGCTTCAATCGACTGATTCTCGGTGAAGGAACTTATCGCTATGATTTCTCCATTCCGCTACCGGATGATGGTTCTGGCATTAAACTCCCACCTTCATTCACTCATAAAAAGATCGATAGCCTTGGAATAATCCAGTATGATATTAAAGCAATCGCATATAAAACCTCTGGATTTATAAAGACTGTGAACTTCTCAAAGAATATTGACTTTTGTCCGTTTGAATCAACCCTTGAAGTTGATTCCAGTCAACTTTTGGATAGAAGTGGATTGTCTCTTCCAAAATTTGAAACATGTAATACAAGTTTGAAGTTTGGATCTTTCGAATCAATCAATAGTAACCTTTTCAAAAAATTGGTCTCTCATAAAAGCATTAAGATACCTTTTGAATTAGGTGTATCGTTTGAACATGGGAATAGTTTCCAGACTGAAAAAGGTATTACCACAAGATTTATTATGTCTAAGGTTAATTTGAAGAGTCAGATAAGTACCTATTTAGGTATTCCAATAGCACCAGAAGCAATTCGTAGTATAACCTTTGGAAATTCGGCTGATTCGAAGGAAGAATTCCGTCAAGATCAAGCTAAAATAAACATAACCCATATTTATATCATGCTACAGAGCTTTGTCAGGCTCAAGACGGAGTTACCAAGTACCGAATCTCACAAAAAATGGGTTCTTCGTGATGAAAAATGTGACTATCAATTAAATTTAAATGACTTTACTTCAGAAGAGTACCGTGGGAATGGCGACATATATAAAAAAATTAGCCCTGAAATTGATCATCTTGCTAACCTAGCAAGTTTCCACATCCTTGACTTACCAGCACAGTTGTTTGACTGTGAATTACCAGAAGATACTATTCCAACTTTCTCTTCTGAAAAAATAGATTACAACTATCAGTTGTCAGTAGTTTTAAAAACTCGAGTTTACCCTGGTGGCTACAGTGATAAGCTTGGTTTTACTTCAAACGTAATTGTTAGAAATAATGACTCAAATCCACACCCTCCTGATTATAAACCATAATTATAGTTTTGATTAGAGTCAATTAATAGCTGGAACTCAACAAACTTCGATAGTTTTCACCAGTAGTTTGAATTTGAACAATACATTTTTTTTAATACTAGTATATAAGTACATAGAACCCTGAATAAACAACTGTATAAAATAATGATTGCAGTTTAATTGCAAAAGCTGTTAATGAATTCCAAATTTAATTTATCTGTTATTGAAAACCACTAATATGCAAAAAAAAAAAAATCTAAAATTTGCAGCATAAAAATCAATTTAGACATGAACTAGTTTATTCACAAGAAATTTTTAGCTATAGCCATAACCGTCAATGGCAATTTCGATTAGATTTAAAAGCTGCAACTCGTGCAACACGATGGATTGCATCACATCATATGA